GTTTGATCTGGCAAGACGTTCAATCTTGATGAGCGGCGGCCAAGATGGGATTCCTGGCCCTTGTGCAATGGAGTAACCCTTTGTCGACCTTGTGCCGATGTTTCCTTCTCTTGGCGTTGCGCCTTGGTTGCGCTGTTGTAGCAGCTGTCTTGGCTGACTTTGTTTCGGTCCTGTGCTTCAGCAAGTGGCGATGGTGAGTGCCAAGATGAGACACGCAAGAAATTCTTCTGGTTCGGAGATTTTCCCCAAGTCCCAGGGGATGACTGCGTGGTTATTGGCCTGAGTGACAAGGACGACCGGATCAAAGATGGAGGGCAAGACAGGTATGATCCTGGTGGTACTGAAGGGAGAAGCAAGTCGTACAGCAGTGTCCCCACGGATAGGACAGTGAGTTAGAGGGTCAATAGACAGCAAGTGATGTCAGCCAGCGCAGACACTCGCTCGCTGCAAGACTTGAGGAGGCCACTAGCGGTGTGTGAACCTTTTTGTCGGCATGTGGGTAGCGTAGAGAGCTTGGCTCGTCGCCCGCTGGGTCACTGACAGCAGGTTCTTCTTTTAAAAAGGTTGCAGTGATGGGTCGGAGGAGCCCGAGAATACACGGGAAGACGCAAGGATTGGTCCGATACAAGAAAGGGCGGGTGGGATGGAGTTACTGGCAGATGGAGCTGGGGGCCCGGAAGATGGGCTTGGCAGAACGAGAGTGGACAGTTTTTTGAGAGATTTAAAGACCAAGTTTACAAATGACGATGATGATGGGAATTGAATGGATAAAGAGCGAAAAGTGATGCCACAAATCAAAGGAAATGGGGTGAGCGGATGGGTTCAATGGTCGACTTGGGCTTCCCAATCCTGGATGCTCGACGGAAAAGGAAGATGTCCATCAGAAAGGGAAGGGGACCAGCACATTCATGAGGGACTTTTCATGTTTAAAGGGAAACGGCAGGTCTAGCGCGAGGGAATGTACCACGGCAGGACGGAAGCCAGTAAGTCGATCCTGAGTTGGGATCTGCCAGTGCGGTTAGGCGATGCGGTGGTGTGACAGGGGCGCGGGGGAAAAGAAACAGGCAGATTCTGGAGACAGAGACATGGCCAGAGACAAAATTGGAGACGGACTAGAGTACCATATGTATGCATAAGGGATCTTCAAGGGTAGGGCGGCTTAGTAGGCGCTGTCGTGGAGGACACCAAAACACAAACGTGGCAAGAGGGTGACATTGAAATTCAGACACTCAAACATTAAGCTGCTTAATTTCGAGTCTGCGACCGGTATTGTCAGACTATTGAGTGCCAACAATGCATACCTCAGAGATAATATAGTGCATATTGTTATGTTATTTTACTAGGTACTAAATTTCTCTATTTATTGTAGCAAGTAGTCTGTTTGTAACCAACTCTTCCATTAGGTGTCTCATTTCTCCTGTCACCCACTTGCGTGGCTCGCTGGTGATGAGCAGGGCAATTGACCTTTGGGGAAGGCTGGATTACAATTCTAAGCCGCTTCTGCCTAGGTCAAGGAGCACAAGAGTGATCTGCCTTTTAGCATTGGTTGACGCCTTTAATCTAGCCTGGTATCATCCCTGAGAACGGTAGCGCGACTTGGACAACGGTGTGGATATCGACTCAGGTCTCTTGCTCTGTGCTTGACTTAGCATGCGAGTATTTCAGAAACAGAAATGACACAGTCAGAAAGTGTCCGGGCAGGATGGCGGGAATAAAGTCAGACACTTGGCATATGATGTCCAAGACGCACAGCCAGCTCGACGTCCCGAGCATTCTGCGCTTGGTTGTCAGCTGTCTGGGGGCGGTTCGTCCACGGCTAACAGCCAATTTAGCCTGTCCAAGAAATCAGGGAACCTCTGGAACCCCATCAGAGGCAACGCGGCGGGCGTACAGGTTCAGAGAAGCCAAGAGGGTAATCTGCGAAGGAGGGCGTGCGGCGATTACGTGCTGCCTGTTGGGATTCGATCCCTGAGCGGCACGACTTGGCAAGGGCCGGCGGTGGGTCGAGAGTCGGTTGACGCTTATTTTTAAGAATAAAATTAAGCATAACAACACCCCTCTTCCCTACCGGGCAGCGCACACGACCGAGACGGGGGGAAGGGGGGTTTTCAAGACAGGCAGGGGGCGGCGCAGAGAGGCTACGTCACCTCACACCACGCGCTACATCATGAATGCTTCCCTCCTCTTCCAGTACGTTACGTCGACAGGCGCTGTGATGTTGTCACGGGCTGAGAATGAGGCAATTCCAATTGATTCACCCGCTTCCAAGTTGTCAGAGGTCGTGAGACTGGCGAACGGAACAGGTGACGATTGACCGACAGTCTCTTTCTCCTAGCGCCTAAAGACGAGAGAAAATCACAAGCCAGGTCATCACCCTCCAAAAGAAACACCCTTGTTCCAGGTCTCCTGAGATGCCTCCAGTTTAGGGCTTGATTGGCGGTCCGCATGGATCGATCCCTGCTCAGCGGAGCCTGCCAAGCGTACCAAGGTTTCTTTCAACCTCCTTGTCTCGCGCTTGGGTGTTCTCCCAAGCAAAAGAATGGGAGCTTCCATCAAGTCCAGGTCCATATGGGATATCTTTCAAGCTACTAGTTTTGATTTCTGGAGAATCATGTTTGACTTCTCCATGTCTTATTCAGTATCTGAAGTGCATTGGAACCTGGCTCGCCGTCTCGTGGTTCATTCCACTCGGTTCCGTGGTGACCCATCACTTGAACTGTGTGTACGCGTGCGTGCCTCATGCGTAAACACAGGGGCTTCCCACATTATGGCGGCTTGGCGTATCACAACACTAATTTACAATTGGAACAAGCCCATTGCAGCATTGCCTACAAAGCCAAGCCAGTAGCTAAACGTGGTCACCGTCAGACTGCCTAGTGAATGCAGATCACCATCACAATCACAGGTCTCTCTCTCAGCCACAAACGGCGTTGTTCTGTCTTCCACAAAAGCAAATAAGAAAGAAGTGTTCTCTTCGAAAAGGATCAGAAAACAAAAAGAGGGAAAAGGGCTCAAGGGGGAAGCTTGCGTGTCGACACGACACCCAGTCCACTTTGCCAAGATGCCAAGGCCTGGTGGCACAGCTGGTTTTCTGGGCAAAGATGGATTCTGCCACGCCGCATACGACGCACATGAGACTTGCTGACGGCCATTGCGCATGCAAGTGACTGAGATAAAATATGGCACACCGGAGCTCTTTTCGTGCAAGCTGAGACGTCGTTTTCTTATTAATAATACTAAAAACAATATGAGGAGAATAATAAATTATTCTATAATATTCAGCTTGATATTGTGTCCATCATTAGGTTAATTGTTTTGATATTGTGTCGAAATCTAAAGCTAGATGAGGCTTTGGTGTGCTGGGTTTTATTTCAGCCACTTGGCATTGCTGGCTTATCATTTCAATGTAACATTACGTATGTACTCTCTTCCCCCGGTGCGTAGGTTAAGGGCTCTTCGTGGATTTGGGAGTCGGTACCTCCCTGGAGATTATACCAGAACAATAGCAGAATAACAATGATGAATAAATTCGGAACGAATTCACACTTTTCCCCGTTTAGACCTTCTTGAAATTGACATTAAAATACAAAGACAGCTTACGGACCCGCCGGATATCTCTAGACATCACATAACCATTATCAATTTTACCATTTTATCTATAGAAACTCTCTTCTTCTATGATCTTTCATCAGTATCTTCTCATACCACAGAATTAGTTCATGCACTTGGCAGAGCAGTTACATTATCCCAGTGTCCCTTGCAATCACCATGGTATTAGAAAAAGACCCAAGCACGCAACACAGATTGATCTCCAATGTGCTCGAGGATTGGCTAGAATTACATTTGTTAGTCAGTGCAATGTCTTAAAAATTGTGATATTCACGTCGTGCATACCAGTGTTAAACTCCTCCAACTGCCGACTGTCGGCATACGCGACCGACCAACTCGAAAGACTGATGGAGATGACTTCAATAAGTCAAGGGCATACAAGGAATATCGGATTCGTCGCCGCGAGAATCGAACTCGCTCCCCGTAGGGCTGCCAAAAGCGACCTTAGGACCGAAATCCACGGGCAGTACCCGGCAGTTAGGCTTTGGCCAGTGCAATGAAGCCAGAATGGCTACAGGTAAGCAGGGAGGCTTTTGCCAGCGCAGGGAAGGCTTTTGCCAGCGCAGGGAAGGCTTTCGCCAGTGCAATGAAGCCAGAATGGCTAAGCAGGAAGGCTTTCGCCAGCGCAATGAAGCCAGAATGGCTAAGCAGGGAAGGCTTTTGCCAATGCAGGGAAGGCTATCGCCAACGCAGGGAAACCAGAATGGCTGAGCAGGGAAGGCTATCGCCAGTGCAATGAAGGCTTTCGCCAGTGCAGTGAAGGCTTTCGCCAGTGCAGTGAAGGCTATCGCCAGTGCAATGAAGGCTTTCGCCAGTGCAGTGAAGGCTTTCGCCAGTGCAGTGAAGCCATGACGGCTAAGCAGGGAGCGGGAGCGGGAGCAGGGGCGGGAACAGGAGCAGGAGCGGGAGCGGGAGCTGGAGCTGGATCGAGTGCTGGAGCTGGAGCTGGAGCTGAGGCGGATGTAGCGGTTGAGCCGTTGAGTGGCGATCGTGATCTGTGTGGGCTGAAGTTGGAAAATCGTGATGTGTGGGCGAAACTTGGAAAATCGTGATGTGTGTGGGTGAAACTTGGAAAGTGTATGGTTGCCTTGGTAGATAAGGTAGATAAGCAGAGAGCACAGAGAAAGCTGAGTTGTGACTGAAAAACTTGCACTGCTGAACCTGAAAGTGAGGTCGATCTGAGAGCATGCTGAGCAGACGCGGGTGCGAGCAGCTGCCACAACGCGACGCGCGTGAGCCCAAAACATAACCATAACGCAATTAATACATTTTGTACGGCAGGAAAAAGGTTTTCCAGTTTCCTCCTTCGCATATTTCACGCACACGAACTTTCATATAAACACACTTTTCACACAAACAAACACACACATCACGATCCCAACAAAGCTACAATGGAGTCCATCAAACGCAACGAAGTCACCGCCGCCGATATTCGCCGTCTCGAAGACGCCAACATAAGCCCATGGACCGGAAAACCATGGCCCCAGGAGGCCAAAGCGCTCTTGGGAGGCCGCCGCAAGCTTCCAGTGTACGGGAAGTTGGATGAGATCCTCAAAGCGTACCACGATAAGCAAGTTTTCGTTCTTTCGGGCGAGACGGCATCTGGTAAATCGACCCAGGTGCCCCAATTACTGGCATACGATGAATACGCAGGTGGCCTCAGGGTTGCCTGCACCCAGCCTCGTCGGCTTGGGACCACTGAGCTTGCCACGCGTGTCGCTACTGAGATGGGTGTCACTCTGGGCCATCAGGTTGGCTACCGAATTGGAGGCGACGCCAAGGTCAACCAAGGAGCAGACAAGTCTCGACTTGTTTACATGACCGAGGGCGTCCTGCTCCAACAAATGCTCACCGATGCGGACCTCTCCAAGTTTGGCTGCGTCATCCTCGACGAAGCCCACGAGCGGTCTGTCGAGATGGATATCTTGATGGCGTTCTTGAAGTACGCCATGAGGAGACGCAAGGATCTCAAGGTAAGCAATTTGATATGCATTCATTGACCTAACTGACGCCGTTTATCGCAGGTGGTCATCATGTCAGCCACTATGAACGCGCAGAAGTTCCAGGACTACTTCGACGATTGCCACATGGTCTCCATCAGCGGCGTAAGTTACAGCAAATCACCTTCAAATCGTGTCAGACTTATTCTAACCAAACTTACGGCATATAGCGCAACTTCAAGGTCGACACACTCTATGTGGAACCTCCCGATGAGAAGCCGGACTACTGCGTCTTGGCCGCCAACACGGCGATATGGATTCACAAGACCCAAGCACCGGGCAACATCCTTGTATTCCTCCCCGGCCAAAACGAGATCAATGACGCGTGCGACTTGATTCGTGAGCACGTCAAAGACATGGACGTTCGTCCCCTCTACGCGCAGCTGCCTCGGGCTGCACAGAGGAACGCCTTGAGCCAAGTTGGCTCCAGGCGCAAGTGCATTGTCTCAACCAACATCGCGGAGACTAGCCTGACAATCGGCGGTATTGTCTACGTGATCGACAGTGGAGTATCGAAGCAGGCGATTTACAACAACCGGCTCGGGATGCACTCGCTTCGGACAATGCCGATCTCGCAGGCGTCAGCGAAACAGCGCGCTGGCAGAGCTGGACGTGTACAGGACGGTCTTTGCTTTCGACTCTACAGCCAGGAGGCATTCAACAAGATGCCTCAGTCAACCATACCAGCTGTATCCTGCAGTCCGCTCCACGGAGCGATTTTGAAATTGCTCAGTACCAAGCAACAGGTACTTAATTTTGACTGGACTGACTATCCGCCCAGCGAGGCAGTTGCACGGGCCTTAACTGATCTCAAAGCATGGTACGTATGAATCATATCGCTCTGTTCATGTGAGACTACTGCTGATGCTAATGGTTACAGGGGCTTTGTAGGTGACGATGGCACTACAACGGGGTCTGGTAGAATCGCCGCAAGAATTCCGATAGACGCCATCTGGTTCCACGCTATTGAGGTTGCGTCCGAGTTCGGCTGCACTCTGGACATGTTGGATCTCGCAGCAGTTTCCACGTCCCAGAGGCCAATCTTCACGCGGCCCCCAGGGCATGAGGAGATTGCGGATGCTACGAGGAGACAGTTCGCCACCTGCCCGTCGGATCACCTTGCTATGCTGAATGCCTTCAATTTCTATTTGACTCAATGCAAGAAACAGGAGCAGGCCATCAAAGATGGCGCTCCCAAACCTGATATCAAGGCCTGGTGTGAAACCCACTTTTTGGACAGGGCAGGGCTAGACGAGGCTTGCAAGATCCGCGAAAGAGTAGGGAAGTACTTGAGCCAAGTGGCGCGACTGAAGCTATTACGCGCACCCTCCGGAAATCAGGCGGTTATAGTGAAGGCTTTGGCAACTGCTTTCTGTACCCAACTTGCCATTTGGAAGCGTCCGGACGATATCTACCGCACTATTCATGAGAATGTCTCAGCACAGATCGACACTCGCAGCGCACTGATCGGAGGCAACTGGGAGTGGGTGGTCTACACCAAACTCACCAAGGCTGGAGCGAGAGTTGTGTTGCAAGAAGTGTCAACAGTTCCTGCGCGTGAGCTAGTGGTAAGATTACACCTGACTTCATCTCCCGGCCTAGCTGAGAGGCTAATATTTGTATAGGATCTGCCATACCTTCAAGAGAGCAATCTGCCAAGGTCGGGCGATGGTCACTTTCGTATGATGGATGTCCAGAAGTCACTCGAGGCTGCCAGGGCCAAGATCGAAGCATCCAAGTCCAAGGATGACGCCGACCACTAATACAACCCATGGAATAGGAGAAGGCAGTCTCCTTCTATTTTGCCGCGAACGTCCTTCCCTGTATAGCTGTAATGGCTTCATTGCACTGGCGAAAGCCTTCCCTGTTTAGCCGTTATGGCTTCATGCACTGGCGAAAGCCTTCCCTGCTTAGCCGTTATGGCTTCATGCACGGGCGAAAGCCTAACTGCCGGGTACTGCCCGTGGATCTCGGTCCTAAGGTCGCTTTTGGCAGCCCCTTCTGGGGAGTGAGTTCGATTCTCACGGCGACGAAATACCGAACCCTGCAGTCATTTCTCTCCATACCTAACGAAAGATATATCCGAAGCTTTAAGAAGTATTTATTGCTAAGGACCTAATACCTACCTAATACTTTGCACTCTGCTAACCACAATTATACTATATATCTTTAGTTACGAACTACTTCCTGCCGAGCCTACCTCTCACACACAATTGAATTGAACCCGGACTAATCGCGGGCGCTTACAGTATATCTGAAGGCCAAATCGCTAAGCTACCTATACTTCGCTCTACAACAGCTCGACCTCAAGAAAGATTCCTACCCTACCGGCCAGCGTACGTTCAATTCCCTATGTTCCAGCCATTATGACACATGAACTAATCGCAAATACGTGCCCAGAATGCCAATCCAGGAAACCGTCGATCCGTCCAATGCCCCCGAGAAGCTTCGCCTGGAGCAGGAGGAACATTTTCATTGGCTAAAAGAGTGGCAGTTCAACCCCGACCATCCAAAGCACGATAGTCCTAGCATGGTTGCTCTTGGCAATTGGGAAGATATATAAGGGGGAAGCTAGCCTCCCCCCCATGATCAAGGACCTGTAAATTCAATCACCAGTCAATGCTGCTATCGATGAGGCATGACATAGAGATGTGATTACTGGCAGGTGAATATGAATATTGAAAAAGTATACTGAGTCTGTAGTGAGCGGACGGCGTCGTAGGGCACGCGGGAAGCTGACGGACGGATCTGGCTCAATCGGAATGGAAGAAATAGGAAGAAAAATGCTAGTAAGAATAACTGAATGCCATGACACTATTCTTTTTGATTCAACATAATTGGACAACCCTGGCTTGCGTAAAATGCTGGTTGGTGCAGGACAGTGTTAGAGCGACCCGGGTGTTGATGTCCAAACTCTGCTAAAAGCGTGTGTGTTTTTTTACGCGGCGCGCTGCCCAGGCGTGGCACAGAAGACGCGCTGCTCAGAACAATCTCAGATTGAAGTGAACCGAATGCTGGTAGCAGCTACTCAGTTCTACGCCGCCACCACCACCAAAGCTCAGTTTCAACCTCCACAAAACAAGCCCGCCTATCTACCTCAACAAACAAACAAATCAAAGCAATACTCACCTCCATCAAACAAGTAAGATAAATCAACAACACTTTACTCATCAGGCATCGCGAAAGTTAATGAGTAGTACAGCATGTCCGAAAACTGCCCAGCCGATCAAGATGTGCTGGAGTTGACCGACGCTATGGCCAAACTCAGCTGTAAGGACGACAACACTTTGTCTAAGAAACCCAGCTGCAAGGACGGTTTGCCGCAACATCAAAAGAAATCGAAGGAGCAGGGTCTAGTGTCCGCAAACGGCCCAGTTGATCAAGATGCGTTGGAGTTGACCGACGCCGTGGCCGAACTCAGCTGTGATGGCGATAACAATCTGCCTGAGGAATGGCGAAACGTGCCTGGATTTCCCGGACTGGCCGTGGAGCGATACTTTGACAGTTTGCCGCAGCATCAAAAGAAATGGAAGGAGCAGGGTCTATCAACATTCGAGGTCATCACGGATGCCTCTGGCCAACGCATGATGAAACCTCGCTGGTGCCCCAACCCGCAACTTTCCGCCTTCAAGGAACTCAAGCACGAGGTGGGCATGGAATGGGTTACCTTGTCCCGAAACGTCGTCGCAGGCCAAGTCGAAACATCACTGCCATTCAGACACGAGAACGCCTATTATAGGCAAGACCCGACCACCCATGAATACAAGTTGACGACTGATGAATGGATTACCGTCCCCGAGGAGGAGGTGCCTAAACTCGAGGAACAAGGTTGGAAGGTCTACTGCCCTCCCTTTCCCGCACTTGACCCAGAGACCAATCGAGATGAGCGGGTTCTCCCTGGGCGTCCTGCAGACGTCATAAGTACGGACAATCCAGTCGCCGACGGAAACTACTATCTGCGCGACGGATTCGAGATGATGAAGCGCATGTCGGACAACAAGTGGAAGCCAGGCGACTTGCTGGACGAGGATGGATCTGATCCCAAGGTGAAGGACGGATTGGCATCTTATGCAAGCCGCAGTGACTGGGACCAGATCACCGACCTTCGCTCAGCCACACCTACGAGTCATGTCTTCCATCACGATCGGCCAGATGATGTTTGCGTCGGATGGGGTGGCTATGACGACTTCAATCATTGGCAATCTTGTGGTCGCAGAGTCACCAAAGATATGGTTGGCGTCCAAAATCCTAAAGCCGCCGAAGATCCGGAAGCCGAGGAGAGAATAGAGGAACGAAAGTGGGAGGACGACAGTACGAGGCCAACAAGGTTTGTCGATGAGGCAGGCAAGCTTTTTTGCACCGTGCCAGCGTACGTTACACAGCCTTTGCAACGCCGCGGTCGCCAGACAACCAAGAAAGCCAAGCCCAAGTCGCTCTACAGTCGCCTGCATCCACCACCCAAAACCGACAAGACCGACAAGACCGCCAAAGAGCCCAAAGAGCCCAAAGAGCCAACCCTGGCTTGGCCTGGCACCGGTGGTAGTAAATGGTGATGGGTCGTATGATCTACGCGCCGCATCGTTAACCTTGACAAGCTGGTTGGCGGAAGTCTCGGGAGTTTTTCCATTGTAGCGGGCGAAAGCCGATAGATAGCCTCAAACATGAGAGCTGGTGCAATATGATGCTCGATTTTCACTGATGATATTCCTAGCGTGATTTTTAAATATGGTGTTAATTTCTCTTCTACTTAATCCTATTCTCTTATTCTACCTATATCCTGCCCAGAAAGTTAAGAGTAGATGTCAGTCTCTAGCCCATACTAGAGAATCAAGTCACAAATGAAGCTGTCGTCTGTAGCAGCACATTAGAGTGCTTAATCAATTGCCTGTATAATAAACGATCTTATTGCCAGCAAAGGCATCATAAGACGCGACGATGGTGCTGCGACAGGGCGAAGACACCTGGAGAGTAATCGTCAGTTTTTACTATCAAAGAAGAAGAAATGTGTTGCGATGGCCAGTCTTCCGAAGAAATTTTATTCATGCTTTCATCCGGGTAGAATGTGACTTAGTGAACAATCGGCGCGATCAAAAATGCAACTATCCCGCAATCTCCCCATAGGTGTGGCATATTCATGATACCGAGTCATCTCAAAGCTTTTAAAAATGTGTGCCGACGTGGATTCCTCCATCTACCAGCATATTGGTACCACTGACATAGCTACTAAGACGGCTTGCCAGGAAGACTGCCGCGTTTGCTATTTCCTCTGGGGACCCTAACCGTCGTAAGGGGACCTTGAGCCGTGTTTCTTCTACCCACTCTGGAGACTCTTTCTGGTAGGTCTCCCAATTTCCTCCTGGAAATATGATGGGACCGGGTGAGATGGCGTTTGTGCGGATACCCTTGGGGCCAAGATAGTGAGACAGTTCCTGGACGTGTTGCAACTGCGCAGCCTTAAAGGGACCATATGGTGCCGGTGGACTACGGAAGAATTCGCGACCCAAGAAGCTGGATATAACGACGATGGAGGCGTTGGGAGATTTCAACAGAAAAGGTTCAGCAGTTTGGACCAAGGTGACGAACCCCATAACGTCGATTTTGTAAGATGTGAGCCAGCTCTCTGACGAGCTATCAAAGATCTGCAGCGAAGCTGGTGCATGCCGAGTTAGCGCATCTTCAGGTACGTAAGGAAAGGGCAGACATTGAGTGAGCTTTACCGTTCCCAATAATTGTATCGATGCGTCCAAAGGATTCGCCCGACTTCTTCACCCAGGCTTGGACGGCTGCCTCATCTCCTACATCAACTGACGTGCCCACAGCACGGGCATTGTGTGCGGACGAGTAGCTGGCAAACTCATCACCCGTCACTTTACGAGCGCAGTATGAAACGTTTGCACCCTCAGACAAGAATGCCTCAACAATACTTTTGCCTATCCCTCGCGTACCCCCTGAAAATGTATTAGACATCTCGCCCCAAGTTGGATTTGGCGGGACAATCTGGACTTACCTGTGATGATCACATGGGTTCCCTCTAGGCCAGTTTGTAGAACCATTTTGCAAGCAAGCCTGTTGATTGTATTTCAGCTTGATTTCCTGTCGATTTAAAGTCTAGTAAGGGATTTCTGACAGCTTTTATGATCAGGAAACATACAATGATGGTGAATGGCAGGAACAGACTTTTGTATCAGTCCTGCTCCGGAAACTCCGTTTACTCCTTTGGGCAAGTGGGTACCCAAACTCCGGGAGCCTCGTCGGAGCTTACACGAGAATCAGTGACATGCGCCCACCCAATTTCCCGGAGTCTTCCTTCTCCTGGGCACTGAACCTCTGTTGTTTTGAATTTGGTTTGGAATGGACATAGGCAAATTCCTTATCGTGAATCTGTAGGATGTTGTGACCCAGCCAGCAGATATGGACCCACCATTCCCGACTTACATATGAAGCACCTTCTGCAAACCTCGAAACGTTGGTTCTTCATTCAATATGTCCCAGATACTGCAATTATCATAATGGAAAAACAATCAAGTGTCTTGGGAGAACTCTCCCAGAACCCTCTTGCTGGTAAAATTGCATCTCTCCTGGAAAGCAATGGCGCTGCGAAGCGCTCAAAGTTTCCCATCGTCTTCGAGAACCTTTCGGTCATTGGAAGCGGAAATAAGGTGTGAATCATCAAACTTGGATCTCTTGAGTGATAATTGAACAATTAACCTTCTTTATCTTTACAGGCCGAAGTTGCGCCAACAGCCATCTCGCCCTTCCAGTCTGCTCTCACCATATTGAACCCCAGATCATACAAGAAATCTGCCAAGCCAGAAAGGACTCTTTTAAGTTCATGGAATGGGGTGATTAATCCTGGGGAGATGATGTTGGTGATCGGTAAGCCTGGGAGTGGATGCACGACCTTTCTCAAGACGCTGGCAGGCCTCAGGGGAGAGTTTCATGATACCCGTGGCTCCTTAACCTATAGGGGGAAGTCGATCGATTCTTCAGCTGCCGACTCAGTCCGCGTGACATTCTGTGGTAGGGCTCTTTCTTTTCACTCTACAACAGACTTAATTGCTTATGTTTGTATGAACGCAGCCGAGGAAGATGACCATTTCCCTACTCTACTTGTTGAAGAGACGCTCAGGTGGGCAATCCAGTACTAATACCCAAGCTTGCTGCTGATACATGACTAGATTTGCTGTCGATTCCTCATGGCCAAGAAGAGCTTCAAATGCAGTCAAACATGACTCAGTTCGATCTTTAGCGGACTTATTCGGCCTTGGCCATGTTCTTCGCACTCGGGTTGGCAGCGCATCCATACGTGGGGTTTCAGGAGGAGAGCGTCGACGAGTCTCACTTGCCGAGGCGCTCGCGACTCATGCGGATGTGATGTGTCTTGATAACCCAACCAATGGCCTTGATAGCTCAACAGCTCTTGAGTTTGTTGAGATGATGCGGGAGTACACCCATCAATCTGGATGTGCCACCATCATGAGCATATACCAGGGCAGCGACGCCATGGTCCCGATGTTTGATAAAATTGCCGTAATTAATCAAGGTCATCAAGTGTTTTATGGCAGAGCACAGGAAGCAAAACCCCATTTCGAGCAATTGGGGCATAAGTGTCCACCCACGACTACCATTACAGATTTCCTAACAAGCATGAGTGCCAACAAGATATCAACCCCAATCACATCAAGAGAGCCGCCACCGTCAACTACTAAACAACTAAAAATGGCATTTGAATCTAGTTCCCATTACCAAGAGGCCTTGAGGGAGGTACTGGCTGCCAAGTCTACGCCTCTACCGCCCGGCTCACTTGGTGGAAACACCTTCGAACTTCCTTTGTGGCACCAGATTCATCTTTGCACCAAACGCCAGTTCCGTGTACTCGTCACCAACTACCATAATTGGCTGATTGAGGCAGGATGTTCGATTGTTCAATCCATTGCCATCGGTACATTGTTCCGAGATCAGCCCCGCGAAACAAAGTCATTCTTTATCTTGGCTTGCTCTCTATTCTTCTGCGCCCTGGTTCCATCTCTGCAAGCGATGTCAGAGTTTGGTAACACGTTCGCCACGCGATCTCTGGTAGCCCGCCAGAAGCAGTATGGATTCTACCGGCCCATGTCATATGCGCTTGGGCTCGTCATGACGGACATGATTTGGAAAATTGTCAGCATCAGCTACAACATCCCGCAGTACTTTCTCACGGGTTTCCAGTATGACGCCGGCAAGTTTTTTACTTGGTTTCTGGTATTGTACGTTGAGAACATGGCTCTGAGTATGATCTTTCGTACGGTTGGCATATTGACCAAGACTATGAGTTGGGCTGTTCTCCCTGTTGGGGTCATCTTCAATCTCGGCGTTATATATACTGGTTTGTATATCCCTCCGCCACAGATGCAGGGATGGCTATTCTGGATCAAGTACATCAATGTGAGTTACACCCCACATAGTATCGAAGAGAGGCGACAGCAGAGCTGATACCATTCGAAGCCATTATACTACTCGTGGGAATCAATCATTGTGAACGAATTCTCCAACTTAGAGTATCAGTGCAGCGACTCAGACCTGGTCCCATCAGGTCCCAACTACGTCAACTTTACGAACCAGGTTTGTGCGGTCAAGGGCGCCCTTCCTGGCCAAGCGAGTGTCCTAGGATCCGCATTTGTCCGGGAACAATATGGGCTAGACATATCTCACCTATGGAGGAACGTCGGTATCAATATTGCCATTTTCCTCCTCTTCGCAGTTTGTACTGGGATTGGCATGGAGCTTCATAAACCCGCTGCTGGCACTGCCGCCACCGTCATGTACCGAAAACAAACGTGGCCGGCCGAGCGCAAAGGCAAAAACAGGCTTGATGTGGCAGAGACAGATATCGAGAGCGGCTCATCAGACGAGACCCAAGCATCTACACACGGTATTTCCCCTACAGAAGGAGACACTCATCAGATGGAAACACATTCCGGGCGTACACTGGCGTGGGATAACCTCTGCCTTCGCATTGAGACTGACGGGAAGGAAAAAGTGCTCTTGGACAACTTGAGGGGTAAGAGCTCTCCCCACCCTTGTCGCGCAATAGCTAATCTAAATGTCACAGGCTCTGTTCATCCCAACCATCTCACCGCACTCATGGGCGTCTCAGGCGCTGGAAAGGTATGGCCTCTTCAGAACTCTACTGTCGGATTTTCCCCTAATGTCATATAGACAACGTTGCTTAACACTCTAGCTGGCCGCGTCGACTTTGGAAAGATGAGTGGCCAACTTTCGATCGACGGTAGCCCACTTCCCAAATCCTTCACCAGGTTCATGGGGTATGTGCAGCAACAGGACATACACCTGCCGTCGCAAACAGTTCGGGAAGCCCTTCAGATGACATCGCGACTCCGCCGGCCCTCCAGCGTGTCCAACGAAGAAAAGGATGGCTACGTAGAGAAACTCATCTCCCTGCTAGAACTCGATGACCTTGCTGAAGCGCTTGTCGGGTTTCCCGGTGCCGGGCTCACCTTGGAGCAGCGGCGAAGAGTGTCCATTGGGGTAGAGCTCGCAGCCTTACCCGAAGTTCTCTTCTTGGATGAGCCAACATCTGGTCTAGATGGGCAATCAGCACTTCATATTGTTCGCCTGCTTAGAAAACTCGCAGACTCTGGTCAGACAATCTTATGTACAATTCATCAGCCAGCTGGTGAGGTGATCGAGTATTTTGATCACCTCATGCTACTAGTCAAAGGAGGGCGTGTAGCATATGACGGACCTCTGGGTGACGGCTGCTCGGTCGCAGTTGAATACTTCCAAAACCAGAGTCACGTTGGCTGTGGGGAGAAACAGAATCCTGCGGAGTACATTCTTGATATCGTTGGAGCGGGATCACGCTCAACCAACACCATTGACTGGGCCGCTACCTGGGATCAGAGCAAAGCATGCACATCAGGCTCTCAGCAAAAGGAGAAAGTTGAACCGCAAGGTTTTCAGAGCTCCTTGGAGATGCAATCCAGAGGCCGTTATGCTGTCTCTTTCGTATCTCAATTATCAGTTGTTTTGCGACGAGCGTGGTTGTTTACTTGGAGAGACCCAGATTACTTTGCTGCAAAGCTGTTTTTGAATCTGAGCAATGGGCTAGTCAATGGTCTCTCATACCTCAACTCTCCGGATACTGGTGATGGTATGTACAACCGAATATTCAGCGCTTTCGTGGCTATGATTGTCGGCCCGCCATTAGCCCTACAAACGGAGGTGCGATTCTTTGCATTCAGAGATATCTTCCTCCTCAGGGACAAGGACTCTATGTCATACAGCTGGACTGTCATGGTTTTGTCGGCCATTCTTGTGGAATTACCATTTGCTCTGATAACTGGATTGATTTACTGGCTGGTATGGTACTATCCTGTCGGCTATTTCACCAGCTCCGACCGCGCTGGTTACTCGTTCCTCATGTTTGAGTTGTTCCACGTGTTTGTGCACAGCCTTGCCCAGCTAGTCGCCAGCGTCATGCCCAGCTTAGAGTCGTCTTTCGTGGCAAATGGGTTCTGCTTCATGTTCCTCAACACACTATCCGGCACTTTGAGCCCCAAGCCGCTTACACCAGCTGGCTGGAAATGGTATTACGACCTGAACCCGTTGTTCTATTTTAGTGAGGGTACGGCTGCGGTTCTGACACATGGCCTGGAAATTACCTGCTCGGATGCAGAAACATTCGAGTTCCTGCCGCCTAGCAATACGACCTGCATCGAATATGCCTACGAGTGGTTGGAGAGCGCCTCCGGGTATGTAATGAACCCAGATGGTATGGACATCTGCCGTTATTGTCGTTACAAAGACGGAGACAGCTATGTGAGTTGCCTTTACAGCTCAATTCTTTCGAGGTAAACTAACAAGATAAATCTAGCTGAAGCAATATGATTGGACGTTTGGGAATAGATGGCGAGACGTGGGGGTTTTCCTCGCCTTCATTGCATTCAATTATCTTGGCGTCATGGCGTTGATGTATCTCACCAAGATTCACAAATGGAGGCGTTAAATTTTTACCTCGTAAAATGATTAGATTCCTTTTTTTATTTTCTTATGTCAATATCTCTATATACAATTCCAGTATCCTGTTGATAACGCGTTAGAGCCGAACTCACATGATGGATCACATAATGGCCTTTCCTTTATTTAATAAATAAATAACTTATTTATAGACCCTCTTTAAATAATAGGAAATTCAAGTCTTCTATTAATTCGACTTTAATTAGTGACCTCTAGCTATAGTGAATCATCACATATATCACTTGTCTGCTAAGTAGCACATTTGTGCGTGATAGTGGTACTGGAGTTGTTTCATACTCAATGACCAAATAATTTATCCAGGAAGAAATTTCAATGTAGTCCTATGAAGAAGTTGATCTCGAAATCATCAAGAACCTAGGAAAAAATAATCTGGCCCATACAACGTTTGAGAGTGGCAGATCCTGAATGATCGTGTTAGAGTAGGCGAGCTTGCCCATGTGGATTACGTAATAATCTCACGAGAGCTGACAAATCACTAAACAGTAGAGCATCTTCGCTGAGCGCCAAGATCTAACTTCCATCCATCACAGACCTCTATAACTTCGGAACGGCATGATACGACTTTAGAGTCCCGTGGAGGATACCATGTTCTCTAAATTCCACGGAACCATTTCCGAGAACCCACAGCCAGCCCGGAAACCGAAGAAGGCTCGACGCGCTCAGGTTCAGCGTGCCTGTGATGGCTGCAGGTTAGGCCGGGTCAAATGCGACACATCAAGACCATGCAGAAATTGTGTTCAGTCAGGAAGACAATGTGTCTTTGAGGGATCGACCGAATTCAGGGGATTAAATACTGCAACAATGTAAGAGAACCTGATTGGTTCATAACCGACTTGTCCTGCCACTGACACGTGCTCCCACCCTCTCTTAGAGAGATTGATCGCCTTCGACAACGAGTCCAAGAGCTTGAGGCGGAACGGGAACGGCAGCCAAATCAGCCGGCTGCAATATCACCGGCTCTTGTCAGCCCTCCCTCTAGTGATTCCCATACCAGCACATCAGTACCATTCCATCCTATCTCACCAAAGTGGAAAGGAACTACTGTGGAAGGGATACGATATGGGCCATTCTCATTGCAGTACTTCGGTGAACGCATCTCGCGGTACCTCGAGATTGATGCCGATCCCCGAATCTCGCTTGCAGACTTCCCAGTATGGGACACAACCACCCTTACCGAATGCTGTGACAGTGTTGGCAAAATGGCCCAGGACCACTTCCTTGACTTGCATTGGCTTTGCTACCACGTCAACTATCCGGCGATGGATGAATCTGAGTTTCGAGAGCTTTATGCATCACTCTGGCACACAGACGAAGCCTCATCAACCAGACGCCCGGATCCACTAGTTGATATCGTTCTGGCAATGAACATCCAATATGCATTATCATTCATGCCCCAGGATGAGACTCTACCTCGCCAGCCTGCCGAGCATTGCTGCTTGGGGGGGAGTGCATTCTATCAACGCTGCAAGAGCGCATTAGATAAGAGCATGGACTCTCCCACCATAAAATCCGTCCAGTGCCATTTATTCTGCGCAATATACCTCTCTTACGCCGGTTACCACAATGCAGCCTACACCACAATCAAAGTCGCCCAGTGTAGCCTCTCTATGCTCAGTCCCGATCATGATGACTCTCTTCAACAGGAGCTCGTGTCACGAACCCGTAACTGCCTCCGAACACTTCAGACGAGATTTTCTATGAGATTGGGTAGATTGGAAAGAGGGCCATTTGGCATGGCACCGCAGTCCCTGGAGGTCACAACGCCACCCTCGACAGTTGATTTCAATTGGTTCGTCTTCCACGAGCAAGTGGTCCAGCTCTGTATCCTGGTGGAAGAAATTGCCATGACGTTCCTTGGATTCTGTAACCAGATACTCGATACCGCCGAAGGAGCCACCGACTTATACACCGATCCCATCATCCGTGACAAATGTGCTCACTTCATGAAGGACCAAATGAACAGGCTAAAGGCTTGGTCGGCCCAAGTCCCGGCACAGCTCAGGATCCCACGCAAGGGATCTATGGAGTCCTTCTCGACACGGCGGGCTCCGTTGGAGTTTGACGACGGCGACCCTCAGTGGCTGCAGCGCCAGCGAGTGGTCCTCGAGTGCCAGTACCATGATTTCTGCGTCACGCTTCTGCGCGTCTTCTTCCACTTCTCGCCCAACCCAACCCGGGGAACATTCCACAGTGATAACAACTGCATCTCGTGCGTCAATCACGCCTACACGCTCACGAGTATAATTCACCAGATCCACGCTGAGACGGACATATTGACAGGGTGCTACCAAGCTTTTGAATGGCAGCAGAACGCCGTCTACGCGCTGGCTGCGTTTGCTGCTGCCAACCCGCTGTGCCCGCCAACACCCAGTGCCCGGAAGGCACTAGGATTGGCGGGTGAGGTCTTTGGCTCCTACGGGGACACTTCGATTCCAGCAATGCGGATGCGCAAACTGATATCCGAACTTGAAGTAAAGATTGCTGAGAAGATCGCCAGTTTCAGAGGAGGACCAACCCCCGGCCCAACCCCGAGGAGTGCTCAACCGGTCGAGGAGCCAAGCCCGATGCCTCAGAGTGACGTGGCCATGGAGGCACCTTCACAGAGCGTGCTGGGGTCGGTTCCACTCGGGGACTCGAATATTGACTGGTCAATCGTGGGAGGGTCTACGGAGCAGTGGTGGTCAGAACTGGACCAACCAACCCAGGATCTGTGGTCCACGTGGATGAAGGAGTTTGAACCTTGACATAAGATTCCATGGAGGTACAGAAATCATGTTATATATGATTGTTTAAAATCAAATGCCAGCTTGGTATACCTACTGCTCGGAGCTTGATATCGACTGAATGCATCCTGGGAGAGACTGGCCAGTTCCGGCGTCCTATCGCTCGACACAAAACCAGGATAAAAAACAACACAAGTAGACTAGTCGCCACATGTCGCACCCTGGCACTCGCTTCCACGGCTTGCCATCCAATGAACATACCGGCATCAACAAAACAAACAACCCACACGCGTGCAACGAGGGTTGCGTCTGGGTCGCCTCGGTGCTCCCGCCCGTTCGCATACAGCTTGCATGGGAAGTACCCCAGCGGTAGGTTCTCTGCAGAAATACGCGTGCAGGTACTGACTGACTACATCGAGGGACTGCCCCGCACTAGCCGCATCCGGCAGAAAGTAAACAACAACGCCCCCTGGGAAATCGCGGTCGCAGGCGACTTACTGGACTTAGGCACCCGCGTCGGCGGCAGGCCCACTGAAGGCCCGCTGTAGGCCGCGCCGATCCCCTGTCGTTTAGTGGCGGCCCCTTCACGGTTGGCCAGTAATGCCCCGTTCACGATTAACGATCTGATGGTTGCACCTCGTGCCGTGAAACACGTCTGTCTGTCCATTGTTGTTTTCCAGTCGACGCCTGTTTTTAAGGACCGTCCTCCATTGACGCATCATCTTCTTTGTCAGCGTTCTTTCTTTCATCTCACGCAGTTTCGTCCCATCCTATTCCCACCCCGGAGCCATATCTTACATGGTGGTTGCCTGGCCTGTGCTGTCCTGCATTGTCTGCATGTGCAATGGATGCCGTTGGTGATAACGTCCCGCTCGCCCTTCGGCGCGGCCGTCGCAGCAACTTTGGCGTCAGGATCAAGTCGGAGCCCGATGCAGTCCCCGAGGCCAAGACTCCTCGTCGCAGCTCGAGCAAACGTCGTGTTCGTTTCTCAGACTCCGCGGCCACCGGCCTGACACCGATGGTCCGTCGTACAGTCCTCACCACCCCAACCAGCACCCGCCGACGTCGTGTATCAGCACCGGCAACAACGCCTTCTTCTTCCAGCACAAACAGAATCACAGATCCAGCTTCGCATGATGGTCCCGGTACGCCAGGCCTTCGCCATGTCATTGACGGCAGAGTGGACCGTCATCAGCGCCGCTCGGCCCTGCGCACCGCCCTAGAGAAGCTGGACTTTACTCACCGTCGTTCCAACCAACAAGCCAAAACGCAAATTACCCAGTTGAGGGACGAGCTCCGCCTACGGGACCGGGAGATCTATGAGCTGCAGAACGCCACCATCATCGTTGATAACGACCGGCTATGGGAGCTGGAGCAGCAGGTCGACGATCTGCAGGCCGAGCTGAGAGAGGCCCGCAGCCGCCAGGATCTCCGAGAGAGCAGCCCCATGGACTGGACATTTGGCGCTCCCCCTTCAACCCATCATCGGTCTCGTGGCTTTGATGCCGACGACGAGGATCAGTTCGGTGAGGCAACCATGGCACAGCTCATGTGTAGTACCCCGTCAAGAGTGCGCTCCTCATTCCCAACGCCACCCGCCACCAGTCCCCCTCCCTATGGACCTGGCACACCAACAATGGGTCGCTTCAACCCTCCTGATCTTGCCCTCACACCGGCAAGGCAACCAGAGCTGCCGAGAACAACTACTGCTGGCGTTCAGGCCAGCCTTCCAGATCCCATGGCGCAGGCAGAGATGGAGTCACTGCAGCGAGAAGCCAGAAAGCTTTCGGAGACATTAGACACACAGCTGTCACTGCTCGAAGGAATCTCAAGGCGGCTCCCACGGGATTCCACCGTTATCGATGGAGATGACACTGTTGTCGTCTGGGGCCCAGAGGCAGTGGAGAAGCAGGTCGACGCCGTGATGCGGACACTGTCCGATCGCGCCGCAGCCCTCACCTCCCTCACAACCACGATATCCGCACTCGGGTACCCGGGGAACGACGCCTCCGAGATGCTCACTTCTCTCGCAACGTCATTCCGGGCTGCTCGTCTGGAGCTCGAGTATCTCACACCAGGGGAGATCACACTCCCTCTCACGTCTCGGAGCGCCGAGGTGCTTGACCTACTGCTAGTGAGGCTTCGCGAGCTGGCGCGCAAGGTCAAGGAGGGCGACGATGCCATTGACGAGTACCACGCCATCGAGCTGAACCTGCGCAAGCAGCTCGACTCCCGCGTCTCGGTCATGGACGACCTCAAGGCCGACCTGGCCGACAAGGAAGGTCAGGTCACGAGTAAGATCGCCAACATCACGGAGCTCGAGGTCGCAAATGACAGGCTCAAGGGGGCCGTGGAGGGGTACCTCCGCGACATTTCGCAGCTGGAGCAGCTCGTGGAGAAGATGGAGAGTGAGTCCACCGTCAAGAACAGCACCGTCGCGGAGAGAGATGCATCCATTTCTGAGCTGGAGGGGAAGCTCGAGGCTGCCTCCCGACGGGCGTCGGACCTGCAGGACGAGCTGGAGGTGGTCCAGGCAAGCCGGAAGAAGCACCTTGATAGCGTCAACCGTCGCTCCGGCGAGGCCCTGGCGCTGCGGGATGCTCGGGTCAAGGAGCTCCGTGACGAAGTGGACAGGGTCAATTCCTCGCTGCGGTCTGCGCACGAGACCATCTGCAGGCTGAGAGCTGATCATGGGTACGTTGAGAGGGAGAACCAAACTTTGAGGGAGGCGGTGGAGGGGATGAAGGGAGAGCTGCAGAAGGTGATGAAGAGAAGCGAGGAGATTCTCGCGGCGAGCAGTAGTGGAACCGGTGAGGCGAGCTCATCCCCAAGAGAGTACCTTTCCGGAAATCTGGCTCGGAGATTGGGCAGCAGCAGCAAGAGAAGGCGCCCTGATAGCGGACTTGGCTTCATGGAGGATGATGAGGTCGATTTTTGAGCAGTTACAACAAGAGCTGTCTTAATGGACTTTTTTGTCCACGGGCTGATTCGGCGTCTGGCGCCAATACTACACCTTCGTTGTTTTATGTCTTCGGTCATTCTATTTCCTTTGTCGTTGTTTTTTCCCGGTTCGCACACTTTCTTGTATACATAGATATCAAGCATCTCAGTTGATACAAGAGCGTCTCATGCACAGCGCAGCGTTGCTCAATCTGAGGCTTCGTCGACTTAGCTATCAAAATTTTCAAAATCACATTTCATAAACCACATCTCCTCTCCCTACCTTTTTCCTAATCGTAAAACCTCCATCTTGTCTGATACCTCGGAGACAGCGCCTCCCCCAGCAGCAACGCCTTGATCATCTCCACCGGCATCCCGCCGGCACGCAGCACCGCGTCGTGGAACTCCCTCTCCCCCATCCGCCCCTCCGCGAGCACGACCCTCCTCAGCTCCCGCAGCTGCAGCGCCCCGAGCAGGTACGCGGCCTGGTACAGCGGCCCGTACGCCCCCTCGAGCGGGCTGCCCTCGAGCGAGCGGCGCACCTCGGCCTCGGCCGCAGCGCGCTCGTGGCCTACTTTTGCTACTAGCAGGTCGACGCACTGCCGCGGGGTCAGCTCGCCGAGGTGGAAGCGCAGGGAGAAGACGACGCGCATGCAGCGGTGCATGCGCCAGAACATGGTGCCCGCCCTGTCCTCGGGCGTGACGAAGAAGTCTCCGCGGTCCCAGAGGAGGAGCTCCCAGTAGGTGGCCCAGCCCTCGGTGAGGAAGGGCGTGGAGAAGAGGGCGGCGCGGTGGGTGCTGTGGCGGCGCTCGGCGAAGCGCTGGAGGCGGTGGCCGGGGATCATCTCGTGGAGGGCGACGGCGCGGGAGAAGTGGCGGTTGTTGGCGCGGAGGACGGCGGCCTTGAGGGGCTGACCCATGGAGGAGGCCGGGCTGGCGACGAGGATGGACGGCCCGCCGAGGAAAAAGGGGGCGGTGCGCTGCTGGGAGGGGGTGAGGGTGAACATGCGCCAGGTGGAGGCGGCGAGGGGCGGGACGGTGACGAGATCGTGGTGCTGGACGTAGGCGGCGGCTTCGTTGACGAGGTGGCGGACGAGGTCGGTTTGCTTGCTGATGGGGGCGGATTGGGTCTTGACGTGGTCGAGGGTCTTTTTCCAGTCGCTGCCGAAGCCGAGCTCGTTGGAGATGGCTTTCATCTCGAGCAGGCAGCGATCGTATTCCTTGTGGGCGATGGAGAGGAGCTCTTCGGGGGTGTAGGGGATCATTTCGTGGGAGAGCTCGGACAGGAGCATGGCACGGCCGATGGGCTCGCCGACGATTTGATCATGGCCACCGTTTCCCGGATCGATGCCAACCACGGTAAACAGGATGGTGTCTATGTAGCCAGCAAGGGCTGTGTCAACAGCCTGCCAAGGAGTGGTGGCCCACCAATCGAAGGCTGGGTCGTAGGTTGAGTAGAAGTCGAACCACTCTTGAAGGTGTCCGCGCAAATTCTCAATGACCTTGGTAGCCTGGTGAGCCGTTGGCTTGCTGGCAGTGGTTCTACCGGCTTGGATGTCAGTCTGGATTTGGACAATCGAGGTTCGGATCTCGTCCAGGTCGTGGGCGGCCTGCTCAGCTTGCATTACTCGGCCATCCTGCCTCGCCTCGCACAGGGCCGTGATGGAGGATTCGAAGGGGACGAGCGGCTGCACCTTGCGGTGGGACTCTTCTACGAGGGTCTGATGGCGGCTGAGATGTTCAAGGAAGCGTGTCAGGAGGACGATATCCACCTTGTCCTGCTGCGAAAGGGAGTCGAATGGAAGGTCCTTGATGTTCGAGAGCTCGGACGAGCAGTACTCCTTGATTTTGGCATATCTGCGAGGCGCGTTGGGGAGGTTGTAGTAGAGGTCCAGCTCGTCGAGGTCAGCCGCCACACGACGCACACGGTCGGGGATGGCCTCGGCGTGGGATGCGTCTGTCTTTGACGGGACTGGGGAGAGCTGCTCCCACGCAAAATCCAGATTGTCGCCGGTCGCCACGGACAGTGATGGTTGAGATGGAGACATGGCGGTGAGGATGGCGATTGAGTCGCGACAGCCGATTGGGCTGTGAGGCTCTACTGCTACATGTTTACAGCTGCTGGCTTACCCTTCTCCAACTGTACATAACCGTCTGCAAGGTGATGAATAAGATCAAGTTGTGTCCCAAGTGCAGTTCGTTTCAGGGTTCCCCACACTCGCTCCGGTCGGGCATCGGATCCGAGGCTACCCTATAGCCACTGTAGATGAGATTCATGTCTGAGGAGACAAGCATGATATCTCGAATAGAATGCTCATTCTTATTCTCTTTCCTCGTCTTTAAGTGGCATCTTCACTATAAAGTAGAGGATGCGTTTTTCGGATGACTACAAAATCAATGGTACCCATCCGCGTTGCCGGTGCCCTCCCAAATGTGTACAAGAGGAAGGCCTCCCCGAACATCGCAACGAAACGGCTCGGTAATAACGGATCGGCGCGGATCTAGGCGAGAGATCGCTGCAATCAGTTAGATCGTTGGATCGATTTGGGGGCTTTTATTAGGCTTTCAGGGCATCAGGTTGACTCATTCAGGGATCAATCTGATTACCCGCGGCTGTCTCTCCACAGAGGATTCTTGGTGTGCGCTATTTCGACATTTCGCCTCCAGATTATTAATTTACCATAGATAAGTAATTGATACGGGAGGTATCCCGATCCGAGGACGGGGCTTGTTAATTTATTATCTTCAATTTCTATTCTAATCGACGTCCTTGGTCTGGTCACGATTTGCTGCTCGCGTGCTCATTGACCCCTACAGATGACGTACCGGTAACACGCAGCTAGAAAAAATGTTGCGCCCGGGATTTCTCGTTGTCCCGGTCCGACGCACTTTGGCGCAGCAGTTGCACAAAAGCTATCGACTGCCGCTGCACCATCGTATCCAGCCTCAACTGGCGCAGCTGGGCCTGCCGACAATCCGCATCGTACACGCCAGGCCGTACTCTTCATCGCCGTCTCCGAGCCCGAATCCAAACGAGAACAAGAAGGATGTGAAGCCGCAGCCGCTCGCCGAGGATCCGATCCCCGTGCCCAACACCATCCCCCCGCTACCGATATGGCAACGCCTCGGTCCTCTGACCTCTCTTGCCTCCGCGTATGGTCGTGCGCAGCGCCGTCGACCATGGGTCACGCAGTTCTTCAGTGTCCTGGTCATCTACTTCATCTCCGATAGATGCGCCCAGTCCATCGGCGGCGACGAGTACGACCCGAAGCGCACACTCCGAAGCCTCGTCATTGGCGGAGGCAGCGCCATTCCCAGCTACCTCTGGTATGCGCCTGGTCCCTTCTACACCCCTCGTATCGTTTGTCTGACTCTGATCGATCCCGTCTAGGTTCGTGTGGCTCTCGCACAGCTTCAACTACTCGTCGCATATCCTCTCCATCGCGACCAAGATCGTCGTGAGCCAGCTCCTCTTCACACCGACCTTCAACACCTACTTCTTCGGATCCCAGGCCCTCCTCTCAGGCTGCACGCCCTCCGAGGTCCTCGAGCGCGTCTACAACACCGTCCCGACGAGCATGATCAACTCGTGCAAGTTCTGGCCGTGGGTGACCGCCTTCACCTTCACCTTCATCCCGATCCAGTACCGCAGCCTGTTCTCGGGCGTCATTGCCATCGGCTGGCAGACGTACCTCGCTTGGCTCAACCGGATGGCCGAGCTGAAGGAGAGGGCAGGGGCGGATCACCTCAACGAGGCCGAGGCGAGTGTGGGTGTGGGTGTTGGGGATGTCGAGTGATGCGGGCCATCGCGAAACATGATTGAGTGAAAAGGAGGCATGGTGGATTATACCGAACGAATATAGATGGCGTCTGGTGTTTATAGACGGGCTCACCTTGTTATTTGGCTTTTGTTGTTGTTTTATTGCGACGCTAGGGAAAGGTTCAACACGGGCCCTTTCTTCCTGTGAATAGATGCTTTTCCCATGGAGTGATTCACTTATCCTTGATGATGATTGTCGACTCGATGGACAATGGACGGAAAGAACTTGTTCATAAGGAGTCGCTGTGTTCCATGGACTCATGTCGACCAATTTGAATATAAATTGACTGAACCAGGCGCATCGCAATACCTCGATAGACTCAACAACCAACACTGGTCGATCTTGAGTCGCAAACCACTATGGATAGCCTGCTAGAGCTGCTCCAGGACACATCTTGCAGCCGGTTGGCCCTGCTGCAGGAAGAGTTGGATACGCTGAGGCGTGATGCGCTCTCGTATCCAGATGATCTCCTTCCAACAACTAAAGCCAAGAGGTATCCGGCCGGCCTATTTTCCCACCCAAAACTATTCGAGATATCATGTGCCATATTGGATCAGCTCAAGGGTCTTGCCAAGGGTGACAAGCCCAACGATCCTTACACCACCGCCGCCGAGAAAGACCCTGCCGAGGCCAAGAGGAGGCTGTACACGTCCTTGAGAGCGTTGGAACTATACGAGCAGTTTCTCCTGTGGCAACTTGACACCAGGCATGTTGCAACGAGCAACAGGTATTCAGGACTCACCGAGCAGCACCAGCAGTACCTCAGCAACCACAGGACCAAGGCTCAACACTTTCTAGATCTGAGGGAGTTCTTGGGGCACGGGACCTCATTCGAGGACGCATGGATAGCAGACCGCTCCTTGGCCATCGCGACAATGCACAATGCTGGTGATCAATGCCGGGACCGCTCTCTATACTTTCGCGCCGTAGAGAAGTGGGCAAGCATTAAGAGTTTCAAACAGCCGCCGCGCCTCTTGCCATCGCCCAACGAGCAGGACCCTTGGTCCACCTACGTGGAGTTTGTTTACTTCCACTCATTGTGCCAAAAGAAATCTGGCGATAGAGTTATCGCCATGGAGGTGGAAATGTCCAGGGAGTGGGTAGTCCTGGTGCGAGCAAAGCTGCTCCAACCCGATGATACGGCCCTCTCACTTGTGCGCCGCCTTGAGGTGCAGGAGGATCTGCCGGAGGCAAGGGGAGCCCGTTTGTATGAAAAGTTTGTTTCCTCGTGGGAGCGCCTCCGTCAAGCTACCGAGGTCGCTGATTTTCAATCCGCCAGTGCGTGCTGGGCTGAGGATATGATGGACGATTTTAAGCATAGGTAGTGGTGGCAAGATTGCACTTCTAGCATCTTGACTGGTCTAGTAACTGCCCAGGGGCACCCAATTTCATCGTTATTTCTCCTAAATCTAGGCACTGATCGCTATTCTCCCTTATTGCTGCCATTGCGAGTGATTTCAATGTGAATGTTATCATGTTACAGGGATGTTCAAGTGATTGCAGTGGAATGTGAATGGAACCCGCTGGAAAGTTCCACCACCAATTACTGGTGCTGCTTACAATCGGCCCCTGTCCACCGAATTACCCGCTAGAGGCAGTGCTGTTCCTCACTGTAAGCAGAAGTCTACGTACACCGTGCTGGCTGCATTTGTCACAGCAGAAGCCTGGCCAGACTCACTCGAGGTTTCTGGCATTTTCTGTCTGCATCTTTGTCAAGGCTACACTCATTGCGAAGCCTTGGTGTCACTCGGTATCATAGCTGATTGACTATTATAAAGGGGCAAGCTCTGGCCTAGTCAGTGTGGCCTATCTGCTCCTCATCACACCACTCCCATACCATCTAGTCTAGCCTCACAGACATCGCCAATAAACCCCAGGCAACATTCATCACACAACCTCTTACACATCACCGTCCACACAAAAAACTACTATCAGCATAATGGAGTTCTTTCCCCGAACCGTCTACAACACTGGCGCTAGCTCCAGCAGCCCTTTCAACACCCTCGCCCAGCTCATTGATGAGTTCGACAAGTACTCTCGACAGGACTCCAGCAAGTCCCAGGAGTCGCCTGCCCCTACGTTCCACTGGCAGCCCAAGTTTGACGTTCACGAAACTGCTGAAGCCTACCATCTCTATGGCGAGCTTCCAGGTGCCACCAAGGACCAGATCTCCATCGAGTTCCCAGAGTCCCAGCGCATCGTCATCAGCGGCAAGACTGAGCGCTCTTACTTGAGCGCGACCCCAGGCTCACGCCCCAACTCGCGCCAGGCCACGGTCGAGGACGAGGCCGAGGCCGGTGAGAAGGCGGCCGCCGATGCTACCCCCCGAGATACCGCCAAGTACTGGCTGAGTGAGCGTAGCATTGGCCAATTCTCCCGCGCCTTCAGCCTGCCCTCTCGTGTGGATGAGGAGGCTGTCTCTGCGAGCCTCCAGGACGGCATCCTGAGCGTTGTCATCCCCAAGGCCAAGAAGTACGAGGCCCGCAACATCATTGTCAACTAGACCACTGATGGTCTTTGCACATGATTACATCATCGCAACACTTGATTTTTTATTGGCACTTGGAATCATCAATTACTGCATCGTCGGGCGTTTGGAATTGTGGGATCATGGGAGGCTCCGGACCAGTGCAACAGACGGAAGTTCCTCATGGAAGCATTTTGTAACAAAGTATTATCTAATTCAACACTATATCCTCTCACCTATTTTCGAGCTTGACAAGAATGAAAGTGACATGTGAAATAAAAGATAACGTATGAGTGACACGAACTTTTTAGAAACGAAAAAACTAAAACCAAACTAACCACTTGAGAACGAGGCCTTGTCACTGATGAGCTTTGGACGTCGCCAAAAGGCAAGTTTCTCAAGGAGGCCGAGGAACCCCCCACGCGCGCGCCCCCGCGAGGACGAGCTGACGGAACTCGCATCGTCAGCCGCGACCCTGTGTGGGTGGCAGCCGCAGGCACAGCAGCCGCAGCACGCCTTCTTCTTCCCGAGGATGGGCGGGGCAGGCACCGGGAGGAGGGGACCGCGAGGGAGGAGTCTGGGCCTGGGCGGCTCGACGGTGAGGTCGACGAGGGCGGCGTACATCTCCGAGCGGGTGTAGGGGATGCTCCTGAGGCAGACGGCGGGGGTCTGGCCGGCGGCGTGGCAGAGACGCTGGCGGATGACGTCGAGGGCGTCGTCGTCGTCGGCGTGCTTGGGCCAGGGCCTGCCGTGCTGCGAGGAGCGGGAGAAGCCGGGGGCGAGCCTGATCTCCGCGCAGAGGGTCTGCAGGGTCTCGATGGCCACGCCGGATGGCGCGGGGACCAGGTCCAGGAAGCTGTTGGGGAGGCTGCGGACGGAGGCGGGTGTCAGGGTGGGGGTTCTGTCCTCCCTCTGCACGCGGTAGAGCCGCAGGGCGAGCGAGTCCCAGGTGGGATCGAGGCCTGCAGGGGGTGGGAGCACGGAAAACCTGCCCTCGAGGCGTCTCAGGCGCTTGTCGAGGTCGGGGAGAGTGCTGGCCGAGATGATGTCGTCTGGGAGTTGGATGTTCTGGCGGCCCTCGAGGAAGGCAATGGCACCGCCGCACTTCGTCTGGGCCTGTCCATGGTCCATTTTCATCTGATTTCAGGAACTAATCAGAAATAAAGAAAAAAAAGAAGGCAAAACAAAAAGTGCAGTGGTGGATGGGAGAGGAGGAGGGGGCATTCATGCCGAAGGGTTTCCAATGCCTTTTAATGACCTCCTGCACGCACTATTGGGCTGAGAACTCGGGCATGCAGGAGTGTCAAGATGATTGGCTTGTACGTGCCCCCTTTTTGCCGTCGGATCGGGTGAGTGATGGCATAGTGAACAAGTGATGCAAAAGTGAGGCGGACGAGGTGTGTGGGCGTACAATTCCCGTGAGAGGAGAAAAACTTTCTTTTCCTGCTCTCATCCATTCACAGGCGGTTATCAATTGGCGGTCAGTCGCCTTGTCACTTATCAATTTGACAGCGTTGCACCGGAGGCTGGGAAGAGGTTAGAGTTCAATAGCAGCCATATATCGTATTAGATGTATATTTCTGCACTTTTTTGTCATTGTGGTTGTCATTATACCCCCCTCAAGGTAACGCGTCGCCTATAGCATCTCGTATGACTTTGCTCCCCTTCAGCTCCTTATTCGTTGCCTGGATAACGATGCGTCTGTAGCTCGTCAGAGCAGGTGTGCCCGAGTCCGTCACTTCGAGAATGACATGCAGCTCTTGGCCTTTGGCAACGGGGGCTCTGCTAATCAGGTCGGCGCAGCATTCCTCGGGTGTGGGAAGCGTGACCTTGACTACCCTCCCCTCCTCGTCCTGCTTCTCTATCTTCATCTCCTGGACCTCTGCCGTCACCCACCACTGTGATGCCGTGGGCTCCCTGTACTGCCACCATTTGAACGTTAGTGAGTCGCCGTCCGGATCGTACGTATCACTCGCGTCAAGTGCGATGCTCGTAGCTGCCTCAGCCGTAATGTAGATTGGGGCTGTGCCGACCGAGCCGTTGACGGAGATGACGGGGTGATGGTTGGCCGAGGACAGCTCAGGGGAGAGCGTCCACTGAATACGGGCGGCAAAGTCATTTTGGAAGGCGTCTCTCCAGCGCCAGATGGTGGCGTGATTGGACTTGTAAGTCTTCCCATCCTTGCCCACGACATGGTCGGTCGCATCGCTGTAGTGATTACTACCCAGGCCGTGGGGGCTTATATCTGTCTTGTTGTACCTGCCACCCCACGAGCCAAGTTCAGGGCGTTCGGGGACACCAAGGCCGTTCTGGATGAGATAGAGAAAGGTGGGAGTGTCGCCCTCAGGGATGAAGAGGTAGTCGGGGTAAGCAGACCCGAGCGGTCCGATCTGAACGTGTTCTTTGAGCCACTCTTTGGTAAGCTTGGAGATGTCTGGTCCGCCTTGGTCAAAGCCGTAGTAGTTGTCGCCCGCGATTCCAGTCCAGGCTGCGAGGCCATACTGGTTCCAGGCGTGTATCGAGGAGATGTAGAAGAGGTCGGGGAATGTGTTGCGGATCCAAGCTCCCGTGTCATCTTGGTCGGAGATGGTGTAGATTCTCAGCTTTGCGCGGAGGGGGGCAAACTCTTCCTCGCTCAGGGAATGCTTGAGCTTGAAAAGAACTTGCGCAAGAACGTTGGTGCCGCCCCAGACTAAGATCCATAAAGGGTCATCATTCGGAGCTTTGATTCTCTCTGTGAGAAGTTCACCACCCTCGCTGAGTGGGATATCATGTCCAACAGCCTCGAAGCCGTATACCTATAAGCGGGGAGACAATTCGTGTCAGTCTTTGTCAATTTGACATGAGAATTCCTGGATTGGAGAAGAAGGAAAAATTCATTTTCTTACCGGCGCACCAGACTTGATAATGCTTCTAAAGTAGTCGGCAGAGGCGTAGGGGAAGCCTGGGTGGGCATGCTTGTTCAGGTTGTCGACAGCCCCGGCATATGCGTCAATGATCTTGTGCATGTCCTGGGGACAGACTTTGTTCTTCATCCATGTTGACGTGCAGGCCACGAGACCTTCCGTTTGGAACTGGTTGGAGTAGAGGAGATATCGCACAAGCGATTCGGCGTCATCAGGCTCATTGGAGATATCTGATACAATGAAGACGCGGGGCTTTGACGGGAAAGCCAAAAGCTTCTTATTGTCCTCGCTTGATGCCATGGTTCTTATTCAATCAGCCAGTATCACTGTTTTCCCGGGAATCTGGTCTAGTTGATCAATCCAACAGACAGCCAGGGTTTATATGAAACGGCCGTTGATTTGACCCGAGGCCCAGCTTGCGATGCTGGATGATGACACTCTTTCATTCATGCCATAACTGGGATAACGTACCACTCGGCCAATTCGACAGTGCAATCGCCGAATTTCTCCCACAAGAACGGCATCTGGAGGCACCTCTGCCTCGATTTGGGATGGTCCCGACAGAATGGATCGGGTTGCGGCCAATTATTTACCGAAGATTAGGCGTAGCCACCTCAAATGTCATTACGGAAATCCTGCCTCGTCTCGGAGCCCCGTGCTTGGCCTCAATAGCTCCCCATATTGTTCGTACCGGGCTAGTTTGGCGGGTCAACTGCCGAGTCATTGAACAAGGGGACGCCGCAAAAGGGCCGGATTGGGACATGTTAAGCGCCAGCTCATCTCATAATTACGCGTGGACGAACCCCATGGGCTTCTCCGGAGGCCTACCTGAGGCCTTTGATGGGAAAACGTGGATGGATTTGTGGGTTGTGGGTTGTGGAGAGACTTCCCCAGATCACGCGAGCTGCAGGTTTGAGTTTGCCCTCTGTCTGCATCTTGTTTCCGCCAGGTGCCCCTTCGGGTCAACTCGGCTAATCCTGGGTGAAGGTATTCTCAGAAGTATACTCAAAATTTTATATATAATGACGCAAAACGCCGCTGCCGTTAGCTAGCCCAGCCTCTACCAACGGAGCATCCGACACTTCCAGCACTCTTCTTGTCTGTTCCTTCTACGCCCCTTCCCCTTCCCTTTATCATACATTCAGACATCATGGCGAAGAAGGTCAACGCGGAGCATCTGGATAATTTACAAACAGACAATCATGATCTGGCCAACCTTGCTAACCAGGAGGACCACGACCTCACCAAGATCGGGGCTATAAAGAAGTACCCATTGGCCTTTGTATGGTGTCTGTATGCCATCTGGTGTACGCTTCTTGTCTCATTCGAGAACCAGGCAGCTGGCAATGTTGTCGGTATCCCCGAGTTTCGCAAAGACTTCGGCCACGAATACGCCGGCAACTATGTCCTTGATGCCAATTGGCAGAGTGCCTTCCAAGGCGCACCCGTTGCTTCGTACGTTCTCTCAATCTCTCCCCTTGCTCCGATTGGGATTTAATCACTAACTTTGTTATTTCCTTTTCATAGTGGTGTTATTGGTGCTCTAGGTTGCGGTGCTATCGCTGACTGGTTGGGTCGCCGCGCCGTCATCATCATCTGCCTCGTTATTTCGTATGCCGCCATCACGATGGAATTTGTTGCCACGACAAACGAGCTCTTCTTTGGCGGAAAGTTTCTCAACGGATTCGCTATTGGTGCCCTCGCGTCCGTTACAGTTACCTACATCGGCGAGGTGAGAACAACATCGATCACTGGAATACTACAAACAGGGCAACGGACTAACAAAAAATTTCAAGGTTGCCCCATTGGCTCTTCGAGGCATGCTCACATGTCTGACCGGTTTGGCCTACACCTTTGGCCCCCTAGTTGTCGCCATCATCGTCAATGAAACCGGAACCATGGAAAGCCGCTGGGCATACCGCGCCGTTTTCTGCGCCCAGTACGGTTTCGCCTTCATCTCGACCATCTTCATCTTCTTCATGCCCGAGTCGCCCTGGTGGTTAGTCTCCAAGGGCGAACAGGAAAAGGCCCTGAAGTCCCTTGCCCGCCTAGGCAGCAAGGGCGAGATGGGCGTACAACGCCTCGCCTCCATCAACAAGACCCTTAACGAGATTGCGCAAGAGACTGAGGGTGTGACCTACCTGGAGTGCTTCCGCAAGTCCAACTTGCGTCGAACCATCATTTCCATTGCTCCTCTGTGCATCCAATCTCTTTCCGGTATTGTTTTTGTGGCTTCTTATAGTACCTACTATATCCAGCTCGCTGGTTTCTCCACCGAGATGAGCTTTAAGCTGCAGATTGTTCAGCAGATCCTTTCTCTGGTCGGAAATGTCATGTCGTGGTACCTGGTTGATCATTTCGGACGACGAGACTTGACTGTCTACGGCCTGCTCGTGCTGACTATTATTCTCTTCCTCACCGGTGGCCTGGCTGCTGCTGGAGGTGATGGCCCCATCAAGGGAACTGTAGGCCTTATCATCATCTACTGCTGGTGGTATAACGTTACCATCGGAGCTACTGCGTATACTGTTCTTTGCGAGGTATCGACCTCGCGTCTCAGAGTCAAGACAATCGCCATCGGAATGGCTTGCCAATATGCGCTCAACATGATCTGGAGCTTCGTCCTTCCCCTGCTCTTCAACCCGGACAAGGCCAACCTCAGCGCCAAGGTCTCCTTCATCTTTGGTGGCTTTGCCATATTGAGTCTCGTCTTCTTGTGGTTCTGGCTGCCCGAGACTGCTGGCCGCACGTACGAGGAGCTCGATGAGATGTTCACCAAGAAGGTGCCTGCGAGAAATTTCAAGGACTTCAAGACCGATACCCAGGCGTTTGGTGAGACTGCCAAGGCAGATCACTTGGATGAGGTGGAGGAGAGCAAATAGGCTACCAATAAGAGGTTTTTCAAGACCAGTGCTAGCTTCTGTACAATTTTTACTGCCATAATAAGTTGAGACTCGCCTAATACTGGTTGGATCTGGGAAAATAGTTAGATTGCATATAGAGAAAGTTGACATACCCTCTACTTCTTTGTTTATTTTCCATTGAAATTCCCTTTTTGCATGTTAGATATTCCCCAGTGACTATGAAATGAGTGTGAAAATTGCAGGACTACTTGATCCAAAGAGTCTGCATTCATGGATCAAAGCATTTTTCTATTGTGGGTGTCATGGGTTGCTGTTTGTTGTCTGCCCTCTGGCAGAGTTGCGTCTACTCGTGCATCTACCATGTAGGTTGGTAATTCATTTTCCCTGACGAAATGATCCCGCACATAATGCATAAATACTGCAACTAATCTCCATTCATTTCACTGGTGATCAAACCATGTATGATATCATATGCTGGATGCACAATCCAAGCTGTGGTAAAAAAGGCCATCAATATACGAGATCCTCTTTAGGCCAGTAGTATTCACCCACTCATCTAATTACTCTCAGGATATTAGACTTACTTATCTCTGTAGCTATTTAGGACCTCATAAAGACTTAAGTCCTTTAAGAAAGAGTAAGTTTAAAGATAGATAAAAGCTCCCTTAACTAAACTTTAGCTAGATAGTACATGTTACCTTCACTACTGATGTAGAGTTAAATCAAAATGTTCTGATTGATTCGATTCGGAGCCAATACAACATACCGCAGAAGTCTGCCGCATCCCAAGCTATGAATGATCACGGCGTGTAAAGATAGAGATACTAATTATGGCTAGAGTTAGATGGAGAGCAAAGCATGGAACACTGCACACATTTCTAAATTTGTCTGCATCTAGACACCTTTGCTACTCTTGTAAATGTCTGGAAAGGTCGCAGCCCGAAGCAAGAAAATACTGGTCCTACTCATTCTGTGAATGTCGTTTGTTGATTGTCACATCATAATATTTGGCCTCCCTTATACAATTATTCTCATATACTTTATAAAAACTGTCCACAATAATGACTAAACGATTTTTAGACTCACTAGAGATTACAAAGAGTTCGCAATGAGCGAGAATGACAAAGGATTGCTTTTGGGATTCGTAAGTCTCAAAGTTAACAAAGACACAACGTCTCAACAGGAGTTTATGGCTTTTGATGGATAAAGGGACAAAGCTCTTTATGGCTCAAAACTCTTATGAGGTCATCCTATTTCTCAGTTGGCTTCTATGGGGCACGAACACCAATACCTGAAATGGCCAAGATCACGACCTATTTCATTCCTGGGTGATCTAACTAGAAGCGACCGAAATCAAACAATTCAAACAAAGAAGATGATAACTGTATAATAAGAGTGACATTGTGGTAGTCTGGCCTCAAGTTCTGAAATGACCCGGCTGTTTCCTCCCAGACATAGATTGTGGTGGGGCTGCACCACGGCCTGCGGTGTAGTTCATTTGAAGTAAATGTGCTCCTGTTTTTTCTAGAGTTGATACTTCTCGAAAAATGAACAAGCTAAATGAAGTTCTCTGAACATAATAAACTCTCAGAAATCCTGGTACAAGGATCTCTACTATAGTCCAATTTTCGTAATTCTTTGATCTTAAGGACAGAGAACACTGATTCACATCATCAATGTCTGTTCACAACCTCAGATAACACTTAGAGACTTTCAATCACTCACCAGGAAGATTGACAGAAGATTATAAATACCATGAACTGCCGCCTCATATCTTGAATTGATGATAGTATCATTGATACAAGACAGTTTTTAGCATTATTCTGCAAACTTTACCCTCAAACCACATTGGAAATCTTGGAAGGTTTTAAACATTGATACTTCTAACAACGAAGTCATTACGTCAATTTCCAAATGGCGTCCCAAAGCTCACAGGATCGAGCATTGTCGATCAATCAAATTCTCCGCCAAAACCCACGAGATCAGCTCTATGTTGAGCCATTGAAATGGACCCATGATCATCTTCGGCACCTGGAGGTCTCTTTTGTTGAACCCAAAGAACTCCATCCTTTCGACCCGGTCAGCCGAGACTCGAAATTATGGGACACAGTCAATTTTACAGGGCGTAACGAGCTCTCATCGCAAGAAGTACGTCTCAGAGCAGTTGAGGATCTTTTGCAGAAGGCAGATAAGTCGCTATCATTCGAGTAAATTTGGCCCCTTAACTTTAAGCTACTGAATCAATTAGTACCTAGGGTGACTGACTTTCTCCTACAGAGACGACTTGTACCTTTGCTTCCACAGAAAGCAACAAAAGTTGGATTGCACATTCTCTCTTGAACCGGGCCAAGATATCCCCCTGGCCGCTTACGTTGATCACATGTCCATCGTTGCCAAGAGGGAGGGTACAGTGAAATCGAAATTGAAATCAAAGTCGACTAACACCTCAATTGAGATCAGCAAGTCCAAATCGGAGTTGAAACTCAAGAAGATAACGCCTGAGAACCCTTTGTACGATCCTTTCATTGCGGCTATATTGATTGCTCTGGCCCAAGCCCAGCAACGAGCAACGACGGTCTCGAGGCCACATACCAAGGATAAAGTTGTTGTTGTATGTAACGCGAACATATTAATATTTAGTTATTTGGGTTGCGCTGACTATACTTATTCTTAAGGATCCTGAGGACTTGAAGCCCTTGGCTACTGATGGCCGGACGTATGATGTAAGCGAAAAGCTCAGAAGACGATGATGTGATGCCTTGGTTGCTTATATATTTCTTCTCAGGTTCGATTGCTTGTCAATTTCCGCGAGGATGCATGCTTTATGCTTTATAAGGCTGTCATCTCATCGGCTTTCCTAGCCAAGTTTAACGATCTGGACTATGCACCATCAACGTCAGCCCCGATGAAGATTGAATTGAGCGATATTCCGTTTAAGCCCCGTATCTCTCTGCATCGGCGAGCCTTCAACGAACTATTCCCCGAGCGACAAGGAACTGGAGGTGATAGCGACGAGAGATCCACCGACTCTGAGAAATCGCCGAAGAATAAAACTCGAGCATCTGCGGATAGCAATGAGCCATCCAGCGATAGCCAGGGGCCATATAGTGAAAGCAGGGGCTCCACGGACAGCTATGATGTTGATAGTTCCTACCACGACTACTAGGCGGCTTCAAAGGTTATCCAAGTGGGAAAGAATTGAGCCAAACTGCTCAGAACGTAGAGACAGAACATGGTCTGCTGGTGGATCTTTCTGTAGGAACGTGTATTCCGATATCGTGCGAGATGCCAGGAATCCCGGAGTGGCACTACTTGCTCTTATAAAAAAGTTACTCTTTCATCAATCAAATGCCTCGGATAGCGGTTTGTTGATAGTGAGAATCGAACAATCAGTCGAATGACAGGAGGAGATGTTTATCTCTATAGAAACTTTGTGAATGACATACATGCGGGAATATGCAGTGTGAGATACCCTTCATGTGCCTCAAGTCTAGCATATACCTTCTTACATGACTATGTTTGGCTTCCTTTGACCACTTGACACAAGATGTGTCGTTTTCGTAATCCCTTGACTGATCCAACCCATCGGAAGCAGTAGAAACCCCTGAACTGCACTTACCAGAGCTGGATCGAAAGAGGTAAAGTCATCCTGGAGGTCAGAGCTTAACGCCTACCTCAGCTGCAAGTTTGCGGGCTTGGCGCCTTATACGCCTCTTGATACGCCTATGGCTCGAATGACAACGTGGGATTTGGGGGCTGGTTCGAAATCCGCACGACGTGCTGGGTATAACATTTCACCTACACTTTTGAGGACTTTGAAGAGAGGTGAAAAGCACCATCAGGACCGCCTAACAAGAAAGGCGGTTGGAAATTTTCAATTCCATGTGGAATGTAGACTATACCTTTGTCCCCCCTTCTTCTACCATTCCCTCCCCGATAATATATACATATTCGTCTTTGTGAAAAGGGCTGCTCAGTGCGCTGACGTCTGCATCGACCAGAGCCTCGAGTACTTGCCTCCCAACTCGAGGAGCTCCTTATGCGTCCCCCTCTCGACAACCTTCCCGCCATCAATGACGAGGATCAGATCCGCACCGACAACAGTGCTCAGCCTATGCGCCACCGTGAAGACCGTCCGGTCCTTGCTCAGGATCCGGATGGCCTGCTGCACGGCCGCCTCGGTGTCCGAGTCTACCGAGCTGGTCGCCTCATCTAGGACCACGATCTGCGGCCGTCGAAGGAGCACCCTCGCAATCGACAGCCGCTGCAGCTCGCCGCCCGAAAGTCGCACCCCGCGCTCGCCGAGACGTGTCTTGTAACCATCTGGGAACTTCATGATCTGGTGATGGATGCGGGCGCCCTTGCAGGCCTCGATCACGTCGGCCTCCGAGGCCCCCGGTCGGGCGTATATGATGTTCTCCATGATGGTCTGGTCGAACACGGACGGCTCCTGCGGGACGGCGCCCAGGCTCTCGCGGAGGCTGTGGAGGGTGACGTCCCGGATGTCCTGGCCGTCGATCAAGATCCGGCCCCCGGTCACGTCGTAGAAGCGGTAAAGGAGTTTCAGCGTGGTCGACTTGCCGCCGCCCGTCTCACCGACAAGTGCAATGGACTGGCCTGGCTCGGCGGTAAAGGTCATGTCTTGGATGATCGGCCGTTCTGGGCCGTAGCCAAAGTCGACGTTGCAGAAGTCGACACGGCCGCCTTTCCATTGGAGGTCGCGAGCGCCCGGTTTCTCCTGTACAGATGGCTTTGTCTGGAGCAGCTGGTAAAGCCACTCGGCGTCGATGAGGTGCGAGGTCGTCTCCCGGAGGGTCCAAGATAGGCTGATCATGGGTGCACGAATCGAGCTCCAGTATGAGACCAGGAACACGAAACTGCTGAGCTTGGCTGATCCGGCCGCCACGCGGAGGGCAACGACCGATGCGGCAGCTAAGAGCCCGGCATCTAGAATGAAAGACTCAAAGGCGTGAATGAAGCCGAAACCATCGAAATATCTTCGTTGAGCCTTGAGAGAGTTTGCTATCGAGCTCGCGTAGCGGTCTTGCTCGAAGGTTGCCCGGTTGTGATACACGACTGTCTGCCAATTCGTGATAGAGTCGTACAAAGTCTCATTCTCTCGGCGATATGTCTCGCTCAGCACCCTCTCATAGGACATGTTGATGCCGTTGCCCTTGTAGCCGACGTACGCATGAATCATGGCCGTTGCAATAATGATGAAGCCAAGAGTTGAGTCGAAATACGAGGTCAGGTATATAACAGCAACACCGAAATCAATGATGACAGGTGCGATGTTAAAGACGCTGTTCAACACTGAACTTAGGTTGCTGCCCTGCTCGATAGCCTTGGTGACTCTGCCCGTGCTCTTGGTGGTGTGGTAGTCCATCGAGAGGGACATGACATGGGAGAACGCAGCCTCGGTGAGCCGGCGATAGGCGTACTGCGAGACACGGATGGTGGCCATATTCTCTATCATGTTGGTTATGGTAGACACGGGAAACTGGAGGAGACCCCAAATAACAATATCCTTCCACGGTACGGAACCAGTACCAAACATATTTCCTAGTGACTCGGTGAGGATACCGAGCTGGCGGGGGATCATGAGGGTGAGGACGCGGGTGGTGCCCATGCAGAAGATCATGACAACCACCCAGCCTTGGGTCGGGCGATGGTTGTATGGTACAAGGTATGGGAGGAATATGATGAAACTCCTCAGGTAGCCTAGCCAGCCACCTTTCTCCTCAAGACGTTTCCGCTGCAGTTCCTTGATCTCCTTGACGTCTTCGTCCTCTTTGGCCTCGTCCTCCTCAGCCTCCGCTTCAGGATTCTCACCTTCTGCTGTATGAGGAATTGACCCGTAAGACCTGCCCTCCAAGTCGTTCTCACGCGCCTGCTCATTTTGAGTAGCGCCTAGGAGGCTGCTGGTCTCTTCTTCGGTCCCCGTCTCTTCTTGGCCGTGGTGCCGCTGGATGGTACAGAGACTGCAAACAGCGCCAGCCAGCAACACAGTTATGCGCAGCGTGTGGATAGAGAGACGTGCAATTTCGTACCCGGAATTGAGGGCCAATTCCTTGTTGGTAGTAAGAGCGACAATGGATGCATCGATTAGAGCACCGGAGGTCCAGGCCAAGATGTACGTGGGCCAGTGAGGTGATTTGCTCTCTACTAGAACCACTGATAAGGTACCCCAAATCAGGATTGACGACAAGAAATACAGCTGTGGGATAATTTTGTGAGACAGGAATATTCAGCGCGAGGAGGGAAGCATTGTAGTTGCAACATACCGGAGAGTTATCGGGGGGTGATGATGCATCTTGAGAGCTGGCTTGGTTCTGGACTGAACCGAGAATGGCTTGCGCAATCTGTTGAGTTCAGGAATATCAAGCTCCAGTTAGTAAATGGGCAAACCTTGATAATTGGGTCACTCAAGCAACAAGGCCAAGAGAAGAAAACACAATGACGGAGACAAATACGGCATGTAGATGATGGGAACAAGACAAGCAAATGGGTTATATCTGCGTGCGCCATGTCCATCCGCGGTACTCACAAAGGTCAGACAAGTGATTGGGGACACACAAGTCAGCGTTGCTCTGGCGGTTCTTCCGATGCCGCTATACCTTGACCGCTCACTCGCCGGCCGGATCAGCAACCGGAGCAGTGGGAGCACCACAGTAAGAGCCACAATGGCCAGTGGCCCTGCAATGTACAAGACGTGGGCCACCTTCTCAGATGGCCCGGGGTCACGCGCAATTGGGTCAATTGAGTCCATTGAAACGGCCGAGGGGTTGGCGAACAACCGAGCCGTTTGCTGCCAGACAGACTCCCTCCCTAGCTCGAGTGATTCTGGCGAGAGGACGGGCTTGAGCTTGGGGTGCGTGGTGTGAATGGGAGGGGAAAAGAGAACGAAAAAAATAAGGCCAGGGGTCTAGATGAGACGCTGATGGTTTGATTAGGTGATGGGGTTCTGTTTGTTTCGGCTTGGCGCCGGTTAAGTTGCATCGCGGCCATTCATGCATCCTGCATCCTGGCCTAGACTCGATCTGCATCTACACCGTAATATCACGTACAGAGTGGCCATTGGGTAGTTTCGTCCGTTTCGACGCTTGTCAATCGCATGCTGCGCCATCTGATGAGGCGAGTGAGGGAATAAACCCCCGGGTCATGCAGGACACACTCTAGCTCAATAGCAACCCACCTTGCATAGCCTGTCAGAGGTGAGGAGTAACAGGCGCGCTAAGAGTGATATTATCACTCTTATCAATAATATGACTCTGTGCTTAGCGTCGGTGCCGTGCTCGTGAACCACGATGACGGTCTCAACTTGTCTCACACATATCTACAGAGTGGCATGATCTCGTGGTAAAAATCACGTGTCCGTCTATGGAAATTAGCTTCAGTCTCACACAGGTTCCTCTACACTAACCGTGCTCATCCAGCCTCACCTCTATGGGGAGGTAAACCGTAGGCTATCAAACTTACATGTGGCTAATGAGAGACACTGGCCATCTTACAGAGCCTCCACAAGCGACAGGCGGAGGCTACTGTCATTTGAATGGTCTAGTAGCGGCCGTGAACCGGCGTTTTTGCAATTCAATTCACCGCTGCTGCCTTCCCAATGATGAAGACGTGGCGAAATTCAATATTAGACCTGGGAATGAGGCATGCATGATGAGAAATGGGCATCATGTGACTTCTAGTGCCCGGTAATAACCACACCATGCATCTGTCAATGCAGCACACCTTTGCCAGATATAGTTCTTGTGGATACGGTGTAGGATTGTGGGCTACAGGCAGGTGGAGAAAACTGCCAGAGAGGTGAAGATCTCTGTGAGGGGGGGACGACTGCGGGTCTTCCTAACCGCGCATTTCTGTGGCCCATGAATTATCTGTTGAATACTTACTTTGGTATTCTGTTTCTCTTGTGTAAATTTGGATTGTTAAACACAGGAGGGCCCCACAAGAATATTGGGAGTTAACATGGTTCTGACCTTAGAATACAAGTAATAAGTGAAAAGCTAAGAGCTGTAAAGTATGAAAAACTAAGGTAGTTCTAACTCAAAGAGAATATTAATATTGCAAGATATCTCGCTATACGATGAACTGAGTTACGGAAATATAAAGTATATATTTATTGAATATCAAGCATGGACTGTGGTTGAGCAGTTGTGGGGTCCAGGGTATGTGGGAACTGCTGCATGGATGGTAGCATCCGAGAGCTTGGATGAGGCGAATCAGTTCCTTGTGGGTGCTTATTCGCTATGCTATACATAGTACTGCATATTTTAAGACTAATTTAGCCAATGTTGAAGTTATGGACTCTAGTTTGGTATTTATGGTGACTCAAACGACGTCAAGGCGTTGATCCGCAGCCAGTCTTGTGCTCCACCTTCCAGCAGAGCGATATCAGGCCATAATACATACCTACTTACTTTGAATGTGTCTCTTAGCCGAGCGTAGTAATCGCATGAGTACGTTTTTGCAGCAATTATGGAGTCTGTCCCATAGACGATTGCAAGCACATCATGCCGGCCTAGCGCGATCATGACGCTTGACTGGTAGCGCTTACATGGATGAGATCAGCATCGCGGTAATGGCCATAGCTGCAATGATGGAAGGGGAAGAAGTATTTTGCGAGCTTGGTAAAGAGGTTTGGTTGACGATGATCTTGGGTACCGGATGGCAGAAAGAACACTGGGCGATAATGTTAGACATTTCATTGCGCTACAGGTAGAGTCTCTCGTCATGCACAAGGATTGGGTAGCCAAAGAGAGTATATTAGGAATTAAAGCAGCTAGTATCTTCCATAGGAATATTGGCGGGTCAGTGATGGTGCGAGCGGGATCTTGTGTACGTGAGGCAACCAGTCGGTCAAACAACATCGCTCTTAGTTGACGTGTGTGGATGGATGTTAGAGTATTCCAAGATACATATCGACATAGGAGGTAAACATTTCTCGACCCCGTCAGATCGCAAACCGTGTAGAAGGCCAACATCTGCAATCCCATGACTTATTATCGAAGGACTGGCGAAGAAAAGGTGCTCGGATATACTTGAAATCGTTCTTGCTCCGTTGTTTGAGACGCAACGATCACTGTTGGATATAACGAGAGAAATGAGCCATTGTATCTCAGTGTTTGAAAGTTGGAACAGGCCGCCTGCCTATGGCATTGACAGCAAAACCTCTCGTCCCTTGATAATATGGTGAAGAAACCATCGGGGACTCTGGTTGTCTGAAAAATAAGTATGGGTTAGATCTGACGTCTTCTCCCTTTTATTACATTTAATTTATCATCGCATATTGCCGTCAACTATTTACTCATCTTTGCTACCCATATCCTAAGAGCCCCTATACCGCCAGCCGCTATCAGAGGCGTCAGAATCTTGAGCAATTCGGCAACTGACATGCCCCCGTGAAGCTCTCGAAATTTGTTACGGAAAACCTGCAACTAGTTAAGACGCGGAAATGAGACACCAGGTACGCCCTTTCCAGAAAGTCAGACAGCGGCTCCCAGCCCAGCTCGGCGAGATCCAGCTCCAGAAGTCGGTCTGCAGGCACCAAGTGGCGAACCTTGGCATGATGACGATCGTATCTGGCGCGCGGTATACTACGGTCTCGTGTTTTATCCAGATCGCATACTCCGAACAAGCCCATATACATTTTACAGACTGTATGGCTCAAATGGTGACCTACTAAGGGCTGGAAAACGTTACCGCTTAGCCATGCTAGCAGACCATGGGAAGAGGGTGAGGCCAGGGTGCGGAGAAAGCTCTGGACCTAAGAAGCAAAATCTCATGTGACTAGGATGACATGTGCCTCGGGATATGCGTTCAAACGGCTCTCAGCGAAGGGTGTGATGTCTGTTAGAGCCTCACATGAGCCTTGGTATGCATCCCAATCCTCACGGGTGTTGGAATGGTCTGTGTAAGATGGGAGGTAGGAGATGTTAGCATCGGCAGCGGCATCCCTTCCGTTCCATTTGTCGAAGTTATCCACTAACGCCGATGAATGAAAGACGTCACGATATCCAAGGATGCGAGGGCTTCTTTGAGGGACTGGGAGCCGGTGCGGTACAAGCCAAGGGAGATGATTTGCTTTGGGCGTTTAGGGCCTTTGGCGAACGGAACAATAGGCTAGGTCCATGTCAGTTCGTCATACACTGAGGCCTATTGGAAACACGCCTCAGCCTACCCAGCCGCCTGTGAGATAGTCTGTCATCCAGAATGCCCCATGAAGAGTTTTCTCTATTGCTATGATGAGGCTAGTTGATTGCAAAGATCCTTGCCAGTAGATTCTCTTTTATTAGTAAGTGGTAAGTGGGCGTGAATGGACGGGTAGACGTCTGAACTGAGGCTGAGATGAAGCATCGGACGGGGGTCATGATCGCACCGCGCGGTCAACAAATTTCTTATTAGTTTTATGTATGCATTTTTTTTGAACTTGCCCTCTTGATATAGCTATGATGGGAAAACGGTTGTTTAGTATAGGGATAAGGAGGATTTGGTTATATACTATCATCTCTTTTGCAAGCTGGTGATTACCACATATGTAATGTAAAACTATACGATGGATCATATTGACACTTAGGTAAAAAGTTGTTTAAGGCAATTGTGATTGGTTCTAGCTATGAGGTGCTCTCGGTGAACCGGCTGCAAACACTGAGCCGGGTCGGGCGAATCCCCCCGAGTATTACATTACCCCTCCATCGGTGATTACAGTCTCACTCATTCTGGGCCTGAGACATCTTCGAGTTGGAACTGAGAATCCAAGTAATAGCCCGGGGTAAGGGCACCGGAGAAAGGCGGCACAGATTGTCGGCTAGTGGGAAATGAGTGTGCATACACCGATGGTCATACGCTGAAATTACTGATGAAACAAAGCTACTACTTGCCGCATTCAACCCTTCAACTTCAAGAATGTATCACGTCGTTGATAAACGTCAATCTGGTGTAGCTGGGTAACAATGGCATTCAAACCTTCTCTGCCAACGACCATCTGCCATTTTGTGTCTTGTGACTGACTGAGAGTGTGTTAGTGCGTGCGCAAATATTTTCGAGATGAGCTGAAAGGCCTCGATTAGGATGATCTCGATTTGGAACTGGTACGAGTGCACTATCCGACTGCTTCCGACGTGCAGGTGCGTACAAAAGTAGACTGGCTCTGAGCTGAGCAGTCACATGGGCTGACAATGGAACAACGTGGGTGCTGATTTGTAGTGAGCAGCCACTGCAAGACTACTAACGTCACCGGGCAAGGGTGAACTGAGACAATGTCTACCAAGTGGCTCTTGACTGGTTGATTGACCCTGTTCTTCCACATCTTACAGTGGAAAACAGCTCACAGTTGAGAGTGTGGGTGCCTTCGGGAGATTTGGATATCGCCGGGGCATGCAGTTGGGACCTGTCAGAGGCTGTCGCAATCATTGCCTTGTTAGGGTCCGCAAGTATGTTTTAGACTCAACATTCCCTGGTTGGAAAAAATAACCGATGAAAGTCACCATTATGTTGGCCATCATAGGCAGGGTGTGGAAGGATCAGGCAGCCCCCCTATCATGAGAATGCGGGAATAGGGACCCGATGTCTCATAGGAGAGCAAGGTGGGAATATGGGTGGCATTTTAAAGACTTCTCTTGTTTGAGGACTCGGGTGAAGGGTCAACGCGGCCGAGGGTCGGATCCGTGCCTTGGGCGGGAGAGGCTGGCCGAATAAGGGGTATATCTGATTGTCCCACTCTTTGCACGCACAAGTGAGCTGCTGTCCATAAGACGTAAAGCGTCCCAAACCATGTATTTGCAGCTAAACCATGAACAAGGAAATTACTTTGCGACATTCATGGAGACATAGCCACTCCGGTGGGAAGCTTGGCATGAGTACTAGGCAAGGGCTGAATGCCTTTTGAGTCATGGGATGGAGAATTAGATGAGATATGACAGGTTTGTAAGTTTTTGAGGTAGATTCAAGGCGTTACTGATGGATCCCGTAACATTTGCGATCATCAAAAGGAACAAAAAGGTGTACGCGCATGTTTTCCTCAGGTGTAGTCGCAGTGGAATTTACCCACATTCCTCTTGACCTTGGCTGCGTACACGTCCTCGATGTATTACGCGCTGTGATCTGTCATATTGGCAGACGAGTTACTGTAGTTGATGTTAAGGAAGAGGGGCAAGTGTTCAGCCAATTCTTGGCACGCTCCGAGAATCGGAATCAAAGAACGCCGGATTTTAGCGTGATTGAGGGTAAACCTACGTTTAATGTTAAGAACTACCTGGGTCCCGGTCCCGAGAGAATGACCAAGAACTATATTAGTTCCCGGGAAAAGCGAAACATGAATAGAAAAGAACAACTAGACTCGGCTCCACAGCGGGTGGATAGCTTAGACTGGAATCCCCGATAGACGGACAACGGCCCTTCTTTCTACTACTTCGAACAGAGCTGACCCCAACATGCATGTCTGTAATTGTGAGACACAAGCTACTTCGTAGCTAGTTCAGGTGATAGCCAACGTCGATTGAGTGGCCAAACTATATGCATGGTCGTTGGTGCCCGACGGCATAAGCCTCCCGTCGGAAAGCGTGCACTTGTCTTCTTATAAAAGGCTAGACTGGGTTTCATTCATGTAGCCAAGCATAAGCCGGGGAATTCCCACCGCTTCTATAGCCTTTTATTTAAGCATAGAGATGATCTTGAGCTCAAAGAGGATGTAAGAGATGCTCACCCCCCCAGATTCGGAAAGGTCAAGTTGAAAGCAGAAGTCTTAAATTGGGATGCTTGCTTTTGGTCGGCCGCCCTACGTTAACCCGTAAGACCGCGGCGATCGGATTTTTGTTTCGGATATCGATGTAGGTAAAACATGATTTCTGGCCTGGCTTCTCCTTATAGGTAGGAAATCTTTCGGTGTGGCTTTTCTCCTTGAATTCGAGCTTGAGATGTTCAAGTTCGAGCATCCCTATGTTGGAGTAAGGACGATGTGAGATTTGCGTAAAAGTAAACATCCGGTACGATAGGAAGTGAGGATTCCCCTGCCTGTCTCCCTTCTTGACACAAACTCTGCTCCGAGTCGGAAATGCGGAAGGATTCAGCTAACCGCCGTGTGATCAATCTCTTTTTCCTCGAGATGGAGCCCCGCCGTCTCAAGTGCAATGACGACTGTGAGTTGTCTTAGCCTACACTGGCTTCCTGCAAAGGAAGAGTGATGGACCGTTTAGTAAGAAGGCGAGAAAAGGCCTCTAGCCAAGGCTCTACGAGATACAGGTGTGGCATTCAACTTCACTTCCACCTAACGTCGAGCATGCTGCCAAGAACGCCTCGTGCCTTCACCGCTTGAACTTACGGATAGAACTCGAAAGGGACTGGATCATGGTTTTGAAGTGTGGAACTAGTCAGGTAATTCTGAACATGGCTGTCTACTTGGAGGAGCTCTTCCTCCGACGGCAAGATCACCTTCCGAGGCCATACTTCGAGTCTATGTCACTTATCGCCACCTTGGTTGTCATGAATATCTATAAAAGCCAATGCAGTCCCCGATTAACCCGTTCGTTTCATCCTCATCACCAGAAAAGGATTCATCCCAAGCCTCCAACTACCTCAAAGTCTTTGTCCCTCCTCTCATTCTACCTTTTCAAACCTTCAACTTCGCAAAAATGAAGTTTATCGCTGCCACCATTCTCATCGCCGCCACTACTGTCGTTGCTCAATATGACCCTTGCCGCTCACCTCTTTTCGCAGTTCCTCTCTGCTGCAAGACCGATGTTCTTGGAGTCCTCGGTTTGAACTGTGAAGCGCGTGAGTTGCTGATCCCCCTCCTCAGACCTGTACAATCGATCCATGCTAACGTCATACTCTCTGGCAAATAGCAATCAGGGCTCCTCTTAACGCCGCTGGCTTTCAGGCCACTTGCGCTTTAGCCAATGCTCGGGATTCTAAGTGTTGTCTTGCTCATCTGGTATGTGACGAGCATCGTTCGGCATTTGACGCCTTGAATATTTGTGCTGACTATCTCCGTTCCCCAGCTCGACCAGGCAGTTCTCTGCATCCCACCCAGTCCCTAAATACGAAGTTTTTGGAAACGAACTAAGTGTGGAGGCGATAAACAACATATTCTCGTAGGCCGGTGGTGATGGTTTCGGAGGCCGGGTAGTTTCGGGCGGCTTTGAATCGCATTCTCTCTTTTTCCGATATTTCCTTTGTTATCGGATACTTATGGCTGTCTTAAACGCTCTTTCCATTCACCTAAGAAGTAATGAAAAACCTTTTCCCCGGAGAAAGAATGAGTCCTCCATGGCGATGTGTCAATAGATGAGAGACTTGGGAGGTTGTTCGCCAGATAGTGCCTGGTGCTTGGGGTTCCAAGACAAGCAATTTTTTTTCTTCCAACACGAACGCTGGGACTAGCTCTCAAAAGCCTTTGAGATTGCAGACAAGAACTATAAGTTCTAGCGAGGCTAGAATCAGGTTGATCAGAACGATCTGGATAGCTTAGGGATGCTTCAGCCTGTGCTGTCGCGATGTGGCTACGGCCGAGGGGGCGGTTTGGCTACATCTCGCAAAGAAACAGAAGAGTCTGCGATACTAAGTATTAGAAGGAAGGCTCAGAGCTAAACTAATCAAATATTTTACAGAAATCCGAGTAAACCGATGAATTAAAGTGAGTTCGAGAGTGAGCGTTTGGTATACCTATGTGAAGTACCTAGGTACATAGGTACTTTGTAGCAGTCTCTGGTCACGTGGGCTCCCATCTCTTACATCAGCGACTCTGACCAATCAAAGCTGGGTATTGATGACTTCTTCACGTGCCACGCGCTAAAAGCTGATTGCCACTGTGACGCACTAAAACAACCTCTATCATTCCGCTGCGCTCGACCTTTAATTTAACCTTGCTCACATCAAGAACCCTCATTCGCATCTTCTCGTTAATTATCAAGAAAGCAAAACTCACCAGCCTGCTGCAGAAAGTGTGGAGACATGATCATTAACGGAGAAAAGTTCGCTTGCGATACATGCATCCGGGGTCATCGCGTAGCCCAGTGCAAGCACACAGGTATGTGAATACGTAGCCTTCTCAATCCAGCTCCCTCAGCTAAATGAAATCTAGATCGACCGCTTCGACAGATTAGCAGCAAAGGACGGCCCGTATCGCAATGCGATCACTGCCGCGACTTACGAAAGACTAGTTCCGTTCACACGAGGTGTAAATGTGCTTCCGAAGCCCTGAACCCTGCATCTGGACTCGGTAGGAGCCACCCATGTCGCAACTCTCCAGATATTTGCTAACATCTCTTGACTTGTAGCTCGATGCCGGTGCTTTACCGGAGAGGGCTGTACTTGCGCACACAGCAAGAAGCAACCGACTTTGAAAGACGCACTTGATGTCGATTCCGTGGGCTATGGCTCACCCATGACGGAGTCCGGCATTGCCACGCCGAGCATATCAACCGAAGATGGAGGCGCTAAGACACCTCAAACGCTACCTATAAAAGTCCACAGGCCTCTTGCGATGAAACCCGCACTTCCCACGCCAGAGGAGGGCAGAAAGTCTTGTTGTTCATCAAGTCCGAAGCAATCCTGCTGTTCTTCTAATGACAAGGCTTCTTGCTGTTCTTCTGAGACAGTGGTACCTGATACAAGCTGTTGCTCCACAGGGCAACCTGAGGGCTCACATGTGCCCCCGGTCCATGATTTCCTGGTGAATGATGCCCAAGACAATCTATACAATGTCGGGCCACCTTGGCCGATGCCAACAGGCTTTGACTCTTCACTCGACCCTTCCATGCTGGATCTGCTTAGCGACACTCACCTAAACACCGAACCACCTCACAGCCTGGATATATTTGGCCCTCTTTCATCAGGGCAAGAGCCAGATGCTTTGAGTCAACCTCTCGATTGGGATGGCATACCTGTAGACTGGAGTTCCTTTGACTTTCAGCCCACAGTAATCACAGATGTGCCGCAAGAAGAAAATCAGCAAGCTCATGCGTATCCACCCCTACGGTGATATGGAGCGACCCTGAGAACACAACTTGACAATAAGACTCTATATCTTGGAAGTTAGCTACACGCTGCTACATGAGACTTCCACTCAGCTCCGCATCTGTTATTTGGAATGGAAGGGGGTGACAGTGTCACGGGTCGAGAGGCAAGGATCGCTCGGGATCGACTTTACGTTTCCCGAGACGGCCATGCTTCAGAAAGAGTTTTATGGGTTGCACAGGGGTAACCATGCCCTGTTAGTTTGATGGAAATGGACAACGAGACGAGAATAAAATTATAATGTTCTACTTTGGCACCTTGAGGACGGACCCATTAGCGATCAGGTGCTCAAAGCGTGACATGATGCTACCACGCCATCACCAAACGTGGCCGGCGATGGACCCCAACAGCAGCCTTCTCCACGTCGGCGCTATCATAGATCACGCACAGCACGTAGCTTTGATAGCATGAATTCTACAAGGATGCTCAAATTCATCTGTACTTGCTGCTTGTTGGCATTGGCCGACGCATGCAGGTTCAAATTATCTTGTTCATGCTCATTTATGTTGGGCGTGGGATCGGTCAAAAACTTCAAACCGCATAACAGAAGCGGCATTATATTTGATTGAAAAATAGCCTGCAATGTTTTGCGACTTGTCGTGAACACGGTGCATCAAACGACTAACCGTTTCAATTGGAGGGGCCGATCGGGGATCACACCACAGCTTGAAACAACCCCAGACAAACTGACACGCAAAGGCTGGACAGACAAGCCTGGGCGGTTCGCCCCCGGCCAAGCTGTCAAACCGCCTCGGCTAAAGCATCGCGCTGGGATGTATTTAAGCCTCTAGACCCCGTCTCAATAATGCTTTCTACCGCCTTTCTTCAGGCATCTCTCATTCCTTGGCCTGAATTGCTTGCTACTGGATTAGCATGCATTTTATCTCTGCTACCGGTCTAGCATTTTGATACCCCTTCACGCACTTGCTACTGGCTTAGCACTGTTCTTTTTTTTCAAGGATGAAGGTCGCTTTTGTTGCTCTGGCGATTATGGGCCTCTTTGGCACTCCACTGGCATCGCCGCTGGGCCAGCTGAAATGCTTAACCAGAGGAAGTAAGTCGAGCTTGACAGCGCCACTTTGAAATCGCTTGCTAATATCTCGTTTTTAAAGAGGGCTGTTCGTCGAACGAGGAATGCTGCTCTCAGGAGTGCTCCCCGTCTGGCGCCCTGGGCTTCGACGATGGGGGTGCACCAATCCTCGCGTACTCTTGCGCATAAGAAACTGCCAAACAAAGCAACCCTCTTGCCGGATTTGACCTGGCCTGATTCGATTTAGATTGACATGGATGTCTCATCTGGTGTTTTTCGAGGCAAGCCATTCCCCACTTGGCGTTTTTGGTGTTTCATCAAGGGCTCATGGCAAGGTATACCAAGCATTTCAAGGCAAACGGGGGTTGGGCATGGAACGAAGGAGAACATGATAACCAGAAAACCGGCAGGCCCGGAATGAGCTTCTTGAATGAGTTAACGTATCTGAATATACCTGCTGGATCTTCTCCTGTGCATGAATTTTGCTACTACCTGCCCTCGACCTCCTCGCATCGTGACCACCTGTCTGTCTCATGATGATTTGTCAACAACATCGAATGATAGCCAGCTGTAATAATTTTCCCGTGGCATGAAATTAAAGGCTAAATGTCTCGTAGATTAGACGCTTACCGGAACTTCCTTGGCCGTCGACCCAAAGCGTCCGAGTACCTGAAACGAAACCTCGGACCAGGGTTCGCGTTTCGGTTTTGGGCAACTTTGCTTACTGCCAGTCTGATACGTGCGGTCGCTTACTATGAGCTGATCATTCTACAGCAAATAATAACCTCTAGATAAACAACTAGTAAATCACATCTAGGTCTACTATAAGTAAGAGACACGAATACCCCCTAAGTGTTGTTAGTAAGAGAACAACAGGGTAACATAGGTAAACAAAAATTAGCTTGGCACCTGGGAACTTTTCATGAAAGATAAGAAAAGAAGCCCTAGAAAGACCTTGAGACGTAATGTGAATGCACGTAAGTATATCAGGACAGTACGGCAGACCGCCGGGGTATTGAAACTGAGACGACAACCCATTATTGAAGGAAAGAGACTATTTGGCTACAGTTTCACTAATAATACGAGAGGCAGCGACCAGCTAGCGCAAAATTTGAGGATATACTGTTGAGGGCAGCGTTTTATTTCACTATTTCGTGTTGGCAAAATGCATAAATCGTTGACACCTTCATTTAAATGTAAAATTCGCTCCTATAGGCCGATCAATGATGGGATATCACAATTCGCGGGCGGTCAACAGCCAACCCTCGATTCAGTAGTTGTAAAGACGCATATTTTGTCGTTTAGATATTTAAACAGCGCGGGATAGATGGCTGTTCCGCCCCAGCACCGCATCGATAAGATCCTGGCCTGGGAAATCGGTAATGACGATGCCCGTTTTTCCATAGTTCTCGTCACCCTCTTTAACGGTCTCAGTTAGCCATTCGCCTGTCTCATCATTCATGCCAACAACGGTGCGGTTGAGTGGACCAGCGGCAGCTTCGATGGGTAAAACGCCCACCGAGGCACTCAGATGCGAGAGGAACAAGGCTCGGTTATCATCTGCGGTAGTTGCGGCCTCTATAAGTGAGGCCTCGATAGCATCCCATTTCTTCCACAACGAGTCGACATTTTCAATCTCGTAGAGGTCTTGGAGGATCATATCGGAGGTCTCCCAACCAATTCCATAGCGGGCTGCCACGCTCGAAGGAAAGTTCTGCAAGAACAAGACCTTTCCACGAAGATCACCCAAACGCGGAATCGGTGCATATGATTCACCCTCGGGGAGGAGGTAATAGTGTCTTTGCGCACCCTTTGCCGTGGCGGTGTTGTTCCAAAGGTAATACAGGAATGCGTCCTCATAAGAAATGGTCGAATTGATGGCTGTACTCTCCTCCTTCATCCGAATAACGATTGTCTCGCCGGGATGATTTTCCAGGAAATTGAACACCTCCACCAGAACATATTCGTAGTTGTAGCCGGTATAAGTCTCAGCATGGTAGATCTCAATTAGGTTGTTTGCAAGTCGGCCTCTGATGTCCAGGTAGCGCACACCCGAGTTGAGCTGCACGGTGAGATTTCTGTTGTGGCACTGCCGGACCTGGTCGCGGACGCCGTATGTCATCGTGTCGTGTGTACCCGGAATGGAGAGAGAGGTGAGAAAGCTGTCATCAGGTATGCCGCCCATCCAATCAGCATGTTTTTCCGTGCCCAGGTCAAATGAGAATGGCGAGGTGTAGCCACGGTAGCAGCCGGCTTGGACCAGCAACGCGCTGGCCAGCAGAGTGAGCACCTTGGAGACGATCATTTCGGACCAATTTGTGATGAACGGGATCATGTAGATATCACGTAGAGAGAATGAAAAGAGAGAATCCGATGCGGTTGCGGCATTCATCATTATTCAACGAATGATAGAAAGATGGGCCGGGTCTCGGGAATGGGCGAAGAAGGAAGCTCGTTTGTTAATTGGGATCTTCCTGGCATTCTCGTGCTCTCGTCGTCGTGTCTGATTGGCTCCATGTGGAGGGACCCAAGAACTGCTGCTCTTGGACGCGTGTTGCGACCTAAACAATCCTCCAGCGTGGATAAGTGAAAGTAACGATGTCTTAGATTTTCTCATACAACAAATTCATTATATGCTTGTTGGTACGTGGCGCGATGAAAAGAATAACCTACCTAGGCGAGTAACTTTACACTAATTGCCCGATTATTGTATTGGGCGTGTCCGTTCAGTAGTCGCCTCGCTGCGACAGGGATGTTTTTTACGCTCTAGGAAAACCGAACTGCCACCATGATGCTTCTCATTTCTCGTCGTCGGGATTGGCACCGATTACCTGTTGTTGATAACCCAGGAAGAGGTGCGTTGTTAAGCCAGGATTAACAACCATTGGGTTGACAATAAACGTGTACTGGAGCCCAGGCAACGAGGTAGAGTGAGAGGGCATACAACGGCAATTGTATGTGAACGTCGTCCAAGCTTTGCCGAAAAACACACCGCCAGTTCGCCACAAGCCAGATCCCCGCAAGAGTAAATAGCGAGTAAGAGAGGGTGAACTGTAGCGAGGTACGCGCGACACAGGGTCCAGCCATCAAGACAGCCCTTACGGTGCCCGCAAGTGACACGGAGTGCAGAACGAGCCATCGCCAACTGGTCCTGGAGCCAGGCCAGGATCGGGGCCAGAGATACAGCAAAAGGCCAGACGCGATAGCGCAGACGAGGAAGTGAATCAGCCAGATTCCGGCGGCTTTGTCATAATGCTCCCAGTCGCCCATGGCCAAGTTCCAGTTGAAATCCTTCTCGGAGCCACAAATAGCCTCAGCATCGTCGAGATAACTCGTCATTGTTTCCACCAGCGATACGGTGCAGAAGCTCAGCACGACAGGGCTAACGACTTCTGCCCAACATCTTGAATTGAGCGTGTTTGCGATGGAGAAGTCTGGGGGGGTGATATGGTGCACGCTCTGTATTCCGCTACGGATAATTCGTGCAGCCGTGGCGCCAACCAGGGCGATGAGGGTGAAGATGACGGGAACACGCTGGTCATTTTGAGGAGCGTCACGACTGGCGGTCGCTTGTTCAGATTGATCACTGATTGCCTGTTCATCAGTACCAGAGGGGGCCACGGTGAACATAAAGCAGAAACCGAGGATCGCGACTGTGGTAATGGCTGGCGTCCAATCCAGTCGCCGTTGGTCTGGGAAAGCACCGTAGCCCTCTTGCCCTGATCGGTTGCCGTTGACTTTTGATTCCATGCCTATTGCCCATTTCCAAACCAAGCGAAAACCTTGAATTGCAGAGTTGGGAAGTAAAGTTGCAGTAAGTACGGGCTAATTTCACGGAGAACAGACGTTAAATATCTGCCGTGGGGTGATAACGTGCGATACACGACATACCGGATTGGGGGCTTAGCGCACTAGAAATAATCAACCAAGTAATAACACAATAGCAAGCTAAAGAGAATAGGGCATCGAACATTTATTATTATTGAGTATGCTTAGTAGTACTAATATGGAAACGAGGTCTCTATTTTACGTGGAAAAAGGTTTAGTGTGGCATTGTTTATCTCAGTCGCTCGCGTAGTTCTGCAGTTATATTGCTATGCGGGAGCTATAGTGGCAGCTGATTTTTTCAAGATTAGCTTGGAACAAGGGAGTTTCTTTGTTGAGATGCTATAATCGTACAAGGCATATATAGACAACAGTGTGTAGATTGGTGTCAAGTCTTGTCACATAATGTTCTTAATATGTCACAGCTACTACCCGCAATTTAGAGAGACCTCGGTATGTGTTTAAATGTCCATATCTTGCCAATCTGAGAATCTTGTAGTTGCCATCATCAACCTGACCCAATCATATTTTCTTCTCAAAGAGCTCCAGGATTTCCTTGCTTCCGCATGCAGCAGCAACGTCAATAGGCGTTTGCTGCACCTCATCTTCCAACATGACATCGAGCCCTCGTTCCATCAGTTGCTTGAAGACATCAACACTTGCCCCTGCCGCCGCATGCAACAACCCGCGACCCCTGTTATCTTTGACAAAGAGGTCGGCACCCAGTCGTTCCATGAGTGGTATGGCTTTCAGTTGCTCCGTAGCCTTCTCCTTTTCAGAGTAAAAGTTGTCTGTCTTATCCTTGGAGTTCACACAAAAGGTGAAAAGCGGGGTTTCTCCTCTGACATTCCGAGCGTTTATATCAACCCCACGCTTCACCAAATCCTCGAAGAAATCTCGGGTCTGCTCAGTACGTAGACTTGACGCAAGTGAGTGGAGAAGATTGTCTTCCTTCTTGGTAACCGTGAGATGGTCGGCCCCAGCTTTCAGGAGCCCCTCGGCGATATCCGGCCTCCCCCTGCTGGCTGCACGAATAACGGCCGTGTGCAGAGGCGTTTCACCAGAAGAGTCTGGTTGATTCATAAGGTGAGGGGCCTTTTTCAGAACCTCGGCCAGAGATGCCTCAAATCTATCATATTCGACGAACCCATGGAGGCGATCAGTGCCAATCATGAGATGCAAGACGTTCCGAGAAGAGCTGTCCACAGCTTCTATCTCTGCCCCCAAGGATAAGAGTTGTTGAAAGACGGTAGTCTTGTCGCCGGCCTGTTCACCCTGTTGGTATGACCCAATGACATAGTCCGGGTAATTGATACCACTGCAGACAGCATGTAGCAGGGTGCGGCCTCTGGCATCCCTGCGGTTAACATCTAGGTTAGGAATGCGGAGGTAAACCTCAGGTAAACTACCATCGGCAAATAGTTCATGCAGGACTGTGGCTTCTTGATAAATTGATGCAGCTGGGCCCGAAGGCTCTTCCATCAGAAATTTACCAAACGGGTCAGCTCCATGTTCGAGAAGGACTTGTACCAGTTGAATGCAAGTCTCTGTCTCTCGAAGTTCTTTGTTTGTAACAGGAAGTTTTATCGTTTCTAAGGTATTCCCTGCGTGGAAGAGCGGATACTTTTCGTGCGGCGGTACTGATGGACGAAGGGCCCAGCCAAAGCCATCCATATCGTTTCTCCTCCTTTCCATTTCAGCGGCAATGGCCTCTTCGGACGGCTTTTCAGCACGGATATTCGCGCTTGCACCCCCAGAAAGGAGCGCCTGGAGCATCGGGACGCTTCTGGAGTCAATCGCCGCAAGGACGGAGTCGGCCGTCACAACGGCCCCGTGTGAGATGAGGAGCTTCACTAGACCGACGTCATGCCTCGCACAGGCCAGACAGCTTCGTCCCTCGTTGTCAACTGCGTTAACGTCTGCTCCGGCCTCAATCAAAAGTCTCGCGGCAGTCCCATTGAACGGCCCAGGCCAGTTCCCATCAGCTTTGAGGGCCGTAAGGAGGGGCGTTTGTCCATTCTGGTTGCGGATATTCATGTTGGCTCCAGCCTCGAGTAAATAGGGCAATGCTTGATGAACTTGCCACCAATGATCTCCCCTCGCTACGGAGTGAAGAGGAGAATTGTTTCCGCCGACCATATTCTTGCCACCCACGTACCCTCTGCCATATGCCATCTCGTTTATGTCGACCCCAAACTTCTCCACTAGCAATTTGACCATCGGCAAATTGGGAAGTTCTCGCTGAGTTGCCTCGATTAGTAAAGGCAGAGGGTTCTGGGCCACTTTATTTGGATCCGAGATGTCTCGCCTCGCAAACCAGAGACCTGGCCGGGATTTGTCCCCGAAAGCGTGCCAATCACCACTTTCAAAACCTTTCTGGACCACAATATCACCCACCGTCTCTGCAAGTGAAGTATAGCCATGGCTGACGAGAATGGTGAAGTTGCTAACGCCGGTCTTGGCGCTGAGGAATTCAACTCCCTCATGTGCCATCTTTTCAATAAACTTCCACTCCTTCTGTCTCAGAAATGACAACAAGTGGTTCTGGTTGATCCTATCAGGCTGAATCATCCCAGAGGCACCGAAACTCTCAAGTCTAGCCTCCCTCGATGAGTTGTACAGTACTTCTTCAACCATCCCTGTCCCAGTGACGGATGCTGCTTCTTCAACACTCCAAGCAGGGTTTCTAGCTCTCATGGCGGTTAAGCACATTGCGATGTAGTCATGCCCCTTGTAGAAGGCTTCGCTGATGTAACCACTTTTCGGGAAACGCAGATCGAGCTGGTCGAAGTGTTTCTCCTCGAGGCCGTTTCTCACACACATTTCCAGAATCTCTTCTAATCTGGTTGTTTCAACGCTGTTCGTATCACTATCCTGCCTGTATCGACCTCCCCGTTTTGGAAAACGCCTCGTGTCCCTCGAGCGGAGAGGAAGCTGATCATTGAAAATTTCGTCTTCCTGACAACCGCTGTTCCACAACTGGTCCTCGTCCTCGAAGGAGGCACAAGCAGAAAAGACATGACCTTTTTTGGGATCAGCCCCGGCATCCAAGAGGAGCGAAACGGTCTCTGGCCTCCCAGATAGGCAAGCGTAATAAAGCGGTGTGCTGTTATGCTGATCAGACGCGGCAGCATCCACTCCGAGGACAGCAGAATCTGACGATGGTGTTCGTTTCCTCAATTCGTCCAATAGTAGCCCGACGACATTGCTCTGTCTGCAGCGAGAGGCAAGGTGCAATGGGGTCAATCCTTCGTGCGTGGCTTTGGTAGGATCTGCCCCGGCGTCGAGGAGTTTCTTGGAGTGTTGCTCCCCAAGTATCACGGCCCGGTGCAAGGGTGTGGCGCCAAGGTTATCGACCCTATCAAGGTCCTTTGTTCTCGAAATCACCACGTCGATCGGCATGATCACACCCTGCTCGAATCTTGAGAAGGAAGCGCGAGAGCAGAGAATATGCAAGGGAGTGAGCCCGTCATGATTCACCTGCTCCAAATCTAGACCCAAGTCAAGAAGATTCTCCCATAATGACACCAAGGAGGGCCCGGAATATGAATCATGGTTGCGATAAGACATGGCTAGCTCATGGAGTAGGCCGTTTCCGCCATTATCAACAGCATGCAAATCCAGCCCCAAACCACGAACAAAGTCGAACCGTGACTGTTCATTACTCCTATGACGATTTGTGTCGTGGCAGTGGATTGCTTCGTGCAAAAGAGTACGACCCTTCCGGTCGCGGTGATGCATCGAAAAGCCTCTCTCAATGAGCTGCGTAATTACCGGGTACTTTTCTTTGGAGGCCGAAGTATCACTCAACAGTTTGAAAAGTACGGTCCTCCCCTTTCCGTCGGTCGCGTTGATATCGGCACCTGCTTCAATAAGTACATCCATCAGGTGAGGCTTGAAATCCCTGCGCATGGCGAGGAGGGGCGTGAGCCCAGCCTTGTTCTTTGCATTGGGATCAGCGCCAGCCTTGAGAAGAGCCCTGAGCAAGTCCGCGTCCGTTCTCCACTGATCAAGTGCAAGGTGGAATACTCCATTGCCGTCACGGTCAGTAACGCTGCAGTCAGGTCCATACTCGAGGAACTTCAATGTGGTTTCAACATGATAGGCAGAGAGCTTTTTGAGAAGAGGTGTCTGACCATCCTTTTGAGCCAGATTAATGTCGGCATGGCCTTCCTCGATCAAGACCACCATGGAGTCTATCGATGGAACCTGGTGGATTGGTGCGGCCCCTGAGTCGTCGGTTGCATTGGCATCAGCTCCGGCTTGAATAAGTAGTCGGGTTAAGACAGGAGAAGAGACTGCGTAGTGCAGAGGCGTCCGATCCCATCGGTCGCGCTGATTGATATCAGCACCTGCATTGACCAAGAGTGAGAATATGGTTTGCAGATTCTCGGCATTCCTATTGTCCGCCGTATGACCTCCGCGACTTCGGGATTCACACAACCGATGCAGACAGTTTTGCCCATTGGGATTTGGCTTCTCTGCAAAGGGCATCAAGAATCCCATTGAATCAAACTCGTCGCCACTATCCAAGCTTTGAACGCGAGGATCCGCACCAGCCTCCAAAAGACACCTGATAGTCTCAACATCGGCGGTACCGCAGGCTACATAGAGAGCCGTATCTCCACGGACCTTTTTATTAACATCGACTCCTGGATGCTGAAGAATCCTAGCAACAACCTTGGACTTGGCGCTTCTGGCTGCCCACGCCAAAGCACGGTGGGCGGTCTCAATGTCCTTGAGGAATGGCAGGAATGCGCCCACGGATTCAGCATGTCCATTGTCGCAGGCATACATGAGAGGGGTATGTCCAACAGTTACAGGAGCGTTCCCGCATCTCCTGCCTGGATTCTCTTGAGTTTTAGGTGTTAGAGGGTCTACACCAGCCTCGAGAAGCACGCTGACGACTGCGTGATGGTTCAAGTTGGCGGCTTCGTGCAGAGGCTTCAACCCACTTACGGATTCAGGTTGGTCCGGGTTTGCACCGGCCTTGATCAACTCATAGACTGCTGCTTCGTGGCCTTCGTGGGCTGCCCACCACCTAAATTCACAATGCTCGTTAACAATCTGAGGCCATGAGAAAGCAAATGAAAACTTACAGAGGGGTTCTGCCAGTCGCATCCGGCAAATCTGGCTCCATGGTTTGAGTGAGTTCCTCCAGATAAGAACACAGGCCAAGCTTGGCAGCTATATGGATCTTCGTAACTCCCTGTGGAGCTCGTCGGGACAAGGCGTTCCATTTGATTTGTAGCCAAGCCTTCATGTCTCTCTCATCGTCCAAGAACTGACGAACCAAGACGTTGACGTCCGTCTGATCTTGCTCAGCAGCTTCGGATCTACGGATGTGATGCGCCCAATTGACGGCAGCATACTCGAAGAAGGGATGTTTCAATCTCAGCTGGACCTCATCTTTCGGGACGGGGTTCTGAAACATATGCCAGTTGTCGCCGTCGGAATCTTCGTTATATTCCTCCTCCTCTACCACGATGGACTTCAGACTTCCAGAAGTCAGATACCGCAAGCATGCAACCGCCAGCTGCGCATGAGTTGGCCCCATCTTCAGAACCGGATATCCGGAACCATCAGACCGAGTGGTGCCTTTTAGGTATTCCGTAAATGAATGATGAATGACAGATACCGTTTCATCCGCCAAGATCTCCAGCAACGGCCCGCACGCAGCTCGGATCAGGTCCTTGGTGGCTTTGAGATCTCTCTCCTTGCCGTCTGGATTGTTGGCCTTGATCATTTCGGCGAGTTCCAGAAGTCTAAGTGGCCGTGCGGAATGAGTCACGGCCTGCAGGATCAGACGCTGCACACTGTCGGCCACACCCGACCGCCTAGAGTGCTCCTTCAAGAGGTCTGTGTAGAGCACGTTCAAATCAGCAGGTAGATGGCCAAGGACGGTTTTCACATCAGCACCTGGCTCGACAAAGGCGTCCATTGCGAGTTTTGCGTAGAGAAACAGCCCGTTGGCTCTGCCAGGCACAGCGTCCATGATCGTCTTCCAGTCGGCCTGTGGGATCGTGGATCGCGACAAGGTAAACTGAACAAATGTCGCAATGTCGATGTCCACCATGTTCTCCTGCAATCGAATTTGAAGGCAGTGGGATTGGAAGGCTCTCAGCGGCCCTTCAATCGTTGGAACTGGACGGCTTGTGATCAAGACTTTTACCTTCTGAGGTTTCCACTTGCCCAAGGTAGCAAGAGCCTGTAGAAAGGACTCATTGCCTTTGTCCATTTCGTCGAGCGCATCGGCCACACAGAAAACCCTGTTTGACAATCCAGAGAACGCCATATAAAGATCTTTCCACAAATCTTCCATTGAAACGCTCTCGATTGATCTTTTAGACTCTAAATAATCGTTGAGCTTCTTTTGCAGAGGCGGACTATAAGTCAAGATCTGATCCATCCAATCTCGCAGCAGCGCCTCAGGCTGGTGGTTCGCTTCAATAATCTGACGGAAAAAGAAAAATACAACGGGAGAGCCTGGGCTGGCCTTCGCAAGCCCATCAATAAGGCTTGCTGCCATGACAGACTTTCCGGAACCCGGGATGCCTTTGATCCACAGCAACCCGTGTTGGTCGTCCTCCAGCCATTGCTTGTATGTGTCGCTCGATGTTAGCCAGGATCCCGTCCCCGAGACGTGGGAGGCCAGGTGCTTGCGGTATTCACCGCCCGCAATGTCGTATGAGGTTGGCCGGAGCCAGGCACGGATTTTTTGGATGATGTCTGCCGGCTGAGGGAGGATCTGTTCCGGGTTGTAATTGCTAACATCGTCGCGGTCAATCATGACGGCATCAACATCGCTGTCGCTATTGACATAATCAATCTCGTAAGACGTCATGATGGAGGAAATGTACTGCCGTAGGAGACTTTATCTGCACTTGAAATTCGCTTGCTGCTGCTTACGGCGCAAAACGAGCTGTTGGTAGCCTTGAGCTGCTTGGAAAGGCTGTAATGGGAGGGGGCATCAAAAATATAGTGGTTAGCCAAAGTTCTTTTTGGACAACAAAGTCCTTCGACTGTTGGCAGATGAGAGCAAGTTGATGGCGTGTGTCATTGAAGGAGTGAAGAATGGGTGCCTGCCTCCTGATCGAGCCATGGCCGACCAGTTGCTGCCTTGTCGCACCACCCGGGTGAGCACGGAGTCATCATCCGGACCCCGGTGATTGGCAGCTTGGCCTAGGCAGTCGGGTGGCTATGTCACGACGTAGCACTGTTTATGCAGGCATTCTTATGTGGGGAGGGGCGAAGCTGTCAGCCTTGGTCTCTGGCTACCGTTGTGAGCATCTAGGACCATAACCATTTACTATGTTGGAAACTTTGGCCTCGTGGAATATTCTTTCACGGTAAATTCCATTGAAACAAATGGCAAACCATCTCTGAAGCTCTACGACTCATCTTTCTTGAAACGACCCTTTGGGTGGTAATACCCTGTGAAACTGACTTTTGCCGATCGAATACGCAATTCCCATAGTTTAGTTGTTACACAATATCCTCGCAAAGGAGCAAAAGTGGCAGTACATTCTCAAAAGATCATTTCTTCTAGGAAGGCAACCGTAGCCTACCCTGTTTAGATCCATGGACGAAAATACTAGCCAGATATATTTATCAGATAACATACACTCAAATTCGGTACTTGAGAACAGAGGATGGGGAACAATCTGATACCTTTGATGGAAAGGTAAAAAGAGGAGACTTCTTCGAAAAGAGATACATTTGCTGGTGAGCCGGGGCCCACGTTCTATCCTAGGGAAAGCTTATACAACGTAGCTAGATCTCATATTTAGAAATTCCACATACTCTTTTCCTCTAGCTATGTTCTGTTTTAGAAATGCCCACCTTTGAAAGATGAGACTTTCTTGATTTTGAGCCTTAATGACTGCAAACTTAAGTTGCTGAATTGCATTAACTACTTGATCCAGCAAGATGGAACCCACGAAGCTAACCCTGGGTTCATATGACTCCTGGATCTCAATCTATTCTATGGCTTTTGCCGTAAAAGGCTTTTCTACGTTATTTATAATTTGGGCTCGTGGTTGTTCTTCCCTACCACACTAGGGGCATGTATTCTAGTACAAAATATCTTTTATTGGGTAAAGCATTACTTACCTCCGAGGGACCCATTAGCGTTTGACGCTCAATTGAGAGACTAACTATATCGCTATATAATTCCTGTGTCCTTATCTTAGATTCAGTGCAGTGCTGTCGCCCTTCTTTGTGCCCGTGAGTGACACAGGGGTAAAAGAATCTCATCAACATCGCTTGCATGACCACTACGGGAAAGGCTGCTTTATATGCTACTATGAAACTCGCCACCAAGATCTGAGTTGTTGAAATACATGCCTGAATCTTAGCCCGCGGGCGACCGTGAATCTCTCACCCCCGAGCCGGTCAATAACATATCCAGATATTCCAACTGCGTTTCAGCATCTATCGTCTTTCTGGCGTCTTTACCTAGCCTATCAGCGCGGGCCCGGGCTACAAGAGCCATCAAGGCTCGTGCCGCAGCAAACTCGCCGCGGCGCATATGGCAGATGCTGAGGCTCCATCGCGCGTTCTCAACTTGGGCCGACGCTTTACCATCGACAATCTGCTGAGTGTATGCTTCAAGCACCTCAGTCCTGAGCTGGAGCGCCCTTTCTAAATAGTCTGCCCTCGAAAGTCGTGAGCTGCTTTGCTCGGCTGGTTGTGCCAACCTCGGTCCCGCCTTAGAGTCGGTCTGGTCTAGGCCCAAATCCGAATTCGCTGCAGGCTGAGCCCTACAAAAATCCTGGCGATGGATGCCAGGAGCTTCTGTGGTCGCGCCCAGTGTAGACGGCTGCTGGGTTGTCGAAGACGAGGTAGCGCTTTGGGCAAGGGGCGGCTCAGCCAAGGATCCTAGGTAGTGCCTGCGAAGAAAATCATGGTCGAAGGTGGCTATATGTGTAGACCACTTAGAAGAGCATCTATGGAAATACTTAGGCTGCATCACACTCACCTGGATAGCCAGCTAGCCCGAGCCCTAAGGTGGTAGACCGGGGGGTCAAGCGCGGTTCGTGTCCTGGAGGCAGCATGCAGGGCAAACGACGATGAGAGATCCAACGATAGGCGGCAATGAAAAAGCTCTAAACCGCCTCAAGCAGGGACGCAGTGGTTTCGGGGTTGATGTCACGGGAAATGATTGTGGCAAGGCGTCTAGGGATGTTCTCGTCAGCATTGAAGTGGAACTACTAGCCCATACGCCTTGCTGCCCAAGCAACGGTAGAGTAATCCCAACTTGATATGTTCAACATGGCCAGATCGCGATTTTCCCAGCTTGACAGTGTTAACTGATCTTCTGAGAGAACCGACAAATTTCATTTTTAATTAAGTTTTTATGAAGAATCAAAAAGGTGTTATTCATTCAAGTTCCTGGTTTATTATATCAAATGTGATGTTGATGCCCTGGCGGCTTTTGGCAGTGGTCTTACACGCATATGCATGCCTCAGCATCCCCAAAGGAGGGGTAATTCCAGCTGAACCAGCTGAACCAGCTGATTCTGCAGGCATTAGGCAGGAAAGACCCACTGCTACGTCAGATATACATAAATGTAAGCCTCTAACCAGATCAAAAGCTGAACGATTACACAGTTACAAGGATGAGTCGGTGCGACTTCTTGGGGGTGTCTCACAAAGCCTTGAACAACATCCTAGGATTTGTATCCAATAATGCAAAGCCACGCCCAGAATTCTCATGGACCAGCGTGTAAAATTACGACTGATCTTTGGGGAGAAGGGGTTTGTACCACATTGATATCAGAATAAGAGGGATTTTTAGTATAAAAGTCAAGGTAGGTGTTGATAAGGGTTGCATCGTTACAAGGGTAGCTCAATAATCGTTATAAGCATGCATTATCCTACGTGCTACAATAATAATAGCTGGCAGATTCCCACCCTAAAAATTTCGAGGGGCATACCGCGGACTTCTCCCCCACGTCGCCGAAATCACTGCAGGTTGGAAGATTCAAGATCCAAATTTCGTAGCCTACCCTATCATGGCTGCCGAAGTCTCCATAGTAGCCAGAGGCAGCGATGGAATCCCTTGGGTTCCTGCTCCCCTCACTGCCGAGAGCCTTACCGTTAGAACCGGAGGCGTGGGGAGAGCCAGGCTTGCCGAGCAGGATGCGGATCTTGGCCAAAAACCCCAGAAATATTTCAAAGAGGTGCCTATGTACGACAAGTTCTACTTCGCCATTGTGTGCGCTCTTCAACTAGAGTACAATGCAGTGGTCAGCTCAGTGGACTATCAGTGGCCAACCACTCCCTTTGACCCCGATGATCCGAACGTGTACACTCTTGCAAGGATGGGCGGGCACAACGTGGTGATCGCGCGGCCACTGGATGTTGGATCGGGGCAAGCCCAAAGCATTACGGAAGCTCTGAGAAGAAAGTTCACCAAGGTAGCCCTGTTCTTACTGGTGGGCATCTGTGGCGGCGTGCCCTTCCCTTCGGTGCCACATCTCCCTGAGCATGTTATTCGCAGGATCATTCTCGACGACGTTGTCATTAGCAGCTCAATTGCCCAATATTTGTATCGGGGGCAGGCCAGGCCTGATGGATTCCAGATGCGGAATATTCTGAGCGGGAGCGGCTGGCCTATGCTACCGAGCCCTCGAGCCAGAGCCCTTGCGCAAGCCCTGGAAGGACCCAACTGGTTGGAAATCATTGAGGGAAACATGAGAGACAATCTTGTGGAGCTGCAAGAATACCATTACGATGCTTACATGTACCCTGGCACAGAGCGAGACAAGTTGTATCAAGCCTCTTATGTCCATAAGCACAATGAAGCACAAGACTGCGCTTGTGCCAAAGATGAGCATGAGACGTGCGAGGACGCAATACGCACTGCATGCGAATATATCTGTGATAAAAGTCGCTTAATTAACGATGGAGCCAGCCAACAGCGAGGCGGCTCGCCTAATATACATCTGGGAGTCATGGCATCGGGAGATATAATTATGCGATCCGGAGAGCTCCGAGACAAGATCTCGAGAGAGCAACAGGTCATGGCCTTTGAAATGGAGGGTGCAGGCGTCCAGATTGGCTCATCTTCTTGTCTTGTCATCAAGGCGGCGTGTGACTACGCTGATAGCCATAAGAGGAAGGATTTCCAAGAGTATGCTGCCGGTGTTGCTGCATCGGCTGCGAAGGCGGTGCTGCAGTGGTATAGTCCTAAGCCTGAGGATGGTGAGTTCTTTCTGACTTTATGCAAACTGCCTCCCTTACTTTAGCATTCCATTCTCCCCTCTTAAGAAACAAGTGGCCTTTGAATATTCTATTAATACTTCTCCGATTCGCAGATGAAACGGACCGCGCCGGCGTGGAAAATGTGGTTTTCAGATCATTACCACCTGTCGAGGCGTGGAGTGACGGTCGTGGGCTTCTTAAGACGATGACTGAACATTGTTTCGACGAACTTGAAAGTTTGCCGAAGCATGATACAGTGTTGCTCATTCAAGGTTCACATGGGCTGGGGAAGACTGAGTTGTGTCGAGTATTTGCTAAGCGTTTCCAGTCAAGGTATGTTGCTGCCTACAAGTCTCTGGAGACCCAGTTTCAATTTGAGTTTGCTCACTCTGCACAGATACCAGGCCGTATGGATGATCAATGCGGGAACCGCGTTCGAGCTGGAGTTGGGACTTCGCACTATCGCCTCGGAAGATCTGAAAATCGCACTAAAAGCCCCAGGGTCCATGCAGTCCGAGACTGATGATCTCACTGGGTTGGTTAATGCAGCGAAAATGCAACTAAAGAACAAAGAGAGGCCGTGGCTCCTCATCCTGGACGGGTATAATGACACCGTGGACTATGATATAAGACACTATCTTCCTTCAAAAGCTGCTCAGCCTTATTTTTCGAGACATCTTTCGCATTTAGGCACCATCATTATCACGACCACGGACGCTTCTCTCCGCCTGCAACTCGGCGAAAGCTCCATGTCGGTGAACAGTCTTTCAGTAGATGAGGCAACTCGTATCTTCAGGCATGAGATCAGACCCATCCCTGATTCTGTACTTATCGACAATCTAGTCCGGGATATTTTGTTTAAGCTGCAGTTGCACCCAGTGGCTATCAAGATAGCTGCCGGAATCATCCAGAAGAGGCCTCCAACCCAGCACATCCACAAGGCACTGGGGAATCTGCTCGGGCACCTATCCAAAGACACTGTCTCCCCCAAGACAGACGTGGAAGATATTCTCAAGGGCGTCTGGAGGCCATGGGAAATTGCTGTAGCTAGAATTCGCCGTGACGAGGCCGAACAACCAATAGGGTCCCTAGAGCTTCTAGAGCTCCTAAGCTTTCTTGACGGTAATGGCTTGAGTTGCAAGGCCGCCGAAATAGCATGGACGGTAACTAAGACAAGCCCTACTAGCTTTTACAAGAAAGGACTTAGCTGCTTCATGCAGGGTCGTCAGTGGGAAGAGAGTAATTTCCACAAGGCGGTAGAGGTACTCGCAACCGCCCGTCTAGTTCATGTTTTGACGACTGGGGACGATACAATAGTCTCCATGGAACCTTTACTGAGCCTGTGTGCATACAACTACCTCTTTGCTACCTTGCAGGACAAGAAGAGCGCCTGGATCAGGGCCATGGCAACACTTGCCATCATGGCACCAACAGGGTTCACGGACTGGGACCGCGCCTCACGCCGGGGCATAGCCCCTCATGTCAAGAGTTGCGTTGCAAAATCTCCGGGATATGAGATGCTCTGGACGGCATGTGGTCTCAGTCCTGGTACCGACATTGTTCTTGTTTTGGGCATGGTCCTGTTCGAGAACGGGCTCGCAGAAAATGCCAAGTCTTTGCTGTCGAAGCTGGTTGATCAACTGTCGGGAGCGAATGGCAAGATTGACGAGATCAAAGCCCTTGACGTGAAGATGTTCCTTGCAACAACGCTATACGATATGGGAGACCGGAGTCAAGCACTTGCCTTGCGGAAAGAAGTCGTGGAGGCTTGTCAACGGCAAAGGGGTAAATCAGGACCTGGTGGCGAGGCCGAGTGGCGCTATCTCCACGCTGCCAGTGCGTTGGCGGAATCATTATCCTTGCTTCCTGAACGGCGTGTTGAGGCTGCTAACCTTCTGAGAGATGTGCATGACATGGCTGCACTTCTATCACCGCCAGGCAAAGTATCGGTAGCACTTCTTCGCACTAAATCGAGGCTGGCTAAGGTGCTGTATCAGCTCGGTGCATATCGCCACGCTTTCAATCTCCGCGATGAAGTAGTGAAGATTTTAGATGGTGAACCAAACCTTCAAAGCGTGCAATATAATATGGAGGCAAAGGAAGAGTTGGCTCAGAGTTTGTCAAACATGGGACGCCATACAGACGCTCTTAAACTCCGTGACGCTATACATGAGTTCCGTGTGGCCACGCTTTCACCAGAACACCCAGAAACGAGTCTATCCTCTATCAACCTGGTTATTTCCTTTTCAAAAATGAACCTCTCAACTAGAGAAAGTTCCCTGTCTCAAAAGATCACCATAGACGCTGCTGAAGAAAGGCTGTCGAATGTGCTAGGTGAGCATCACACTGTGACGGTCCGGGCCAAGTCCAACATAGCTCGTCTTTACCTAGCTAGAAAAGACTTTGAAAAGGCCCTTAGCAAGGTGCTAGAGGTAAGACAAATCATGGCTAGCCGGGGTGTCAAACTACTAGGCAAACAAAAGGGGGACTACGACCAAGATATGCTGGACTGCGATCGCCTGCATGCTGAGCTGCTCCTGCGGCGGTGGACTCAAGCAGACCAGCGGGATGCCTTGATGCTATGGAGGCAGATCACCAAGCGCTTGCGTAATCAAAACGCAGGGACTCGGCAGGTGTCATATGCGATCCTCAGAGTGGCACGGTGTTATATGAAGCGCAACGAGCTGGACAATGCCGAAGCCAAGGTGGAGGAGGCGAGCAGACTCCAGCAAGATGGCTTTTACGACAACACGTTGGACTGTAAAATACTTCAGGCCGATATTCTAGAAAGACGAGCCGACGCGTGCGACTTATTATCCCCGCGGAACTTAAGTAATAGCGGCTCTGAAGATGACCAGAAACAGGAGATCAGGTCAGTCACCACAGTTTGCCCTAGCTAGATCTCCGAGATGGCTAACATAGGACTACAGGCCTGACGGAGAGTATGTCCCCGAGGACCGAAACAAACTTTTTCGCTACGTATGGTTGTGCCAGAATGATCGTTGTCAACACGTTGCTGGGAAGCCTTACGTGATGGAAGCCTGCTACTGCAGACTTTCGCGACGCCGAGCCGGCACAATGGTTTGTGTAAGTACCCCCAACGCAAGAAACACTGTTTTCTTCGGCTCTAACCCTTTATCGTGGCTTATCTTCTAATAAGTGCTACTAGTGCTGCTGCCATCGTTATATGCGATTCGAATCCTTGGAGTCGGACTACTCGTGCTCATATCAGACTGACTCGTCGAGCTGCTCCAACGCAGAGGAAGACGGCTACTTTAACCTGGAAGAGATATTCCGCTGCTATAATCGGCAGTGCCGAAAGCCTCGTCATACATGCATTCGCGCCAAGGGCTCGCAGCTTGGAGACATCGTACCCAGCAAGGTCGGGTGTTTCTGTCGCCCTTCTGCTAGCATGCCAAACGTCATGCTATGTGTAAGTTTGCGAGGAAACAGCGAGATTTTCTGGCATTTTACGCTGACCTCACGCAGTGCCACTGCCACAAACCCATGATGGCCGTATCCAGACGTAAGAGATGGAGCTGGGGAGCGGCCGGCCCCAGCAAGGACCCGGACGACTGGGACTCTCCCAGCGACCTGGGCACCAACTGCCCCAGCGGGTCAGACGATTTTCTGTCTGTGATTGACCCCAACTACGTGCCAGAGCCAACCCCTAATGATCAGGATCGTGGTGATGATGACGACTACGAGGAATCCTTCTGCGGGTCGGACAGTGCGAGCGTGTTTTACTCAGTTAAGCTCAACCAACAAAAGCTGCCACATGACTCTCAATGAGCAAAGTCAGAAATTCAATGATACAGTCTATGAAGAAATACAACGGAAAGATTGAAATTGTCGACAATGAGATACAGAGATATATTGGCATTAAAGAACCAACAATTGTCAATGTCTTTTAAACGGCGTATTGAGTCCGGTCTCGAGCGGTCTTCTCTCTGTAGGGTAGCTCACTAGCCCCCCGACCGCGTCGATTTTCATCGTTACTCAATGCCATATCTACATCATCAATGACCTATCGGTTTTGATACTGAATTAATAATCAAAGGATTATGAAGAAATTGTAGTAGTGAAATTAGGCAGAAAAATGTGTATGTATCTAAAAACGTCACGTCGGTTCGTAGTCCTTCCTTTCCTCGTATATCAACCTCCATATGAAACCTTTGTTTCCGTAATAACACTAATTCCTTCTCCTTGATGCGCAGAGCTATTACCTCTTGTTACCATGCCTCTTCTGCCGAGTCTCCCTAGATACTGCTCCTCGAAGCTCTCAAAGCTGTTGTCGTCACTTGTGTTTCCATCCTTCTTCTTGACCGTTGTTTTCACGGCCCACAGCTTGGCTTGATCGTCATCTTCTCCGCGCTGATTGGGAAGGTCGTCACGACTAGGCAGCTCGTATGATTCCATAATTCTCTTTGATCTTTGCTTCTTAGAGGTATTTGTGTTGGAAAAGGGGGTGAGCTTTGTGCTATGACTTTCTGGTTGGCTGGAGGATGACATGAGGCGGGAGGTGAGTATAAAGGGGAGGTATCGCATGAAAAATGGCTTCAGGGCTGGGACAGAAGCGCAGATGATACCTGCGTTCACTTCAATGAAGCCCCAGATGACTTGACCAGATACTTCCCATGAGTAATCGACCGCAGTGAGCAACCGGGGCATGAGAATCGTTCGCTGTATCGCGGCGGCGCACACGCTATTTGAATAATTAGAAAGGGGGCAGAATTTTGGAGGACTGAGGGCTTGACGTACAAACCACCAGCGGCAAATATAATGATCAGCGAGATCTTTTGGCGCAATGGGATCTTGAGCGGTAAAACAACCTTCACGGGAATGAACAAGATGATAATGTCGATGACGATATTGGCGATGCTCAACGTCATCATCGGACCCATTTTGCCAATACATGATCCTTCGACCTCCGGCATCCAGAATTTGTTTACTGGACTACACTGGAAGATGATGTAAAATTGGTATGCAACTGTATAGGCCGTGACGATACCGATGAAGGCATAAACGCATATTCGGAAGTACTTTTCGGGGGACAGTCGAAGATAGAGTGTTAAGATGGATAGCTTCGAAAACGAGACCGATGTCGAGTAGGTTATCGTCAACACAAATTGGTACTAAGAAAACTATCAATTGATTGTCTTTCCAATTCAAGACCGACAAACTCGACTTACAATCAATAAGTTCCTGAAGTCGGGTGCCGGTATATCCCAAATGTGATTGCCAGAGCCTGCTTGTAGTGCTAGGAGACGATTAGCTTTTCTTCAAGTTATCACCATTTCGAGATTGCGGTCTAACTACCTTTCATCTCAACGATCGAAAATACAAGTCCAAGAATGAACGAAACGACAACCAGAACTAGTCACAGGGATTAGCAAAAATGCAGTCGATTTTCTAGTCAAAATTGTGACTAACAATCGTCGATGCCAAGATTGCGCACAACATATCCTCGGGTGAATATTCGGACGGCTACGGCGAGGCCAGCGATGACTGTTGTGGCGATGCCTGTGGCTACTGCTCCCTGTGCACTCGTCGGGGGATTCACCGGGGTGCGAACTTCCCCTGCGGGTACGGGCATCGCCCATAGGGAATCGTTATTCGGGTCCAGCATCGCAGTGGAAACTGCAAGTATTAAACCCTCGGCTGGCTGGTGATCGGCATGTGAGGCCCAGGCCTGATGCCACTGGCAAGTCGAAACGGCTCGACGGCTGGGACGCTCTGTGGAAAGCTGGGGAAAAGAAAAAAGAAAGGAACGCCGGTTGACTTCGAGAACGTATCCAACAAAGAAAAGAAAGTGGAGGGGGGCAAGAGATAGTTAAACCTGCATATCGAGCCGTGGCCCCGTCCGATCAAGGCAGGGGAACGAATCTACGTGAACGTCAAAAGGGAATCAATGCCCCCGCCCATCTCATTCAGCATCTGTAGTTCAGCCATGGGGTAAATGCAGGAGCACGTCCTCGCTAGAGTTAGTACAGCCCGCGATTAACTCCGGCGATTTCCCTGAACAGTCAGGCATCTTCGTCTCGCATGAAGCTTCTTATCCAAGGCACGACCCTGATAGGTCCAAATGTTTTCTCTAGTTGTAACTACCTAGGTAAAGGCGTGTCAGTGAGTGGGCCAGAGTCAATCTCCGGATAACGGTGAGCGTGGCCCAGAAAGAGGTAGGCCCGATCTGGGTCTTTGAAGAGATACAGTATGCATTCCCCCAGATTTTGTTCGGCTGAGGGCCAGGGGTGAGCTTATGACCGTTGCCATGCCCGCTAAAAGATAACCGGGATAACCAGGGAAATAGGCAGTCATCGCCAGCAAGGGACGAAAGGGGGCTGCAAGTACGTGGTCAAACCCCATTTAGGAATAGATAAACACTAGTCGGTTGGGCATCGTTTCATGTATGCTCGCGTGCAATAACATCAGGGAAAGACTGCATCCTGGGGTGCGAGGGGTTTCGATAGTCTCTCTGCCCCTTGATCGCCTCGTCAGGGATTTTCACAGGGATTAGGAATCTGGGGGTGGGGGTAGACCTGGCGAGCAGACTGCGCGGTTGTAATTGTCGGTCTTTAGACTGAGATCACCGGCAGGTCGAGTCGCGAAATTCTCGTTTATTGGTTCTCATGGACCAAAGTCACTAGGCGCTGTTGTTGGGCGGGATCTGCATAGCTTTGTGACGGCTCACCCCATGCACGCATCGTTTCATAGATCTGTTGTCACCACCCGCGCCGAAACTGGCGCTACAGAAAGCCAACAATCAAATCAGCCCGCGCTTGTTTTTAGTATTAAAAGCCATAGCGTCGCCACCAACCGGTGGCCACAGCTTGGGCGGCCGACGTAGGGGGGCACCAGTATCTGGACCGTTGAGTAACCCATATCGCGATATGGAGCGGCCGTTCATTGGGGTAAAACCTGTAGAGTGCGAGACCAGACTGTGCCGGGTATGCCCTACCTGAAATGACCTTGTGCCGCAATGAATCGACTCGCCAATGTTGTTAGTTAGACTACCAATGCGCTCCAATGCATGCATGAGAACTTTGGCGGCTAGTACGGCTTACCTTACTCGTGCTCGCTTGGCACTGCTTTATTCGTCGGATCGGGGTGATATGCCCCTGGCGAGTGCCTAGGTGGTTTTCTACGACTCAGTGTCATGCATGTAGTAGTCTCACAAAGGGCTATTTATCTCGCAAAGCCTGAGGCGACTTCGTCAAGCCGACCTTCCCCAACTTTTCGAGGGGGTAGGGGGGTCTTGTTCTCCATTACATGATAGAAAGCCAACTCATCTGCTAAGATCGGGAAAGATCTCATCGTGGCCGGGCCGCAACCTAATGTCCGAGCAAATGTTGAGATGAGAAGTAGCTTTGCGTTCTTGATGTCCGTCAAGGATACTTATAGAATGCTCGGGTCCGAGGTTTTAGCACCACGTTTTCTCCTCTGTTGTTATTCACAGCATGTCTCGCAGGGAGCACCCACATGAGCATACCATTTAAATCCTTGCGTCCTTGCCACATCTTCTCTCGCCCTTGCTATGGATGTAACAGGCGATAGCCGACCCCAGGCTACTGCGCACCCCTGTAGGTCTAGTCATGCGCAGTCGTTCTAAGAAGATAACTAGAGTGGCAACAGTTGTCGAGGAATGCTGCATCTAATATGATATTCCGGGGACTACTCCTTCCGTACTCGGGGGAAAATGGGGAACATTAGGGTAATAAGTCCTCTGCAAAGCTCTTCTACGTGGTAATTACCATGACTGAAACCGTAATGAGACGATATCCATCTTCTTTTATTGATACATACTTAGGTATTTGGTGACCGTGAGGGAAAGGTGTCAGCACGCAACAAGAGTAAGTATCGAATCTGAGATGGCTGCCCTCTCTAGGCTTCCATCATACAACCTTGACCCAAATACAATGCACAGGGATCTTGTGAGAGTCAACGCTTTCTTGTGGCACAAATTGAGCTATTGTGAGCCATGATTTGACTAAAATGCCTCTCCTTTTACTATAAGGTATGCTGGGACTGGTTTACACGATGTGAAAATATTTTCGATAAGTCTTAGATCCGATTATGATCATCAAATCATGATTGTAGCGTAGTGGATCTAGAAGATAGGATGCACTTGATTGAATTCTTAAAGGATGCGGATCACGACCTTTCCCGTGTGGTTTGCCCTCCACAGGTAATCATAAGCCTCTCGGGTTTGGTTGAAATCAAAGACACGGTCAATGACAGGTTGGATTCCATTAGCTTCAAAAGAAGCAAGCATGTCTTGTAGTTGTTCCCGAGATCCTACAACGACTCCTCGCACAATACAGTGTCGATCCAGGGCCAGGAAAGCGGCATCCGGCCCCCGAACTTCTCGACCAGCTCCCAGCGGATCTGGATTCGTGATGTGGCCAATGCAATGAATCAAACCATTGAACCCAATGGCGTCAAACGATGCTTGCAGCGTTAGAGTACCCCCAATCTCGATGATATGATCTACGCCTTGGTCCTTGGTGATTTTCTTCGCTTCTGCCGCCCAATCTGGATTGGATCGGTAGTTTATGGTATAGGTGGCGCCAAGTTCTTTCGCTTTGGCAAGCTTTTCATCTGAAGATGACGTGACGATAGTTATGGCGCCAGCCGCGTGCGCGATCTGCAGTCCAAAAGTCGAAACACCTCCAGTGCCTTGAAGAAGAACGACTTGCCCGGGACGAATAGGGATCAGCCCGTACAAGGCATTCCACGCCGTCAGGCCTGCGCATGGGAGGCAGGACGCTTCTTCAAACGACAAACAGTCTGGAATCTTCACAACTCCCGTTTTTGGAAAGATGAAGTATTCGCCTAGTAGTCCTTGACTCTCACCCCCAAGTTGGCTCAGACTGATTTCATGCGTCAGCCGACCTGCGGTATGGTCCTGAGTGAAGTTGGCAAGCACTCTGTCGTTAACTTTCCACTCCGTGACCCCTGGGCCGACTTCTTCAACAATACCTTGATTTGTTGTCAGCAGCCTGAACTAATTCTAATTGGCAGCAAAAAGACCACATACCTGCTCCGTCACTTCCTGGAACCAAAGAGTCAGGTCCTGGAAAGGGGTACGTGCCCATGGCCAGAATACCATCTCTCCAGTTCAGTGACACCGCCTTGATTCGAACGAGGATTTGCCCAAATTGTGGGGGTTCTTTGGGAACGTTTCTTAATGTCAAAGAATCAAATCCCTTTTTCTCGGGTAGGTAGTACTGTTGGAAAGTTTGGGACATATTGATCATGTAGATTGGATACCAACTTGCTCGGATGGATAGATTTGTTGACCAGATTCAGAACGATTGAGACAGACCACCCCATTTATACGTATCAAAGGGTCTTAATCTTGTATTAAAGTCCTGATAGAGGAGTGAGATATTTCTTGTTATTCGAAAGTGCTCTGTGCTTTATTGACGTACTCGGCGTGTTGGGCGTCTTTGGCGTGTTTTGCGATATCAGCGTAATAGGCAGCGATCATGGATACGCCCCGTCGAATCTCATCAGTATAATAATGCTACACCTGGCACGTCCAAATAAAGGAAAAAAAGATCTTATCGAACCTCTAGGGCTCGATTTTCATCAGCCCAGCATCGTCAAACGCAGTTTTCGTGGAAGCGAATTTGGTCTTGTTTTCTTTATCTAATTTGGCACTACTCCCTTTTGACGAAACTAATCACGGGCAAAGATTGTTAGTCGTTTGGTCTCGTATGATAGGATATCTCTGTTCAAATAACATGGTCATAATCAATTGAGATAAATGCTCGAGTGAATATGAGAGGATGTTTATGGCGATGAGTACTTGTCTTGAATGTCATCAATGATGCTATCTTTAAAGGGAAATATTGCTTATAGTTTCATTTGAAGAAGAATAAAATCAATACAAGTTTATCGGTTATTTATGTACGAGTCAATAGGCTGCGGTTGAATATCGTGAATTGGAGGTGTGATGTCGTATGAACTATATCTAGGTAGGTATCTTCAAACAGCCGGCTAAGATTATAATTCTAATTCATGGCCCGAAATATGATCCAACGGAAATAGGCCCGAAAGAAGAATCTGTCTTTGCATTGATTGCTCCCTTAGCATCGAATAATTTCTTGTATTCAAAATAGCTCCCCATCCCATCGGAAATCACGGTCGTCATATGGAAAGAACTGAGATTCGGAGGCAATGCCTGTGATGTGATATCTTCAATTTGGAATTCAAGTTCCTCTTCTAAAAGCTTAGGGTATTAACACTAAGATTATTCATTGTGTTGAGATGTCGGGTTTGGCATATTCTTGTTTTTAACTTTACACTCGCTCTCTGTTTTGTATTAACACTGAGACACACCACAGAGGTAAAACCTCGGCTAGGCGGTTGTCTAACATCGGAGTCAATTGCGATTGCCCGCACTTGAAGCAAATGAGTCAAATCACTCTGCAACGCAGGTCGGTGACCGATCATCTTAGCCTCGTTCATCATCATGTCGGGACAAATCAGTGCCTTGCAGGGTAACGTGCGAAGTAGAAGAGGCTCCAAGCATGATAAAACTGGCTGCCTAACTTGCCGGTACAGGTAAATACCCCGCCCGGAGGCAAAAGAAAAAACCGCCCTTTTCCAGATGGACTGACTGGGCCGCCAAGGCATAAGAAGTGTGTGGAAAACACCTTTCCTACATGCGGCGCTTGCACACGTTTGAATTTAGTCTGTGTTAGAGAACCTGCGCGGCGGATCGGGCCAACATCAGGGAGCTCTCCAGCGAGAGGCAGAAGCAATGTGCCAGAAAATACCGCGCCGGAAAATATTCATAGGAGCATGGCACCAGCTGTTCCAACTGGGAGAACTGATTCGCAACGCAGATGCCATGCTATGAGCTACTATATAAAGGTTTTGTCGGAGCTTCTGACAGTAAGCCGGGAGAATAACTCATTCACTTCTGGTAAGGATACTACACAGTAGATCAGTTCCAACTGCTAAGCCCCAGCGCTAAATGTTGTCTCACAGATTTTATTCCGCTAGCTATGGAGTCACCGGCACTATACGAGGCTCTCCTGGCTTACGCTTCCGGCCACTTGTCGTCTCTTGACTCGTCCTATTCCGTTGTTGCACTGAAAGCCAGATCCGAGTCTCTGAGCCACCTATCAAAGGCCATAAATACCTTCTCAGGGGATAGGCTCCACCCAGAATCTACAGTTGCCGCGTCCCTGATTCTATTAACCTCCGAGGTCAGCCTAGGGAGCCACAAAGGCTGGTATAGCCATCTCATTGGGGCAAAGCATCTCATACTCTCTACCCAATCCACTCTTCAATTAAATAATGAACCATCAGGAGGATTGGGAGCTTTCACTAGCTTTAAATCCACCCCTGGTGGTAGATGGATCCTCAGGAACTTTGCCTATCACGACGTCATCAGCAGTGTCACGTTAGGAAGAGAGCCTTTGGTCACTGGCAGATATCTGGAAGGGATTACAGATGTCGTTGACACGTACCTTGGGGTGGCTAGCGGAATACTAGTTACCATCTCCGATATAAGTAGTCTGGATATGTATCCCAAAGGTGAGGACGATGTTGTCGAGTTCCATCGCCGGTGTTTGGAGATTGAAGAGTCCCTTCAGTGTTGGAGGTGTCCTGTCGTAAACTCCGAACCATTATCGGCCATTGCGAGTGCGTATCAGGCGTCTGCTCTGCTCTATCTTTATCGTCAGAAACGCCAATTTGCAGAGAATATCCGGGGATACTTTGGGCTACTCCCCGACTCGACATTTTTTATACACGATCTTGACTGCAAAGTTCATCTTGCAGTTCAAAATATCCTCGACCATATTTCAAAGGTTCCTGTCGACGACGTCTCCGAGTCATGCATGTTGTTCCCTCTGTTTCTCGCTGGAGGCGACGCATCAAGTGTTAGCCAAATCAAGATTGTGCGGCAAAGGCTGCAATTTATGCTCGAGAAACGTCAATTTCGAAACATTCACCGGGCATTGGAAATTCTAGAGACGTTGTGGAAGATGAAAAGGGACGGCACCAAGCAGGAAGGCGATAAATCCCCCGATTGGACAACTCTGTTAAAAGATCAAGAGGAGCCTTTATTATTGACCTGACGATGTTACCAATCAATCATGTTTTCACGAGACGTGGATGTGATTATATGCTGTAAGAACGTCAATCATTTTCGCTATTTGTTTCCGCGGACAAGGAAATAGAGAATACGATCAAGAGGGCATCAAACAGATACTGCCAAATACATTGCGGGTGATTTCTACATATATTTACAGCACTTCGGAGCTAATTAACTCTAGACCGACCCGGAGTCCCGGAATCTGATGTTTAGGGATCAGTCTCCACAAGCCGAAGTATCTTCTCCCCATATTGTGAGAAATAAACAGCCCACATAATTTCTCGGCCCTTGCGCCGACCTTCCACCGCCATCTCAACTTCTCTGGCGTCGAATGTGGCGTGTATTATCAGTTGAACCACTCTTTCCCTCAATTAAAAGGATTAGCGGTGGTTATATGCAAATTGCTCTTACCTTTGACAATGGCTTCCAATCTTGATATCGTTGATGATGCCGACGGCTTCCCCTATGAAGATCCAACATCACAGGGCCTCTACCTCTTTCGTGTAGCCGGCCTTTCAACGACGCTTGGATATGTCCTCCAGTCTGTCTTGCGAATCCTGAAGGATTTTCCAGGATGGAGCGTTGACGAAGAACAGCGGACTGTCGTGCTTCAAAGTGGCCAGACTGTCGAAGAGCGCAGTGCTGCCATCCGCAAGACGGTTCTAGCAATGTGCGAAAAAGAGTCTTTCTCGATCCTCAGAGGTTGGCGCGACGAGACTTTTCCAGTGTTTGGCCCCGACCACGAGGTGGTTCTTCACATTGAACGCTGCGCTTGCCCCTTGTTCGGGGTCGTCACCTACGGCGTTCATGTTCTTGCGTATACTCCCGCACCGGCCGACGAGGGTGCGATGAGAATCTGGGTCTCACGGCGAGCCCGGTCGAAGCAGACATTTGGTGGGATGTTGGATAGCACAGCAGCTGGCGGTGTGGCATCTGGCGAGACGCCACTGAGCACAGTTCTCCACGAGTGCGACGAGGAAGCGTCATTGCCATCTGACCTTGTACGCAGGGACGCGAAAGCAGTTGGAGCCATTACAAACTTCTATGTTCGTGATAGGCGGTCGGGAGGGGAGGTGGGATTATTACAACCGGAGTGTCAGTACGTCTACGAGCTTCCAGTGCCATCTGATTTGGTATGCAAGCCAAATGACAACGAGGTAGAGGCGTTCCAGCTTCTTAACGTTAGCGATATTATGGCAGCATTGGCGAGGAGAGAGTTCAAGCCTAACTCCGCTCTGGTGATGCTTGACTTCATGATTAGGCATGGAGTCGTGACCAGTGAGAATGAGAAGGACTACCTGAAGATCATTACGCGGCTTCACAGGCGATTAGACTTTCCATTGAGATAAGAGCCAAAGTTTCACTTTCTTGTAATTGTAGTCTTTCCGTTAATCAACAACCTGGATGTGTTTCAAGAAGGGGCTATGGTTGGATTAGGGACATTTGCCTCTCATACAAAACGCATCTCGGGTCCTACCTGGCTACGTACGGAACTTGCCCTCATAATTACCAGTAAGACAGAGTAGCACCAAAATACCAGCAGTTGAACTTGGCACCACTTCCAGTGAATGGTTCGGTACCGAATTGCAAGGCTGGAAAAAAATTGAATGATTAGCTTTGCCGTTCAGGCCACGCACAAAGTAGGAACAGTGACATTCGGAGTTGATGACTTACTGAGAAGATACTGGCTGGTCATCGGATATCCCTGCATATCTCGCAGGAGATAGAAGAAATCCATGATTTCACCATCAAATCGGGTCACGGGGTTTGCAGCGACAAAGCTGAAAACCTTCATCGCGCCGTTGTAGCCGATATGAAGGGCCCAGTCACGGCCAGCAGCCCTGACAGTGCCAATGGAGTTACCAATGGGATACACGCCACCGTATCTTCCAAGCCTATTTTCAAAATGAATTAGTTCTCTCCGTTCGACTTATAACTCGGACCCAATTCAAATAACACCTATCTTACCAGATCATGACTTCATAGTCGCCACTGCTGGTGGCGTGGTTTGGGTTGGCAGACGTGAAGATATCATACGCTGCATTGGCGCGGAGGTTGCTTCCAGTATAATCCCAGTCAGCACCACTGGAGATTGACTTAATCGAGCTAACGATCCTCTTTGTGCCGAGTTCACGTCCAGAGTACGGATAGGACTTGACGTTGTTGTCACCCCCTGACCAACTCCAGTCCGTGTGCCAGGCCACGCCTTCGGCCCAGACCTTGTCAACATAGGTGCACTGGCTGCCAGACCCAGAGCCCATACCCCACATGTTGTTGTTGAAAATGTAGCCGCCCTGGGTGTTGCTGGAGTATTGGCCGCAGAGAGTCTGGGCGACAGCCGCCAAGGGGGCGAAGAGGGAGAGTATGACGATATTTGCCTTCATCGTTGATCTTGTACGTTCAATCCGTTCACAAATGTTTCCGAGAAATACAAGATAATTTGATCCAAAATGAGGGATGGGCACAATGGGCTTTGAACACTACTATATAAACGGATTTTTGAAGGGTTGGCACCTGCCGAGCTTGTGTCAACTCATTTCTCGTTCGAGAGTGAAAGGTCACAAATCTGCCGTTGCTTGATCATATGTGGAAGGTCGCCGAAGGAATTCTCGTAATTTATCCAAAGAACGCGCCGCTGCGATCCAGCGGCAAAGCAATCTCCTCATGCCAAGCAGCCCCCCATGTTCAATTTCCATCATTCGACTGCGGCGTGACATTCCGCATGCTACGGCGCAGCTACCCAAATGAGCTCGAAGGGGCTCACGCCGAGCCGAACTTGCATATGTCGTATTTCTGAAATTTACGCATTTCATCCCACAGCTATCTTCTGTGTTTTTCGTAGCTTTTGGTTCGAGAAAAATATGAGCAGGATGCAACGTAACTTGGGCAGACCACGTGAACCAAGTGTGGCAGACAGGGTTCTTAGAAAGTAGTAACACGGCATGTAAATAAGACCATTAATGTAGTCGTATCCAGTCTAAGTAGATGTGAGATTCCATGGAATTTAAATTACCCTGTTGGGATCAGGAATTTCGGCATACATGCCCTTTGCATCCAATGAATTCTAAATACAACGTTCCATTTCCGATGTCGCTTTAAACCAGAAAGCTGACGTAGACATGAAAGATCAGAGAAACGGACGTCGAGCAATGATATCTAGAATACTAAGATGGTTATCGAATCTATCAGGCTATACAGAGATTCCACCGCTCGATCCTTTTCGCCTTTCATTGTTGGATGGTCCGATGGAGATAGTGGCCGTTATCTAAAAGGCTCCAACCACACCACTCCCCGCAACGTGAGGCCAATATTTTCGCACAAGGGTTTGAAGAAAGTTACCATACACATGCCGTGGGATTTTGAGCCTTATCTGTACAGAATGCTCTTCTCATTGTCAATGTAGATGAAAAAAAAATGTTGAAACAATCTAGATTCATCGAGTGGAAATGGCTTATCACAGAGATCCGGATCCTCCAGCTTCATTGGACAGACTCGATATCTAGGTGCCTTCTCCTTGTAGTTAGTGCTCCAAGGGGCCAAAAAATTATACAGTGAAATGGTTGGCAAAACCGTATTCTTTTCCCTAATCATGCAACCCATAATTGCTTGCCATCATAGAGCGTGTGGTTCTGTCGCTAAAGGCGTCATGGAGCTTCTTCTATCTAACAGTGCCCACGATCAGCCGCCGCATCTTGCTATTGCTTCACAAAGAGTAAGAAGGCTACCCCAAAGCGGATCACTTGAACACAAAGGATAGCTTCAACATCTTCAATGAGGAGTCGGCTTATCCAATGCTAAGATGTGCTCATCTTTTTGACGCGCGTCCATGTTTTCCGAAGGAGAATTTGACGAAAAGATCGCACTTCCTGAGCTAGCATACTTATGGTTGAATCAGAAGCCGCCGTTATTCTTACATGATCGCATGGAAATCCCTCTGACAATACAGACCATTCATTGTTTGCCCCTCCCAAGGGACGAGATAATGTCGCCTTGATTCAACTGCACAGCATTCACAATGTTGGACACCAAGATCCCAGCTGCCAAATTTACAGATAGTAGTCGTCCTCCTTCGTGACGCTCACACCTCGCCCTTCCCAAACTTTGTAGGCCCCGATTCCCATATCCGCAAGACCACTGCATCAGGATCCAGTCAGTATTCATTTAGATGAATTGGAACTTAGTCAGACAGATGAAACAGAAGTCTACTCACTCGTCTCTCCACATCACTTCTGCTTCCGTTTTGCCCTTGTCGGGGTTGAAGAAGACAATATTTTTGTGCTTCACCGACGATCAGCCATTTCTGTCTGTTAATGTACCAAGCTTTCTGAATCACTTACCAAGCCTAGGGTAAGATGAATTGCCAATCGTCCAAGGACCATTTGTTCACTTGGTTCCTTGCCTGCAATCATAGAGGCAATGTTTGCGACGGCGGCAGCCGCTTGTTCCACTCCAGGACGGGCTGCCTTTCTGGCTCCAGTGTCTGCTACATCGCCAACCGCGAATATGTTGGAATATTTGGGATCCTGGAGCTGGAGAGTGGGCAGGACACGAATAAATCCATTGTTAGGGTTCAAGATTGAGGTACTCGTAGATGGCTCCAGGTCTTTGAGAAACTGGCTGTTCGCCGTCTGGCCAGTAGCAAGAATTACGAGATTAGTGGGAATCTTGCGGCCATCCTTGAGTTCCAGAGCGAAAAGGCTCCCGTCTGACGGGAAGCCCTTTGGTGGAATGACGGCTCGGGTGCCAGTAATCACGCTGTCATCTTTGGTTAGCGAATGATTCGCTGGCAACGATGGTGTTCAATTATTCTTACTCAATGTCAAGCTCTTTAAAGCGATCTCGGATGACTTCATCCAACTTGTGGTGATACACCTGCATCAGGAGGTCTCGGGAGTGAATCAGCGTCACTTTCTTCTCCGGATAGATCTCCTTCATGTCGGTGGCCATCTGAACACCAACGGCGCCACCGCCAATGAGGACAACTGAATCAGCCTTTTTGACCAAGTCCTGGTGGTACTTGAAGTATTCAATGCCCTGGGGCTTCTCATCATGCTCCACCGAACCAGGCGGAGAAAGTCGGGTGCCCGTCGCAATGATAGCATAATCAAACGAGATGACATTCGAACCCCGCCATTCTCGATCGAGAACCACTTGGTTAGCGGTTAAGGACACTGCTCTGGCCTGCACAACGGCATGTTGAGACGGATCCGACGCCTCGGAAAATGTCCCAGTGTATGGCACGAATGCCTTGTGTTCATGACCTGGAAGGATGGCGTATCTGGGCTGTGCACGTGGTCAGGGATGTGGACTTGAAGTTCACGAGGGGCCCATTACATACAAAAGGAAAGAGATAATGTAGATGGCTGTGCGGTTCAATCAGGAGTACCTTGGATAGAAGAAGACGGTCAATAGGCGTTGCTTAGAAACGATGGCCGGCGGGGCGCGAAATAACTCACCCGATGTGTGCTTGGTAGTCTGGCGAGCAATTCCCGGACCGCGGACTACTGATGATCAGCTGGAAATGTCATGAAGAAGAATCATCAGAAAGGTCGGCCAAGCGAACGTACCAGCCCGACAAAGGAGCCGCCGAGAACTACCACAGTTTTGGGTCCGACAGTCATGATGGAAATCGGCTATATGGAAAGGGAAAGGGCTAGGGAACTGTTTTATTTTTGAACAGAAGATTAGATTTCCAGAGATTGATAAAGGGACAGATTGATAAGGAATTAGAGCAGATTGATAAGCTGGGCTGATGTCACTGAGCGATTTAATACACCAACAACCCCTTAAAGCCAAGGAGAGGTTGACATGGATTTGTATTTATTGGATAATAAAAATTCAATTATTGCAAAATACGGAAGGGATCGCTCAACAGCTTGCAAGCAAAGTCCAGTCTGGGATAGCTGCTTCGCCACGCCTCGGCCATCGATCGGATCGGCCTTCGGCTTCTCGCATGAGAGGTAAAGCTATTTATTGTACATAAACCAAGAGAATGATCTAGCTGCCGAACCTAATTTTAACCCCGGCTAAATCAAGGCTACCCTGCTGGAAGCTGTGAAGATCTACGGGGCTTATATATCATTACACCATTACAAGTCGCCAGCAGAACTAGCCAAGTTTCGGGTTGTTGAAAAAACGAGCCCTGGTATTGATAAGCCGGCCTTGAGAGATGGTATACTCACGAGCTTGCTGTGTTCATATAGCTGTTCGCACGTTAAAGAAGGCAATCGGCTGGATGAAGCACAAGATTTTGAACCAAAGGGAATTGGTTACTCCGTAAGAATTACATGGGGGGAGTTATGGGGAATTAGATGTGCTAAATTCCAGGGAATAATAACTCATGCCTTTTAAGATACCTCTTGGCACGGAGTGAGTGTGCTTGTTGAATGTCGGTTTCCTGGGCTTTCATCCGTCACCTGCTATACTATAGACTCGTCGTGAAAGCTGACGACATGACATATGCTCGGGATCAAATAGGGAAGAAATTAAAGTGTGAACAGTATATCTTTGCACGGGGGTGTCCACTAGTCTTCCAATTCGAAAGTGTGTTTATTCTTACATTTAATATCTTTATGGCCGAAATGACGATGTCTCTAAACTACAGGCGCGGCTCGACTTAGGGGCTGAAATCGAACCCGTCTGTGATTTCTAGTGCACATCGCGCGTGGATATCACTCGGATTAGAGCTTGTACAAATCAAAACCTCGTGCCGTCCACCTTCCACCCTCCATACCTGTCCGCCAGCTTCGGCGGGTGACTCAATCCAGTATGCAACGGCATCTCTCTTAAACGAAAGTCGTACCCCTTTACTCTCATTTGGCTCTAGCGAGACTTTATCGAATGCGACCAAACCCTTGGGTGGCCTCCCATTGCTGCCGGGATTTGGAGGTACCAAATAGACTTGGATAGTTTCGGCACCCTTTCGGGAGCTCGTGTTTTGGATCTTGACGGTGATATCCACGGAGCCATCTGTAGATTGAGAAAACGAACCTTCTAACGAAGCCTTTGATATTTCGAAGGTAGAGTAACCCAGTCCAAAGCCAAATGGAAACAGAACTTCCTTCTCCGTCTCATACATCTGGTCAAAGTGCCTGTACCCTACATTGACGCCTTCAACATATGTGACTTGTTGTGTCTCGAAGCTGTCGAGTCCAAAGTGGCCGAAGCACGCAGTGTGCTCATACTTTCTCGGCCAGGAAACCGGCAGCTTTCCACTCGGGTTCACATCCCCAAGAATCACATCAGCGATGGCATTGCCTATCTCCTGACCTGCGTACCACCCCTGGAGTACGGCGGAGACTTGTTCCAGCCAGGGCATTTCAACCGGCACGCCAGTTGTTATCACGACAACCGTGTTGGCATTCGCCTTGGCTACTTCAGTAACAAGCCTGTCTTGGGATCCATCTGCGGGCAGAGTCATGTTGGCCATATCTTGGCCCTCGGTTTCCCATTGGGGTGTATTACCAACGAAGCAGATAGCAATATCGGCACTCTTTGCCAGAGCAACGGCCTCGGCCAGTAGATCCGCTTCCATCTCGGCCTGAGCGACGAAACCAAGGTGAGCAGCTATTTGGCCCTCTAGTAGAAACAAATCAGAGTTGTTGACCTGAGATGGGACTGATTCGATAACCACATCATATGCTTTGTTTGAATCGAAGTCATATTGGAATCTGTGCTCATCTTGAACGCCCAGAAGGAAGCCCATACTATCTTTAGACTCTTTGACTTGGTTGCTCACAAGTTCTCCGTCAATGAAGAGCTTAGACGGCCCAAGACCGGAAAAGCTGAGATAATGTTTGCCAGAAGCAGGAGGGTTATATTTCGTAGTAAACCGGACAGATTCAGCAATTCCAGCCACCTTGGTATTCATTAAGGTAGTAAATGCTCCTCGGGGATATTCCTCATGGTAAAGGGGCTCCCCATAAAAGTTGGGATTATTGAAGAAATCAGCGATGAAGCCAGGATTGTTGTTGCGGTTGACAGCTCCTGCTTCAAGATCAGGGAGAACTCTGAATATGTGTGTACCTGTGAACAGAGTAAGCTTTGCATTCGTCATTTGCAGATTGTCATCAAGATCTCACCTTTCGAATATGATAGCTCACAGGTTTGTCCAAGCCGCTGTTGCAAGGCGTCATATGGCGTCACCTTATAGTGGCAGTTCAGTGAAGCACTCCCTCCACCATGCGCTGCAGCATGCTTTGTCAGAGGACCCAGAAGCGCGATCTTCTTGGATTTTTGGGTGTCGATTGGGAGGATCTTCTTCGAATTTTTGAGGAGAACAATTCCCTCCGCTCCAGCCTCCCGTATCAATGCATTGTGTTCCGGACGCACAATAGCTTGCTCATCTCGCGGCTCTCGACGGTCGGAAAACTTTCCAGTCCTTCGGAGAAGATTGAGAAGCGAGAAGACATGGTCATCAATGTCGTTTACATTGACAAATCCTTCATCAATAGCCTTCTGTATTGTTTCTGGCTTGCGACGGTTTGGTGGACCTGGCATTTCGAGGTTCAGTCTGGTAGAATGTCAATGCTGGGACAGGTAGCGGTTCAGGCGGGGAGTATACCCATGTTTAATGCTTAAAATGGCATCGGATGTTGCTCCCCAATCGCTCATAACTAATCCTTGGAATCCCCATTCTTTACGAAGGATATCGTTGATGAAGGTTGGTTGGGCGTCAACGTAACGACCGTTCACTCTGGGATAACTCGTCATTATGCACCAAGGATCAGCCGACTTGACAACAATCTCAAATGGTCGGAGGTAGATTTCTCTTTTGGTAAATTAACAAGCTGAGTTTCCGCCATTCATTGGATGGAACATACCGTAGTGCACGCTCCGAAATAGTTTCATTGACAGTGAAGCGCTTTGTGTCTTGCTCATTGGCGACAAAATGCTTGACAGTTGCGCCAACCTTCTGGCTCTGCAGCCCTCTAACATATTCCGCCGCCAGCTCACCTGAAAGTAGAGGATCTTCTGAGAATGCCTCGAAATTGCGTCCTCCCAGAGGTGAGCGATGGCCGCACACCGTGGGGCCAAGGACGACGTACGCCCCCTTGGTCTCGGCCTCTTGGCCCAGAGCGGCACCAATTCGAGAAGCAAGACCACGGTTGAAGGTTGCCGCTAGAGAGACACACGATGGAAAGCATGCGGCTGTAGTGCCATCAAAGAAAGATCCCCCCGAGCACCATTGGGCCCATCAGTAACCTAGCAGTGCTTGTTAGCCATAAGCGGTGTAGTATTTGCTCAAGGACCTTACTTTCAGCGAGGGAATTCCCAATCTTTCGACATCAAAAGTTTCCCAGACATTCTTGCCAGAAAGCATACATATCTTCTCGCTCAGAGTCAGCTGAGAAACAAGAGCACGCAGCTCTGCGTCTGAATGCGGATCCCTCATTACGGACTAGGGGCGACAGAATGAAAACGAATGAAAAGAACCGGCAAAAGGGAAGGGAATTGGAAGACCGCTGATGAGAGATTTTTCTCCCTCGGTTTAGATAGTTCAGCTTATTGATAAAATTTTATTCCTCACGTGTTAATTAAAGGTTTCTCCATCAACCTCCTGCTCATCGGTCTCTTGTTGAAGTGCGCAGGAGAATCATCGGAGTATCTTTCCCCACACGATACGGAAAGATGCGGCGAGAGCGGAAAGAAGCGCCTCCTTGGCACTGTGGATCAAGATGGAAGTGAGATGAGGCTTAAGCCTGTCAAAAGCGAGTTTCCAATGGAAGCAAGCTTCTCAGCCAGGAGCAGGGTAAGTTCATGCAGGAGAGAACTGCCGTAGGTGCTATTAGCTGGAACTGATTAACCGGACCACGTGAGGGTTTCTCCTGTGATTCTCCGTTAGCGTGACTACACTGACCAGGATTCATCTGGTTGCAAGGGGTTGATTCAGCTCAGGACGCTCAGGGGTTGGTCCATGTTTTAATTCCCTTCTTCTGGTTCCCATTGCTTTTCCACTTGTTGTCGAATCCACTCGAGACTCTAACGTTCTCCATGGGGTTGAATTGTGACCCGAATTTCTGATTTCGGCTTCCTCAGGCCCCACGGGGTGCATTATTGGCGACGCGTTAACACATCGCTTACTTTATACCGGCTCTTTGGCTGCATGGCACACTGCCGGCTTGGAGTATTAAAGGAGCAGCGACTCCCGTGCTTGGGACCGCTTCACTCTATCCACCAGAAGATCATTTCCCTCCAGGCTTCCCCTATTCAAGTCATATCAGCATTTCAATATGTCAGACATCAAGAAACTTGACGTCCAGCATGTTGAACCAGTAGGTGAGCATGGGAAACCTGCCATCCTCGCTGCTTCTTCGCTGGCTGCCCGCTTTGAGCATCGCCAGCATTCGCTCTCCAAAGTCGAAGCCATCAAGGAAAACAAACTTCCTCTAGCATGGTGTTTGTATATGTTCTTCATCTGCGTCGCCTGGGGCTTCGACGGATTGGCAGGTGGTGTGGTCGTCTCCATCGCAGAGTTTCGAAAGGACTACGGCAAGCCGTATGGAGGAGACTACGTTGTTGACGCAAACTGGCAGCTCGGATTCCAGGCCGGAACTCTCTTCGGTTAGTATCATACAAGCCAAATCATTAAGCCAATGTCCAAGCCTTGGTCTAACTCCCCAGCAGCTATGGTGTTTGGAGGCTGGATGGCCGGCCTGTTTATCGACCGAGTAGGTCGCCAACCCGTCATCGGAGCGGCTTTCATCATCTCAATTGGGGGTGTTTTCCTTCAGGTATTCAGCAAGAACATTGGCCAATTCCTAGGAGGAAAGGTTTTGACTGGTATTGTATGCATACCTCACTGCTGTCACCATTCAACCAGGATGCTGACATCTTGAAGCCTCTCGGTGTCTTCACCACCGCTGCTCCTCCATACGCATCTGAGATGGCTCCCCTGGCCATTCGTGGCTCTATCTCAGCTGGAATGAACTTCGCTATCGTGCTAGGACAACTCATCGGATATGGTGTCATGCGGCAAGCGAGTTTCTATGGTGATTCCAGGGCCTACAAGGTTCTATTTGCCACCCAGTGGGGATTTGCCGCCGTGGGAATTGCCATCCTACCCTTCTTTCCAGAGTATGTGGCTACGTTCTTCATTGTCTCGTTATATTTTATCCAAGTACTTACGAAAGAATACCCCAGGTCACCATACTGGCTCATTGCCAATGGAAAGTCTGAAAAGGCGCGAAAGAACCTTGAGAAGCTTCACGATGCCGATTACGACTTCGACGGACACATGGCAGAGATCAATGACTCTCTGACACTCCAGAGACAGCAAAACGATTCCCAAGGGGGAATGTTGGACTGTTTTAAGAAAGATGCCTGGAAGAGAACTTTGGTGGCAACTAGCATGTTCTTTATTCAAAACTGCTGCGGCTCAGCGTGGGTTATCGGATACATGAGCTGTAAGTCTCCCGCTGACCTTGTATGGCAATATGCTTATCTGGCTATAGATTATTTCCAACTTGCGGGCATGGAAACTTCAAAATCGTTCGATACAACCGTCGGTCTTTGTGGGATGATGGTCGTGGGGAACATCTGCGGTTGGTGGTTCATCGACTGGTTTGGAAGACGATCAACTGCTTTGTATGGATGCATTGCCCTTTGCGTCACACTATTTCTCATTGGAATTCTTTCCGTGATAAATGCTTCCGGAGCAGTCTGGGGTCAGGTTGTGTTCATGGCTGTTTGGTCTTTCGGTAGGTTCATTTCATATTTCGGTTCTCTCAGCACCATACTAATGAATATACCTATAGTTTACCAAGCCACCGTAGGCGCGGTTGCATGGCCAATTGCAACCGAGGCTGCTACGTCTAGATTACGTGGCCCAACACAAGCTCTGGCCACTATGGTCAATGGACTCTCCTCGTCAATCTGGAGCATGTCTCTTCCGTATGCCATCAACCCTGACCAAGGGAATCTCGGAGGCAAGATTGCATTCATCTTCGGTAGCACGCTTGCTGTCTCTGCCGTCTTCATTTTCTTCATGATTCCTGAGACCAAAGGGCGGACATATATTGAGATTGATGAGCTGTGGGCACGGGGAATACCACCACGGAAGTTCAAGGAGACTGAGCTTATCACGGTTCCCGTGGAGGAGTTGAAGTCTGTCGATTAGAATTCTCAGATTGAATGAGTCCGCGCTATCCAGCATTAAGTACATCAGCATCCTTCCCGCATTCAGTTGTAGAGCCTGGACAGGGCGTTCTAATATATACAATATGTCACTCTGCGTTTTTAGCCATGCTGTAAGTGGTAGCTGCAGCTAGCAATAGCTCGAAGTAAATATGTCTAGGGCCACACATGACTTAGCTAGCTGATCATAGTTATAAGTAAAGAAAACTTATCCTAAAAGCATAATAGAAGGTTTGCGCCTGGACATTCGTGACTGCAGTCACAAAGTTAACTCGTGATTATGCTCATTTCCGATAAACTCTATTAAAGACAATAGATGCCTATATAAGAGTACTGACGCCTGCGATCCGAGATACCCGCACCCACTCTCAATCTCATATCTATCTATCAAACCGCCACATTGTGACCACACCAAGCCTACTGCCCACCCTGAATCCGATATATCTTTCTAGTTGGAGGAACATATATTACGTCCTGCAACTAGAACAGCACTCGCTTCTTCTCTGGAATTGGTCGGCTTTGTTTGCCTGAAATAGAGGGACGTTGCATTAACTCGAGTCTGCCGAGAAATAACGTCGGAACTGCATTGACGTCACATGCGAGAGGCTGCCATCCAACTAGACCTTGTTATTGGTAGAAGCCCAACTATGGAAACTCAAGCACGGTGGTTTCTCATACGCCCTGAAGGCGAGATTAAGGATGACAAGCCCGTCGACGTCGGGGTCGTCTTGTAAGTCTTGCTGGGCCCATATGGTACGAACCACGCTTTCCGTCATGGTTAGATCGCCGAGCTCTCTCTGGCTTATGGCATTCTGAAGCACAGTGAGTACTATCCGCCTCTCGTCGTCTTCTTGCGCTTGCAACGCGAGCATAAGAAGCGGGAATGGTCGTTCACATAATTTTAGGTCTTGCATTATAACAAACGCCTCCTTGGCCGACTGTTGGGACAGAAGAGAAGAAGCAGGTAGTCCTCGCACTACCCGATCTAGATAAATGAGCGCGGAGAGTTGGAATAATCGTGCAACTGCTGCATAGTGCTTCCAAGTTCCTGGTCCGTCGTCACCAGTCTTGTCGACATTATCGCAAACAACTTGTTGGCAAGTCTCAATCTGATTCTCAAGGTCGTTTGCCGTTGCCAATATTTCATGACTGAGGGGGAGGCTTTCATTTTCATTGCGGGAGCAAGCCAACTCTATAGATCGGTTGAGAAGTCGAAGCAATCCTAAAGAGCAGCCGAATGAGCTCTTGATCTAATTAATATAATATGTTAGAATTGGTAAATTATGCAGATTTGAAAACAGTTCTTACCACGCTGGAACGAGGTTGAAGTATGGCCCAAGACAGTGTAGTCTCATGATTCACAACCCCTTGTCTCTTACTTTGCCTTTGAAACCAGTGGATGATGCAGAGTTTGAAGAAAACGGAATAATATGATACCCAGTCTAGTAATGTTTCGGCCTCGCCATCATAAGTGTTTATAGAAAAGTTGGAAGATTGGAAGATCATGAGACAACCGTTGAAGTAGACAGTCCACTGTCGCATCATGTCATGCAAGTCATTCGGCTGATTTAAGATCTATCACAGTGTTCAGCTTCGAGTAACAATATCCATATACAGTGTTATTAAACCATCCTACCTCATAGATACTCAGAAGCATACTTGCTGCAATTGCTTGTGCCCTCGACTTGTAGTCAGTGATTTGAGTAATTGCCTCCCGCAACGCCGAAATGGCTTGGAACTGGTGATGTTTGGATATTGCAATTTGATTCAAGGAATAATAAGATATTGCATTCATTGAACTTCGAACGGCCAGAGACGGGGCGGCATCATCGGAAACAGCCATGCGATAGAGGAGATTGCAGATGTCTCGCCGAAGGTCTCCATGGGAGGTCACTACCTGAAGGGCGAACGTGTATTCTGTGCAGCTAGAAATTAACTTGAAATTCTTCGATTGCCATGTATTTCTGAAATCCTTTACCATTGTGGGTTAAAGATGTCCCAAGGGTAGGGCCAGGTAGCGGCATGGGTACGTGGATTGGCGAGTAGAATCCAAGGCGGGATACTATCAAGCTCAAGAGTCAGACACACACGAAGGGAGAGCTACCGAATGTTAATAGTGAATAGGTACCTAGAGATCCATAATACACTGCAACATCCCTGCTCGAGGTATTGAGAAAGAAGAGAGGTTCGGCAATGTCTCCAGCCGGAATATCGGCTTTCAATGCCCTCCGCCGATCATTTATTCCAGGCCAGGAGAGCGTGTTTGAGTAGCCCTCGCACTGCTGCTTCCTCCTTGAGCATGTTTTGCAGGTCGGTAGATGCCTGTCACATGCAATCTTTCTCCCTGTATATATGGCAGTTGTCAGAACATGCTGTTAAAGGGTGATTTATTATTAACCCCATTCGGATCACTCACTTCGGCAATTCGCGCAGGGCTTTTGTGACAGGGTTGGAGATATATCGGGATTCATTTGAATGCAGCTAGGGAAATTGATCAATCTACGAAAAAGAAAATTTTCCAACGTCGAATGCCGACTTTATCGCAAGTCTTGGCGGTTGGACCTTGAGTAAGTAGATGAAGTCATCTACATTAGTGATGAGAGGCTTATCAAGCATTGCGAATTTTGTTGCACTGTCATCAAATACGCTCATCAGAGACATTACTAATATATCTCACAGACCACCACCACTGCAATGGCAACTTTGGCCGCGCTGCTCCAAGATTCTGACCAATTACAGCTCCAGAAAAGGCTCCACTGGCTCTGATACTGTAGACGCCTAAGCCAATTGCGGTTCCCAATGAGCTCCGCAGTGGTCAGCGGCGTTTGAATTGCAACTTTCGCCGTCCACGAGGGCCAGAAACAGTAATGTATATCAGCATGGAATAGAACAATGAGATCGACTTTCTCTCAGTATAAATTGCGTTGCTTCTCGCCGTAGCATACTCCTTTCACTTTCATTTCTATCATCAAACACATTCACACAGCAACTATCACGATTCACACCCGTGATTCTCTAAGACTATAAGCTCCCCAAACAAGCCAATCATTCATCATGAGTTCACCTAAGGTTCTTCTCACAGGTGCCACAGGATACATGTTAGAACAACTCTTTTTTTCTTCCTTTTTTTTCTTCACCTTCGCTAACCTTCATCTAGCGGCGGTTCGGTCCTGACAACCCTGTTGGCGTCTGAAAATCCCGCCATCAAGGCTGCACAAATTACAGCTTTGGTTCGGAAGCAAGAGCAGGTTAATCTTTTGAAAGAGAAGGGTATTGACTCGACTCTGTTCAGTGGATTGGATGACATTTCCAGCGTCAAAGATATTGCTAGCCAGTATGACGTGGTCATTCACACTGCTAGTTCATTCGACACCCCAGCCGCTCAGGCACTGATTGCGGGTCTAGAGGACCGCAAAAAGCAGACTGGAAAGCAGACATCCCTGATACATGTTAGTATTGTCATTCCGTCTATAGATTGACTTGTGTATGCTAATGAGTTCAGACGAGTGGCACGTCAAGCCTCGGCGACCAGCCTATCAGGGGTACTTTCACGGAGAAGCGTGTTTTCTCGGATAAGGATGACATCTACACCTATGAGCGTTACCGCGAAGATCTGGAGCCCTACCCACAGCGCACGACCGATTTGGTCGTTTTCGAGAAGGGCGAGGCGGCAGGTGTCAAGACCTATATCGTGACTGCCCCTACCATCTACGGGATAGGCAACGGATTATTCAATCGCACATCAATTCAGATTGACGCTGTGATCCGCGCGGCTAAACTTGATGGCTACGCGGTTCGCGTTGGGTCCGGCAGCGAAGAGTGGGATCACGTTCATATTGCCGACTTGGTCAAGTTGTACGAGACCATTCTCGCTCGCGTGCTCGCAGGTGATGACCTGCCATCCAACAAGAATGGTGTCTATTTCGCCGAGACTGGGCATCACTCCTGGGGAGAGCTGTCAGACCGAGTTGCGAAGGCGGGTAAAGCTTTGGGATACATACAATCTGACGTCGTGCGCGAGGTAGGCCTCAAGGATGGCAGTGCCAAGCTTCATGTTCCCGAGTTGGTGGTAGAGCTGGGTTTTGCATCCCGATCCCGAACGCAGGCTGAGAAGGCTCGTGAGATAGGATGGGCTCCCACTAAGACGAGGCAGGATTTTGAGGATAGTTTCCTTGAGGAGTGGAAATTCCTCGCCAAGGCGGCGTAGCGGTCCGTGTGACCCCGTCGAGTCTTCAGCTAAGATGATGCATTATACAAGGAAAATAAGCAGTCCATATATTTCGGTCTACTCCAGCTGCGATACCATCGAGGCGGGATGTTAGTTTGATACTCTCAAATTCTTCAACAGTCTATTCTCTTTAAAAGCTCGAGGTTTGCAATCACAAACAGAGCGAATTGCTTCTTTCACTGCATATTTGTGCCCCGCACCGTCTACAACACCGATTTCGTCGAAAGTACCATTTTCTTGCAAAGTTCTTCCGCCGAGATTTGGATCCCCCGTAGTAATTAGGGTGCTCGAAATATGCTTGGGGGGATGAGGATAAAACCCAGTAGTTATAACGATATTTTCTCGACTGTAGATGGAGTCGTCGAGCTAATCTGAGTTGGAACTATCCATCTTTGATGATATCAACCCCATACAACTGGACCATGGTATTCAAATGGTGGGAAGAATCAGCGCGGTTTCGAAGTGGCATGATGATTTAAATTAATATAAATTAATAGCCATCCTTGTTACATGCAGGATTGTTGAGGACACTGTGTCTCGTAACTCTCGCCCATGGAGAACCCCGTCTATTCATCATCCTCTTCTATAAGTATCGCTTCTCCATGCGGTACTTTGATCCTGAAGATAATGGTGCAACACACAACCATGTCTACCAATTCTCAGTCAAAATCTACCTTCGTGACTCGCCTACCCCGTGAGGTACGGGATGCCATATATCTAGAGCTCTGGCGTTTCATTGGCCTTCGGCAGCACGTTGTCTCTCATCGCAATCATGAAAATGCCGATCCAGAACACCCTGAATGGCATTTCTGCCGCTACAGATGTGTGACCGACTTCGAGGTAGAGGACCAACTACAGCAGGAGGTCGAATTGTTACGAATCGAACAGAACACTGAACCAATGAGCCTGATCCACAACATACCCTACCAGAAGCAGCTCGCCTCACCTTGGCATAACCACTGGGCATACGGGGAGGAAATAGAAAAGATTCACGGTGAAGAAGTTGTCATGACCCGCAGCACTTCGGGGTTTGGGTGTTGGAAGCCACCAGTTCCTCGGCCGAAGCCTCGCGGGAAATTGAGGCGATTTCTGGGCAAATTCAAACATAGGGGAAGCCAATCTCGCACTCCTGGACTTGACTTAAGTCCTTACATTCCAATGCTGCTGTCATGCAAGCTGCTGTATGTGAATGACTTTTCTTCTTCTCCCTCGACGTAATTGCTGATCGTCTTATGAAGGTCGTCGGAGTGCCTCAAGTCTCTCTATGAGTCCACCACATTCGTGTTCACCGATATCGTTGCTCTACAGAGATTCATCGGGGTGTGCCAACCAAATGCAACTGGAGAGGTACGCACAGATAATGAAAATAGGCCGGCCGGATTTCTCAAATATGCCCGAAACCTTGAGTTGACGCTCACCCCGGTGTTCTATCTCGATGTACCGTGTTTCATGGCACATGATATACATCCCGCGGAAGACTTCCACAATCCATACGACTTCCACTGGCTTAAACTTGGCCAATTTGAAAATCTCACCAGCATCAAAATGTGGGTTTCAGCTCGGGACTTTCGATTACACGGCCACGCCTCTGCCATAAACTGGGAAACAATAGACGAATTGGGCGTCGAGGGTCTAGTAAACTTCTTCTCGTTCTTCGCAAATCTACAAGAACTTCTCGTGAGCACCCCCTCGGGGAGGAGATCGAGCCCGAAGACGGGTTTGTCGAGGGGATTACAACCCAGCCCAGCCACAAGATCTGGAAAAGAGGGACAGGCGATGCTTTCCACCCGAACATGGAGTTTACTTATGGAATGAACAGACCTCATGCTTCTATTATGAGTTTCGATAGAAGGTAAAACTCCCCCCCCTCGACTTACAATACTTGTACTAATGACATCTTTCCCTCCATAGATATGTTCAGAAATTTGGCCTTCCTAGGGGTACGACCCATGTACGCTTGGCCAATATTATATAGCTTTTATTCCTTTTATACTTTTAGCAAAGATTCTAGATCGAGACGAATGTAGATGCTTCCATCTAACGAGATTTGGGATATCAAGCAACAACGGGAAAGTGCTGCCTATCGCCTCCAATCACTCCAGACTCTTTCCCTTACTTTCAACGACAGCCACATTTCTTGCAGGCCGGGTATGGCATATCGCTCACCGCACTTGACTAGAGTTGGCAAGCTCTCACACAAGAATTGGTGTCATTGTTGGGGCCATCCTCTCCCAAAGCCCCTACCCTGGAGCCAAGTGCTCTCCGTGAAATAAATACAATTTGTAGAGGGCTCAGTAATAAAGGATTAATAAACACCTAGAAAGTAGCATGCGTCATCCATTTAGGGATTAAATTCAGCTTTGAACCATAAAAATGCCTTTCTCGGTTACATTATGAATATGTTCTGTTGTGTGCACTTGGGGGTCTCCTCACACAGTTATATGGTCATATCAGCATGCACCCGAACAGGACAGTTTCCTTTGAATAATTGAAATCATTAGATAGGAGATAGAAAATGAGGTAGATCTATCTATGAGAGTATTTCTTCCTCCCCTTTTGACCCAGCTGGGAAACCAGGCCGTTGAACTGCGGCTAGAAAAATGGGCCGCATCTCACGACACCAAAGAGTTTTTGCGACCAACAGCTGCCTGCTAGTCTTGCATATATAAATAACAGTGGCGCGTCCCCTCTCAATTTTCATCTGGCAACTCAATGCTGACACAATATCCCGCAGCTTTCAAAAGTCCCTCCGCATGCAGCGCGTCGCTACGCAGCTCCTGGCGCTGTCGCCGGAGCTTGTTGAACCCATCATCGCTGACCTGCCACTTCACAAGGCGCTGGAAATCCTTTCAGTGCCTTCTGAGTCATCTCCCGTGCAAGAGAGTCTATCGGTAACTGGCCAGCTAAGCCCACTGGCCTACGCCTTCATTCAAAGTCCCGCTTGGAGACGCGTGTTCACCTCAGAGGAAAGGACAGAAAGACTCCTACTTATCTGGGAAGCAAGCAAAAACTTCTTCCTGCTGCAAACTGGGCGGTCGTACCTGCACCTGCTGAAGTCACAAGAGTATGGCTGGCGGAGGAGTGAGCTGCTGGGAGCCGGTGCTGACCAACTCCAGGGCCCTGAGGTCCTTGATCAAATGAGCAATGGCCTGTTCAACCTGGTCCCAGGCTTGGATGTAAAACACAAGGAGAGAGGAAGAATCGCCCAATCTAATGCCTACATGAAAGCAGTGTTTGCGCTCTTGCGAGATCCCAAGGAAGTTTATCAGTCTGGTATGCCGCCTCTTGGTAGGAGTACAATTCACTTTTCTTATACTAATATCGGATCATCATAGACCACGAGCGGGAGGTTCAAGTTACTCCATCTTTTGACAAAACATATGACACCCGCGGCGGGGAATGGGATCCGAAAGACTTCTTGGCGATGGTCAAGCCACTGTGTGAAGCTTGGGATCTGCTCAAAAGCCTCTGGGCCACGGAGCTGGAGTCTCTCGCCGTTTTACATGAACGGTTTCCGACGATGCTGAAGGCGGCTTTTGCGCCTCAATTGGCACACACTCCATTGAATGTCTGGCATATGCCCAAAAAGCTCAGATTTGTGGCCAAACAGATACCAAACCGATCTCTTAGAGACGCAATTGGATCGCGTAAGCCAGGATCAGATTCAAGCTATTTCAGTTTCCCTCATCACTGTCTTTTACCTTATGATTGGTGCCTGAGACTCTTCATTATTGTTCTTCAGGATAAGAGTCCGGAAATCCCACGTACGCTGGCCGCAGACGTGGATCGAGCCATCGCGGGCTTGGATTTTATTCATGAACATTCTGGCGACGGAAGGCGGTACCCAAGATTTAAAGGCAGCAAAGATGACGCCCGGCACATGGAAATGATTGTGTATTACGATAAAGACACCGTCAGACCGACTCCCAGCGCTGAATTAGACTGGCTGACATCGTTTCTCGTAGTCGTCAAGTGGATGACGGAGGAGTATCCAGCTCTTGCTGATGATTTACGCCAGCCTATTGCTCGTATCTACAGAGTAGCAGAAGGGAGGGGCCAGAAAAAATTACTCTTTGAGCCATCCGATTATGATCGATTTGCCGACGCCATACCCGCCGCTGAGGTTGCCATCTATCTTAAAAAGGACCTTGATTTAGCTTCCCGGCCACTCGGTGCCCTGGATGATCATTGCTTACCCAGCCTGCTCGCTCTTCATCTGCCCGACTTTTCCTCGAGGCAAGCTCAGCAGATTGCAGCACATCTCGGGCCAAAGCCAGGACTGGAAATTGAGCTTCAGCAGGTTGTGTATGAGAATACCCTGGAGAAGATCAAACGACACTTTCAAAAGAGACCGCCCTCCCCCAGAGGAGTGTCAGATGGAGAGTCGTTGGTGCACCAAATTCTCGAGAATAACAACAGAGATAGCGCTGCGCACACAGTACAGACGTCGCCAGGTACCTGGTGGTCCAGTGTTGTGAAGCGATACGTGGATGTCGTACCTAGAAAATCTCGTAGTTTATCTTGTTACATCTGCCGACATAGCGTGTCTGATAAGCGTGGATTTCACCCCATTTTCTCGGCCATGTGTAAAGCTTGTGGCGACTTTAATTTGGCCGGGTCGCGCATGTCACTTCCCGAGATGGTGGATCTCAGAGGAAAGACGGCACTTGTCACCGGAGGTAGAGTCAATCTAGGATTCTACACAGCTTTGAGGCTCCTCCGTTGCGGTGCCAAGGTCATCGTTTCATCCCGATATCCCCACGACACACTTGTTCGGTACCAAAGGCAGCCAGACTCCGACAGTTGGATAAACAACCGACTCCGTATTGTTGGGGCCGATTTCCGCACGGCGCGCGACGCGTTTGCACTGGCCGCGGAGGCGAAGAACATACTGGAGACTTGGTCAACGGGAGACTCGACCAAACCATTACTCGACATCCTGATTAACAATGCCGCCCAGACGCTTACGGACGGTGAAACAAAGGAAACGACAGCCGTCAGCAGGGAGAGCAGTCTGCACTTATCTTTGCCCATGCATCCCGCTTTGCTACGAACTTCATATATTCCTCGCATTGGAGGGGGAGTGCCGGATGGCTTCTTGGAGGGAAGGACTCCGGAGGCTCTTCCTTCGGCAAACACCTCCACTTCAGTAATCCAGCCCGTGCCCGAGAAGTCATCTTGGGTCCAAGATATATCTGAGATTCCCTACGCAGATGTCATCACGGCGCAGGCAGTGAATGCTTTTGTCCCGCTAATCCTAATCAGAGAACTTCTCCCCGTCATGTCTCATGGCGAGATTAGGGAGCAACAATCAGGCCACATAATCAATGTTTCTTCGCGGGAGGGTATTTTTGAAGCGAGTCGGAATCACTCGGCCAAGAAGGGCACGCATGTTCACACCAACATGTCCAAGGCAGCGCTCAACATGATCACGGAAACCGAGGCAGGGCCGGCGTGGAGGAGCCACGGTGTAGCGATGAACACGGTAGACCCGGGATATATGAGCGCGTCGCCGGAGATGGAGGACCTGTTTGGTGGTGTGCGGCCTCTGAGCTGGGAGGATGGGGCTGGGCGAGTGCTCTGGCCGGTGGCAATGGCGTTTGGCGAGGAGAAAACGGTGATCTGGGGCCGGTTTCTAAAGCATTATGGCACCGTGAGCGTTACTGCAGGTTTGCGGTAGGCTCGTGTCTAATATACGGGCTGTCGGGAAGAAGAGAGAGTAGAGTCAAAGTAAGACCATCTCGCCAATTTCACGTGTCTGAGGCGCGCAAGGTTTGGATTCGGTTAGTGTTGTCAATAATGAGGCTTCGCTAGGCCTAATCCTATTTATATATGTCGTAATTTGACCCCCCAGTCTCGCCTCGCCTCGCCTCGATGAAAAGGAGAGTGTATAGACAAACTGAGACCCCCCCCGGTCAAACCCGTGACCTGACACCACTGCCACCCCTGGCCTGAGACCCTCTAATAAGCTGGCCTAAGACCCTCTAATAAGCTGGCCTGAGACCCTCTGTTGAGCTAACCTGAGACCCTATTTTTAACTGACCTAAGATCTGATTTTAAATTAATTTGATATTAATAGATTATAGTATTTATATAGATAACCTCTGGTGAGATTTAAAGGTTTAATAATTATTAAAAGATATAACTTATTAAACTATATAGCCTATAATAATAGATAATATAAGGTTTTAAGGAAGGAAAGGTAATTAAATTAAATAATTTAACTAGCCTCTATATAGCTCTTAAAGGGTTATTTCTATCTAGTTATAGGTATAGTTATATAACCTAATTTACTTCCTTAATATAAGATATATATTTATAGTATTTAATCTATAAATTATAGTATCTATATTCTAATATAAGCTATATATTTTAATAATTATTAAGTAGAATTCTCTTTTATCTATATTACTTACTCTTTAGTAAATTTAAACTAGTCCCTTTTAAACTATAGTTATTCTTTTTAAAGCTTAAGTTATACTTATTTATTTTAGATTTAAAGTTATTATAATTTCTCCTTTTCTAGTTACTATATAATCCTAATTTTAAATTAGAACTAAATTAATTCTAAATTAATTCTAAATTATTTTAAGTAACTTATAGATTATTTTTATAAAATAAGGCTCCTTCTTAAATATTAATACTTTATAGGATAATACTAAATAAAGATATATTTACTAATAATCTAGAGTCTTTAGTAATAAATACTAACTCTTAAGTACTAGGTATACTAAAAGTATCTTATAAGGGAGCCTATAAGAGAGCTTATAAGGAAGCTTATAAGGGAGCTTATAAGGAAGCTTATAAGGGAGCTTATAAGGAAGCTTATAAAGGAGCTTATAAGGAAGCTTATAAGGGAGCCTATAAGGAAGCTTATAAGAGAGCCTATAAGGAAGCTTATAAAGGAGCTTATAAGGGAGCCTATAAGGTATCTTAAGATTATAATAATACTCTTAGCTAAGACCTAGTATAAATCTCTATCTAGCTTTAAACTAGATAAGTAATCTCTACTTCTATAGCTTCTTAGCTTTATTATACTTATTTTTTTACTATTAAAAAAAATTAGATATTAAACTTTAAAAGGAATTAAAGAAACTTACTTTATTATTCTATATTATATTAATATTAAGCTTATAATAAAGTATTTTAATATATATATAAAATCCTAGACTAATAAAAAGAAGAGTTAGATATAATAATTTCTTAATCTATCTTTATATAATTTTAAATATAAATTAATAAAGAAATATATTACTCTCCTTAGTGGTAAGAGATCTTATAAATAACTTTAATAGTATTTATATCTATAGAAATTCAATTCTAGTTATCTAGTAGTATAAAGCTATATATCTAATTAAGACTATATTAAATAAAAGGTAACTCTTTATATTAAACCTATCCCCTAAGATCTAGCTTATTATCTAGATATAATTTAGAATTAATTTAAAATTAATTCTATAATAAATAAAAGAGAAAACTTACTATATATAGCTTTATAGAGAGTAATATAACTCTCTAAACTAGGTGCCTCTAAGAGCTATATTATTTAAGAATAATATAAATTTAGTTTAATTTCCCCTTTATAATAGTGCTTTTTAATATTATACTAAAAATAAATTCTATAATACTAAATAAATTATTTAATCTACTAAAGCTCTAGATATTACTCTAGATCTTATATTTAGAGATACTCCCTAAATATTATTAAAATAATTAGAAATTAATTCTAAATATTATTTATAATACTTACTAAGAATAAATCCCTAGTTTATATTAATAGTAACTCTAGAGAGTCCTTTATTATAAAGATACTTCTATTTAATATAAATAGAATAATTTACTTATAGAAGTTTAAAAACTCTTTTAAATATAATTAAAAAAGTATTATAACTCTATAAGTTAAGATAGACCTAAACTAATAGTAGAACTTATATTATATTAATAAAGGGAAGAAAAAGAAGAAAAAGACTTATTTACTTTAATTAGAGATTAGACTTTTAAAAGCCTAAATAACCTTAATATTATTAAAATTAATAAGATATTTATAGTTTATATTAAACTAAAAAGTCTTTAGATTAAGATATTTAAATAGCTTAGCTTACTCTTTATAGAAATAAATAGCTATAAAGTCTACCCTATTATTAAATATAAACTAAATATATTATAATATAAAGTCCTATTTTTACTATTAATATTCTATAAAAACTACTATTTATAATAAGCTAGTTAGAAAATAAAGTATTAAATTTTAATATAAAAGATATTAAAGAAAGTCCTAGTTACTAAAGCTTAAATAAACCTTAAGTAGAGATCTTATATTAAACTACTAGTAAAACTTATATACTTCTAGAGATAATAAGAATAAAACTAGAATTAATTAGAAAATAATTCTATACTAAGGAGAAGAAAATATATTAAGAGCTATTTTAGGTTTTATTAACTAAATAAGAGTCTAAATTTCTTCTATAATTAAAGCTAGAGTTTTAAAGGGAATTAGTAGTAGGTATTAGTAAGTTCCCTTTAATATTAAAATAATAGTATTTATTAAGACTCCTTAAATTAGTATAAGAAAGTAATATTAAACTTAGTAAGATTTTTTAATTATTTACCTTATTAGTATATAATAGTTATATATTAGAAATAATTAGATAAATAAAATAAAAATATTCTAATAAAATATAAATAACTTATAATACTCTAATTTTTTTACTAATATACTCTCTATATAATAATATTCCTTATTATATATTAAAGGGTCTATCTCCTTATTAAGAACTTACTAAATAAAAGTATATTATATATTTAGATAAGTATTAACTATATAAAAGAAATATATTTTATATTAAGATCTATAGTTTAAATATTAAATATAAAGTTATTAAATCTAGATAATATTTTAGAATTTATTAGAATTAATTCTAAATTAATTTAAAAGGAATTCTTACTATAAAAACACTATAATAAAGAATAAGTCTATATAAATTCTTTTATAGATTATATCCTCTTCCTAATTATATAGCTTTAAGATAAGTAAGTATAAAACTAATATAAAATATTAATATAATAATTAAAGGAATAAGTAGTAAAATATAATACTTTATTACTTATCTTTCTAGACTAGGATATTTAAGTATTTCTCTTAATTTTAAAACTTTATTAATAAGATCTTTATTAATCTTAGTATATAACTAAGTATTAAATATATATTTATATACTTAAACTCTTATATATTTAAAGTAATATTATATATATAGGTGTCCTTAAAATAAAGATATTAAGGTTTTATATAAAGGTACTTTATAAGCTATATAGTATTATATCTAGAATTAAAGAATTAGTTCTAAATTAATTTATATAGGAAAAGAAATAAAAAGAAAAACCTATACTCTTTTAAGGATATAAATATTATATTTCTTTTAAATTAGCTATTAGAATAATATAGCTAACTCCTTTCTTAGATATTTTTAGAAATTTAGGAATTTATAGTAAGTATATTAGCTCCTCTATAGTAATTATACTAAGAGGAATATTATTTTTATTTATATAAATCTTTAGATAAGCTAAAATAATAAAAAGCTTATTACTAATTATATTTAGAACCTTAGATACTAGTTAATATAAATTAGTAAGGTTAAGAAGAGAAAAAGAGTAAAGAAAAAAGTAATATATTACTTTATTTTAAATATCTATCTTTAGAGGATTAAAAGCTTAATAAAGTTATTAGAGGTTTATATACTCTTAGTAAGTAAGATCTTATATTAGTTAAAAGGAAAAAAGACTCTTAGGATAAATATTTATAAGAGGGTTTATAGTATTCTTAATACTTTATTTTAGAGAGTCTATATTAAATAATTTAATATTAGAAATAATTTAGAATTAATTCTAGTAAATAGGGGGGAAAATTAAATAAAGAAAAAAAAAATTAAGAGAAAATTTTTTATTTATTATTAACTTAATTAAGAAGATATAATTAGAAATATTCTTTTTTTAGTATATAAAGTAAAAAAATAAAGTATAGAATTTACTTAGAGATATTAAAAAATTAAGATAAATTAAATCTTTATATTCTATCTTTAAGAATTAGATTAAGTAAACTACCTTAGAGTTTAATTATATAAATTAATTTCTAACTAATTCTTTATTTATTTATTATTTATTCTCTATTTTTAATACTTAATCTTTATATATAAGGAATAGATCTTAGAAGTAAACCTAAACCTTATAGTTAGGGTTTTTACTTATAATTAGTAAGTATACTAGAATTAATTAGTATTAACTTATAAATTAATTATAAATTATTTCTACTTACTTTTATTATTAAGAAAGTATATAGTATACTTTTTATTAGTTTTACTAAAACTAGCTATATAATATATTTTAAGGATATTAAGAACCCCTAAAGGAAAATAAGGTATAGTTAATAGAGGGCTATTATTAAACTTAGACTATTTATCTTTATACTTAGGAAATAATTTAGAATTATTTCCTAAGCTTATTAATATATTTAAGTTATTTCCTAAGCTTATTAATATATTTAAGTTATTTCCTAAGCTTATATTAAGCTAAGTCTTAGTAATAGGTATTAATAAGAAGAGTTTAAGGTTACTAAAGTCTTATACTATAGTTATATTAGTAATAATATTACTATAGTTACTCTAAATTAATTTAGAATTAATTTATTTAGAGTTAGTACTATTATTAAATAAGATAATAATACTAAAGGACTTACTAATAATAGTAGAGGAGCTAGTAGTAATATTAAAGGTATTATTATTATTATTTTAATTAGAGGTAATAGAACTATCTTTAGATATAATAGAGCTAGTAGTAATATTAGAGGAGTAATTACTAGGAATTAGTTTAGAATTATTTCTAATAGTACTATTAGTAAATAGATCCTTAATATTAAGGGAGGAGGGAATTAGTTTAAAATTATTTCTATTAATATTATTAACCTTATACTAAGAGGTAATATTACTAAAGGAGCTAGTAGTAGAAACCTACCCTAAGTTTACCTAGATCTAGAATTAATTAGTTATATATATAATTATATATTAAATTAATTCTATACTATTTTATTATTAGACTTAGTATTTATTATAGTATATATTACTATATAGTAAGCTCTTATAGTAAATTAGTAATATACTATAAGTATAATATTACTTAAATAAAGCTTTATTAGGCTAAGAGGAGGGTAGGGTATTATTAATATAGCTATTAGCTTTTATAGAGTTTATATAGGGATTTAGCTAGCTATAACCTTACTATACTATCTTTTAACCTATTAGTAAAATAATTCTAAAATATTTCTAACCTATTTATAATTAATATTATTATTAACCTTATTTAGATTTTAACTAAGTATATACTTCTCCTTCTTAAGGCTATAAATATAATAAAGGTAGTTACTTAGTATTAATTCACTTATAAATAGAATAAACTAAAAATATTAATATTAATAGGAATTAATTTAGAATTATTTTATTTACCTTTAAGTATAATTATTTATTATTATTTTAAAAGTAATAGTATTATTTACTATTAATAATAATTACTTTATTATACTATTTAGGTATTAGAAATATTTTAGAATTAATTCTTATAAATAGTATATATTATTATATTTATATTTAGGTAATAAAGTACTAGTAAGTTACTTACTATTATTAAGGTAGTATTAGTAGTTTTCTCTAAACTTATATCTAAAGGGTATTAATAGTACTATTATAATATATTAGAAATAATTTATAAATAATTCCTAAATAATTATTTATATATAATAAGGATAGAGGAGCTATAAATTATTTTAGAATTAATTTATATATAGTATAATTATAAAGCTAATAAGTAAAGGGAAAATACTACTTATACTATAAATAAAAGGAAGGTAAGAGAATATATAGAGTAAATAATTAAGTTTAAATTATTTTAAAATTAGTTTAATTAAATATTTTACTATAGAAATACTAAATTAATTCTATAAAAATACTAAGACTATATATAGCTATATTTACCTTATATTTATTATATTTTTATTTATTAAAATATCTATAATAATTAATTATATTATAATTAATATAAATATAAAAATTAAATAAATAAATCTATATATATATAATAAATTATATTAAAATTAAATTAATTATATAAATAAATAAAATATATATTTATACTTAAATAATTACTTTATATTAATTATTATTAATATTAATTAAAAATTTAAAAATTTATTTATTTTTTTAACTTTTATATTAGCTTAATAAGATTCTTAAATTATTTTAAATTAATATTATATTTACTAAAAATAGAGTCTTAGATTAGTTAAAAATAGGGTCTTAGGTTAGCTTAATAGAGGGTCTCAGGTTAGCTTAATAGAGGCTCTCAGGTCAGGTCAACAGAGGGTGTCAGGTCACGGGTTTAACCAGGGGGGGGGTCTCAGTTGGTCTGCACACTCTGAAAAGGAGGGGCCCCACGCATCTTTTGCAACCCACAATTGCTCATCCCTTCAGCTCCACCATCAACACCATGAGACAAGGTTGCGGCTGGCCCAAGACGCGCAGCCAGCGATTTGACTGAGTCTAGCGACGTCGAAATTCAAATCCGAATTAATTACCTCGTCTGGCCGCGATATCGTAACTGCCGCCCATGACTGAGAACTCACGCCGGGGTCGCAAGATAGCTCGGCGAGCTTGTGACCTCTGCCGGGATCGCCGCATTCAGGTAGGCTACACATTCTCATGGCGATGCAACAGGTGACAGACATTACTCACGCTTGGATTGTCCATCAGTGTAATTTTTCAGACGAATCAGCCGCTGCTTGCCGGAGATGCCTGCAGGCCGGCGTATCTTGCACGTTTCTGACGGAACGGAAGCCTCGGGGCCCTCCTAGTCGGTATGTCTCTGCTAAGTCTGCTTTGAACAGCATAATTCGCGCTCCGAGAGCTCACAAAAGAAATAAAGACATGTCGTACAGGCTCGACAGAGAGCTGAGGCCATACAAATAGCCAGCCAAAGCCCAAATCCACTGCCCATTGGCCGCATCACGGTTGCTCAATTTCTTCCCGAGCCGGTCTTCTTGGCCGTTCTTGACGACTACCTACAACGAGTCTACCCGTTGCTTCCGTATATACATGTGCCAACCTTCACCTCAAGGCTAGCTTCGCGTGACTACGAGCGTGACCAGCTATTCTTCCAGCTCTGCCTAGCCCTCTGCGCTGCAACAATAGCGTCAATCCCGAGGACCTTGGATTCTTACGGCATCACGAGCTACAGTGACACCGGCGAGATGGTGGATAGAGCGTCAAACTTAGTGCTCGTTGGCCGCTTAGCCCTGGGGACCAACTGGATGGATCGCCCTTCGGTGGATTCAATCATCATCTCGCTGCTCCTTGCCATGGCATCGCACTACGCTGGCAGATCGATCGCAGGTTGGGCGTACACCAGCGAGGCAAGCCATTGTTTTCGCGAAATGAAGCTTTACAAAGAAGAATCCTATGAAAAGCTCAACAAGATACAGGCCGAGCTGTGCAAGAGATGTTTCTGGCTCATTCTCATCATCAATATGTAAACTATATCCTCCCTCTCCGTGGATAACGGCTCATGCTTACACGGCGCGCAGACATGATCGGCTGTCATACATTGTCCCCCACACCGGCCTCGCATATGACCCAAAGCACACAAGCTGGGAGTTTCTGCTACCGCTCGAGCTGAGTGACGAGCAGCTCCTAGATCCAGCGGCAATCTCGACGTCTACCCCTGTTATATCTGGGTTTGTCGCTCTCATCCACGTGTTCACATGCATGGTCGATTTACTTGACACAGCCTTTCCCGGGGCGCCGTCATATTTCCAACTCACATCCTCGTCCCTTTCGGCCCGCCTATTCGCGGACGCCACTCAGGAACCGCAGCGTTCGATCGGCTTCTCTGACGACCACATCCTAGACCCGCTCGTACTGGTCATGGCAAGGCTCGAGGGGACTCTTCAGAAAATACCAGACTCGCTCAAGCTTCCTAGTCCAGGGTCCCCTCCTCTATCACACCTAATGGGCCCTCGAAAAGCGGAGCAATTTGAAATCATGAGAGCCAATATTCACATCACCAGCATCTACATCCAATCCTTGACCCTGGAAATGTGTTTGAGTAAACTAGAAGGCAGACGCCCCCCCTCTAGCGGCGCCCAGGAGAAGGACGTTGGTCCCCAGAATAGTGGAATCATTGATCAGCTTTGGAAGATGAGGGAATCCGTTGCACAAGAGCTTTTGAGCATTGTCAACGTTTCCGCGCCTGCGGTCCTGGAAGCCAATGGCAACTCGATGGAAAGTGGTTCGAATCTCTCTTCGTGAATTTCACTAACATGACACAGATCAAGAAAATTCGAGAGATTGCAGCGACATTTTTGGATCAGGAGGTAACACGAGAAGGTGGTATGGGTGATATGGAGAGGAGAAATCGGGAGTACTTGGCTAAATTTGCCGAAGTGCTGGCCAAGGTTGACTACACTACAGCTCCACGTTCGTTGAGTCATGAGTGACAATATATGCAACGACGTCTTGATTTTATTTCAAATGTCTAATGTTAATTCTTACTAGCCCTGAAATCTAATCATTTGTTGAATGTCCAAGACTCAAGATTGGTCATGGCTCAGAATATGTCGCAACAATCGAATCAATGCTACAACTAGCTCGACCCAGCCAATATCAAAATGTTGGAAGTCTGTGGGCCCTGCACTGGTCGTTCACATACCTGATTTCATTATCACCTATCAACAGCAACACCGAAAACACTCACTCGTCGACAAGACTAGTAAGATAACTCATACCGCTGAGTCACAACACCAAGCCCGTCCTTCGAGTAGAGCGCCAGGAAGTGTGTAGGGTCCACGTTGAAGACGCCCGGCCAGTGCGAAGCCACCTCGCCGGTGACGGTGCCAGCGCTCCACGACTTGGCGCCATCCGTGCTGGTGATGACCTTCATTTGCGCCCCGTCATAGCCGCTCGTACCTGCCCTATCCTCGTTCGTCATGAAGCTCGCCACCAGTGTGCCCCAGACATTGTAGACCTGGGGTGCGCCGGCAATGCCTCCGTTTCGAGCCGTGTAGAGTTTGCCACGCTGACCCCAGGTGTAACCATCGTCGTGGGAGAGGACATATGAGACCTGGAAGGAACCAGTCTGGGTCTCCTCGAATACTGCACTATGTTTGGTGACGTTACTGTTAGAATCTGTTTGAGACTTGGCGGGCCGAAAGTCAAAGAAGAAAGAGGAAAGAGGTAAAGGTGAGGGCCGGGATGACATACATCAGGTTTCCATCGTTGTCAATGGGCGCAACGCCGATCATACCGTCTCTCGAGGTAACGTCCCCTCCGGAAACGGTGATCCAGTTTGACCAGGTGGCACCTCCATCTTTGGAGTACTTCATAAAACCGTCCTGATCCCCGCCATTGTTCTCAGCTGAGTAGTAACACTGGAGAGTTCCATCCCTGGCCAGACGGAGGAAAGGTTCCCACAACCCACTGGCCGTGTTGGCAACAGGAACCTTCTCCTCCACGGTTGAGAGGTACTTGAAGGTCACGCCACCATCGTCTGAATATGAAATGGAGATGCGGAAGTAGGTGTAGTGGAGGTCATCCCCTGTACGGTCATCGTTCCGGTAAGCATACAGGACCCGCCCATTCGGCAGCTGCAGGGGCATTGCATTGTTGATATCATGTTTAGCGCGCGGTCCACGGAAGACTTCACCGAGGTATTGCCACGACGCACCCCCGTCAACCGAGCGAACAGTCTTCAGAACATTCTCCCCGTTGTCTTGTATAGCGGTATATCCTCCGATGAGGCTGCCGTCGTTCATGAAGCTGACACGGAGATAATCGCCCTTGGGGTCGATGACAACAGGCTCGCCAGCTTTCTTGACAACTCCACCCGGGGCTCGCTTCACGGCAACTGCCGAAGTAACGGCGCTTGTTGCAGATAAACAAAGAAGGGCAAGTTTAAAAAGCATCATGTTTTCGTGTGGAATTCCTTAGTGGTCGGTGCGAAAATGTTGGCTTGCGCTGTGGTTTGACATCTCACCTGGCGTACAAGACACCGCGTTTGTCGCTCTTTATAAATGTTTCCGGCTTCCCCGTTCGCTTCTTTAGACAATCATACGTTTCTGACCCAGAGAATCCGGTGATCCCATAGGACAGAAACGGAAGTTGGAATTGGTGCTGAATGTGCTCCCTCCTGCAGGTAGCCCGCTGAGAGAAGAGACCAACGGGGGCTAATGCGCGGCACAGCTGACAGAGTGAAGATGAAACCTGGTCTAAATACCGACCTTCCTCATGTAACGTGATATAGCTAGGATTCTATCCAATGTTATTACTAAGAGCTGTAGTCAAGGAGTCCAGAGTCGAACCCTCGCTTAAGAGGTCCGCTAGATGGAGATTCCCGACAGGAGCCTCCCGGGCCCCAGATCTGTCTTCCACTGGTCAGATTGTAGCTCGTGTGAGCTTCTGTACTTACCATGCTTCCCATCTCCCATCTCCCAGCTCCATCTCAATTATAGTTTTGACCTCCCTGAAACGCTTTCTGACCTCTTGAGCAGGTCGGCAGGCTTGAACTTTACGCCCGGCGACATCTCTAAGTTTATCCGAGCAATCATGAACAAGGCTCTCTTGTCGCCAATGCGGACACCGGAATAGTTGAAGACGTCTACTTTTGCTCACCGTTTCCCTTAGTCGACGACGGATCGGCTTCGAAGATTGGGCAATAGAACAACAAACTTTCATTATGGCTACCTCGTTACTTTTCAACCCCTCCGAACAAGTTTGACATCCTCGGGAACGTTGGATAGTCGGGGTGCCCACACTCGCATCGCTCCCTCTCCACCTCGATTCGCCCGTAGAAAGTAAGGTATAGCAATTAAATCACGTTTACGACTGTCATATTCCCAGGGGCTCTCCTCATACAGTCGGCTCTTGTTACTATTCCGCAACTGCCTACCCTCAGCTTGGCCAGTCACTACGCCATCAAGGCCGCAAATTGATATGGTTGATTTATCGTTGACAGGGCCATCCATAATACCAGCACGATCAATGTCAATCTCTTTGTTGTCGACGTCCTCCAGGCAGTACACGAGAGGTCCCCTCATCAGACAAACATCGTTCTTGCCCGTCGCAGGGTGGGAATAAACTTTGCGGAACATGATAGGGAGATTTATATGAATCTCCGTGTTCTCGGCGGAACAGTAAAGATATCCCTTCTCCAAACGCCCTGTGGCTGAGCAGGTCCATCCATTCGCCCAGGACGGGATGCGAAGAGCGAGCTTTGTCGATCCTTGAACCGAGAGTGTGACTCGTCCCTGCCAAGGCAAGTTCGATTTTTGGGAGATGGAAATGTTGCCATCGGCAGTCTTCAGCTCACTAGTGATATACTGATGAATAGCCACCAGATGTGAAGAAGGATCGTGAGAGTAGATCAGGGACCCCATATTCCCTAGGAGCTTTGCGACATTGGGTGGGCAACAGGCCACGCCAAACCATTTGCTCCTTTCCTTTGACTCTCCGCTCCGTGTTCTCAAGACATTCTGGTAGTAGAATGCGTCCCCTTCTTGATTCACGGCACCGAGAAATCCATTATATAGAGCAACCTCCATGACATCGCCATATTCAGAGTTCAGGTCCAATCTTAGCAGACGGTTGCACCAGTTGATTAGTGCAAATGTGGCACACGTCTCAGAATAACAGCCTTCGTGTTCGAGGTCCGGAAGAGAGTATGCCTGTCCAAACCCCTCCCACTGCCTCACCGATCCAATGCCACCTGTCACGTATATTTTCTTATCAATCATGTCCCTCCATAGTCGGTCCAAAGCCGCCTTAATGGGGGCATTTTCTTCCTTCTCTGGGGATAGTCGAATAAGGTCTGTGGCTGCGGTATAAAAGTACATTGCTCGGACAGAATGGCCCTTGACTTCGCTAGAATCGACGAGAGGCTCATCCGCTTGATGATAAGCGTAGTCCCGCGGGTGTTGAAACCAGGCTTTGTGCTCCGTTCCCATGTCCTTGTATGGATCTGCTCCACGGGCAAATGCCTCCTTGTCGAAAAAGGTCTCGCCGTCGGCATCGCGCCGGCCTCTCTCAGTGATGAAATACTGGGCTAGCTTTAGTGGCAGAACATCTTTAGTCAAGTCGTGCAGTCGCAGTAGACCAATCTCGACTTCCTGATGGCCTGGGTATCCGCGCTTTTTTCCCGGCTCCGTACCAAACATCAAGTCGAGATGTCCGCAGATCTTGTTGGCCACCTCGAGCAGCCTTCCACTTTTGGTGAGTGTTTCATACGCCACAGTGGCTTCCAACAGATGTCCTAGGCAGTAGAGCTCATGGTCGTCCCTCAGGTTAGTCCACCGCTGATTGATCCCCCTGACTGTATAGAAAGAGTTGATGTACCCATCATCATACTGAGCGCCTTGAATCATGGTGACAGCCTCCTCGACTGTAGCTCTCATTTTCTCGTCGGGGTGCTTGATGAGGAAGTAACAAGCAGCTTCGACGATCTTGTAAATGTCGCTGTCCCAGAATTGATGAGGTTTAACATCATGGCCTTCTTTCCACGTGAGACAGGTCCAATGGTTCCATGACCTTTGGGCTTCGATCACAGCGGGGACTGTCTTAAGCCTGGAGCGATCTTGGATGTAGCCCCAGAACTCAGACGTTATGTCGACTTTGTCAATGGGGAAATCCTGAAGCGGCATCTTCGACAGTTGGAAATTGAGTTGTTTTATGGGTAAAGATAGTGAGGAGGTGGCGGTGATGGAGTGGTCACACAAAGCCAACCAGAAAGTTTGGGTTCCATAAACCCCCCCTTTGCCGGAAGTTGGCACATTTGTATTCTCGCACCTAGAGCTGTGATTGTAGGACCACAATTAAGAGTGCAGTGGAGGAAAATCCCGTCCCCTCCCTCCCACCCCTCAGTCGAAACCCCCACATGCTAAATGCGAGTGAGAGTTTACCCCTGCAGTTATTAGACAGAACTGTCCGTTGACAATCCCGAACCTCCGCGTGGCGTAGCCCCCGGCACTAGTTTCAAGTCTGACTATGATATTTCACGTTCTTTTAATACTATAATTATAATATCTAGTAGGTTTATAAGTCATATAAATTAGCCTCCCTCTAAAGAGAGGGGAATATAGATTATATCTTTAATATATTTATATTTAACTTTTATCTCTTTAAACCCCTGTAGGATTTAATTCCTAACAGGGCTATTAGTAGCGGGGCTCATCCGAATCGCGTGATTAGCCCTTGATAAGTGTCTTCTTTCATTGCAGCACCGCGTCAGCCAACTGTCTCCTTCATGCTTGTGCTTCCAGGTTGTCCGCAGCAGTACCACTATCTCCAAACCGCGCCACCAGTCTATTCCTAAAATCCTTAGATGTGCAACTCGTCTATCGCAAAGCCTTCGTCTTCTTAAAAATACGCCTGACTATGCTTCAATGCTTTCTTACAGATGTCGAGGGTGTCCTAAGTCTTGGAAAACCTCGTCGGAAACCATCCCCGTCATCACGTCCACTTGACAATGACAAGTGGACAGCATCCGCATTGGACAATATCTGTGTCGAGGAACTGGTTGACTTAATGGCTGCCAAAACGCCACTGGGCCCTGCCGATGTGCCGAAAGCGCAACATGTTCGTAGAGGACTATTAGGACCTACGCGGCAGTACCATTTTGTAAAGCAAGACGGCGTCCTTCTCCTGCAGAGACCCATGCATCAACGCCATCTGCGCCCTAGACTTGAGGGGACTGACACATCTGCCTGTGCCTCTACGCGCATCAAAGTGTCGATTCTAGCATTGCCCCCTGAGCTTCGGATGCCGATATACCGCCACCTGCTCGTGAGCGAAGTGGACTATGACTGCCCCGTCATCTGCCCCAACACCGACGGTTTCCGCATCGTCACTGGTGCCACCAAGTCTCAGCCCCGTGGACTCTCTCCAGAAATCCTCGCCACCTGTCGCCTGATCAACCAAGAAGGCACACCGGTCCTCTACGGGGAGAACATGTTCTCGCGAGAGTTCTACTGGCCGCGGAGGTGGCATCTATCCCGGAACCGGAGCCGACAAGTCCAGTGGCCACTCTCTGAGAGCTCTAAACTGCGCTTCGCTAGGGGCTTACAATACATATCCCGCCTGAGCATATCCCAGCAGCAGCACCAGTGGCTACTCGGTGACGGCGAGCTAAAAGTCTTCCGGGATTTCCCGTCGCTGATTGAACTCCACTTCGATGTTAGCATGCACAGCTGGACGCGCAGTCTAGATTTCGACTTTGATGACCTTTGGAAGCACGCCATCAGGTCAGCGGCAAGAAAACAGCCAAGATTGAGAAAAATCCAATGCCAGTTTTGGCTGGCCAAGGATCATAATTACGGGACTTGGATTGCGCGGTGTCGGGGCCGGCGGCTGGATTTCAGTTTGCATGACGCAAAGAAGAAGCAGTTTGAGCGCTACATGGCAGAGGAAAACCTCTTTGGCGACCGGAGTACTATCTGGTCTTTTGTGACCAACGTGCATGAAGACTCTGGACCGAGTTGCTCGTTAGAGCTTCTTATTGCTGAATGCCATGGCGTCCCTGGAGACGATGCGGCACGGACACCCGTTGTCGTGTGTCGTACAATCGGGGGCTACGCTCTGGATCATGATGCTGAAACTACTTCATCTCAACCTGACACTTGAGTGGTCATAAAATAGTCAATAAAATATATATAAGTAGCTCTAACATCGCGCCCGTACTTTGTATGCCGTCTTGAACCAGGGGCTTTTCAAGACTTAAACCAATGTCAGTCCTCCCTCGCATCCATTTCTAGCCCTTGATATCCGACACCGGGTTCAACATGTATTTGGCCGTCATGGGGGATTCGAGTATAAGTTAACTTGCATGGCTCTGCGTGAGATCTCCACGGTAGCGAAGGCATAGAGCAGTAGACCATGCAAATCATAGCTTGAATAGTGATACTTTGAGGATGACTCGACGCCGAATCTCATCATCTCGTATCATATGCTAACGTCACCTGGCGATTCCAACACTTGAGCGGACAGATATAGCCTAGTACGGATGATCCCTATAATAAAATACATAGATACATTTTCATAAGATCCTTGCATCAATGCACTGCATTTACTCTCTGCTTTTCAATTGGCTAGGGTACGATAAACTGGCCTAAAGCAGTCGTACTCGTGTAAGACCGAATCATAGCCCAGACACCTTGACGTTAATTTTCCTTTGTAAGCTCGGTAAGGCTCCATAAGCTATACATATTGCATTGGTACCTACTCTTACCGTAGCAATCGCTCAAAAATCAAGGATTGGTCATAGCCCCAACTCGGCACAGGTCCAGACTTTAGAGCCTTGCCTCAAGGAGATGGGCATTAACCCCGTTGCATGCACATCTTACACAACATAAACTTGATTGCTAGTGCGACAGGCAATTGCGCGCAAAATTGAACAAAAATGAAATAGTGCTTATGTTCAAGTTTCATCGCTGTCCCATTACGTTGACTCCTTCGAAGCCTGCTACGTTGTTGAGCACGCAACCGCTGACGCGTCAAACCCGCTGGCTTCCAGAGTCTCATCGACATCCAAAAGAGGAATGCCTCAATGACCGATCTGGTCGGAAGGATTGAAGAGCTTGTCTATTATCAATCAAACCTCCTGAATGGGGATTGAAGCGGGATAGAACCTGATGATACTACGGGCTGCTTGTCGACCTGGCGTGTATTAGTACCGTGCAATTCCTTGAATGACATGTATATCCTTCTTTTGATCACTGTTTCCTGGATAAATTTCCTTCAGTTTTCGTGGTGGTTATTGAACCAAGACGTCTCAGCTGAATTACGTGACCCAGCCAAAGCTCATTGATAGCGAAATACACAATTTTTAATCATGTACTTCCTCCTTCCGTTGCTGCTTTTCTCGTTAACGAGCGCCGCCTCCCTGCCCAGCCCGGATGGCCCCTACAATGTTGGCTTCTCTCAACATATCGTCCCGCATATTACCCCCAATGATCCTACTCCTGGGCCAGGCAATGCGCTACTCGTCCATGTCTACTTCCCAACGTATGACACCAACCGTTCGTCGCCTGTGCCATATATAGATACAAAAAGCGCGACAATCTGGGGCGATGCGCTGGAGCTCCCCAGGGGCTTACTCGACAAGCTAACCACCGACCTGCGCCGTGATGCAAGCTTCCTGAGCGCCCCGACTGGGCATCCGACCGTTCTATTCTCCCCAGCCGCTGGCTTCAACGCTTGGATGTACTATGGATTGCTGGCAAACTTGGCGTCGCACGGTTATACGGTCGTCGCCATCGACCATCCTGGGGAGCCGCCGGTGGTGCGCTGGCCCAACGGGACCGATACCATCGGTCTAAGTATCGACGTCGATTTCACGGCGAACCTGACGCGCCAGGTTCACGAGTTCCGCGTAACCGACCTTGCTGCCGTCTTAGCTTGGTTCCCCACGTTTGTGCATAACCACCAAGCCCCCTTCAACACGTCAAAGTTCCTCGCGCTGGGCCATAGCATGGGAGGTTCGGCTTCAGTCACTTTTGCCCCCGGCCATCCAAGTGTGGAAGCTGCCCTCAATCTCGATGGCGGGTTCTCTCAGCACCAGACTGTCGTGACCGATGTCGGGGTGCCAGTCTTGCTCATGAGTCGTATCAACCATACAACACGAAGCGACCCGTCTTGGGCCGAGTTCCAGGAGCATCAGACTGGCTGGTGGGAGCACATTGCCGTCTATGGCTCTGAGCATCTGGATTACTGCGATATCGCAACTTGGAACGAAGCCCTGGGGTTGGCCCCTCTTGTCCAAGAGCAGTTTGGCCCAATAGGCGGATCTAAGATAACGCAGATCGCACGAAAGTATGTGGGCGATTTCTTTGGATGGGTGGAAGGGCGAGAAAAGGGTGTGATTGCATCGCCGAGTCTGGAATGGAGGGAGGCTGTGTATGTTAATGGGAGCGACTTTGATCATGGCTACTCGCAAGAGCAGAAAGATTAAGAGGCTCCGGTGGTTTTCGTAAAACTAATGTGCGTCACGGGCGATCGACAAGTCAAAGTTGGCGACAGTAACATCAAAGGTTCCATTTTCGATGCCCATGTCATCTCGAGAAGACGCCGAGGAAACGAGAAAAAAGAGACCAATGCAGATTGAGCGGGGAAATGAGCGTCTCATGGTGGGCAGCTATATTTGGGTGATGAGCTTGATGAACTGTCTCTCCAGTCTGAAATGATACGTTTTACGGGTAAGAGAATGGTATAAAGTAAAAACGGCAATGGAAGGTGCCAGACCTGACGTCTCAATACAACTAATCCGATCATATATCTTATATAGACAGATGATCGTATTTATCTGCCTCGTAGAAGTACACTGACTTGATGGATGTTGTCATTCTAGCAAGCCCTTGTAGTCACTAAAACCCCTCCTCGGTGGACTTATTACGAACAGACGTCACAAATGAAGTGTGAAAACCTAAGCCAGCCTACAGAAATTGTCAATGGCCAGTTGGACCAAAACTGACTGGTTCGCGTGACTTCCGAAACGGATTGATTCACGGCTTGATCCATCGGGTATTACACGAGAGCATGGGGTGGGATTAGGGACTGGGGCCTCGTGTTGGTCCGGTTATGAATATCGCAGCATGACATGGATATATCCATCATGTTCTTAGAGCAAATGCCGCACTGGCAACAAGCGGTCGAATAAGTACAGAGCGCTTAAATCTTTAGACATCTTGTACACTTCCCATGCGAGCTTTGACCAAGCAAGAGCCTGTGTGGGATAGGGGTCGGTCCGCAGTTAAGGTTGCCCGTGGGGTAATATGGGGTACTTGGTCTTCCTTCGGGCTTCATTATATTATCTGGAGCGACTGGGGTGATGCTTTGCAATCTATAATTCCGCCTCCCCCACTGTATAAATCCGAGATCGACAAATTTAGCGCTAAACTTCTATCTGTCTTGTCGAACTCGGAGTGTTCCGTTCTCGTCTAGATGTGTCATCTCTACCTGCCTCTGCCACGGTTTCGTACAGCACCTCATGTTTACTTGCTATAAAATATAGAAAGCCTTCTTGGTAAGCTTGACTATCATGGATTTTCCCCCCATCAATTTCAATCAACACAAACTCGATTCGTTTCCAAACATCCTCAACGCACTTAACCATGCTTGTCAACATTCTTCTCGGGGCCATTGTGGTCTCCGCACATCCATCCACTCGACAGAATTCCCAAGTCGCGGTGGTGAACCTGGGGAGTAATACAGGAAGTCCCAAGCATCTAGCATCGGGGCTTCTGTATGGCGTGCCTGTCGAACCGGATCAGATACCGGATCATTTCTACGAGGACATGGGCTTTAACTACCTGAGAGCTGGAGGAACTCATCTCCCTAATGGAAATGGTGGCAGAGGTTGGATCACCAGCTTGGAAGACTACCAGGTAAACTCCATTTGCATCTCCTCCATCATGTAGATGCTGAGAATTTAATCAGATCCGGATGGATTCTGCCATCTCTAATCTCAACACATGCCAGAAGTATGGCGCAAGCTTCAACCTGCTCACCGCAGATATTTGGGGCGACGACGGTGGTCAGGCGGCTGATTCCAAGTATCCCGGAGATGGTGGCGACTGGTCTGACTACGACGCATTCTTAACCAAGATTATTTCCGATATCAAGAGCAATGGTCCCACCACTGGACTGACCATTGACATCTGGAACGAGCCTGACTATGGCACTGTCTTCTGGAATCGAACTCAGGAGCAGTTTCTGGACATGTGGGGCTGGGGATATGCACGCCTCCGGTAAGTAACCCCTTCGTTCGTAGTAGAAGAATGCAATGGTGACCGTTTGCTCACCACGAGTCCCGTGCAGGAAAGAATTGCCTGATGTGCCCCTTCTAGGACCGTCGACTGCGTACTACCCAGGCCTCGACAATGCATGGTGGACAAAGTTCGCAGCCTACGTAAAGAGCAACAACAGCATTCCTGATGAATGGGTTTGGCATATGGAGCTAGGCTATGGAGATATGGAGACAACGACTGAAGATCTGCACGCTGTATTGGATGCCTATGATCTCCCTAGAAAGCCTCTCAACATCAACGAATACGCTACTCCCCCCGAACAAACCCCCGTCTTCACCGCTTGGTGGATCGCCCAACTTGAGAGGGTCAACGCTCGTGGTCTGAGGGGAGTTTGGGTATCTGCTGCGCAGGTCTTTGATCTTTTCGGTGGCCTCATCTCGAAGCCAAACGCGGACAATGACAAGTACGACCCAGAGGCTGGCGGCTACTATCCGACCGGGGAATATCAGGTCTACAAGTACTACAACCGCAACATGACGGGCAATCGCGTTGCTACCACTTCCTCCTCGGATCGCACTGTCGACGCATACGCAACCGTCGACAAGGGGCACGCAAAAATTATATTTGGTTCTCGTTCTGTCTCAGGCACGGCTTTCATCGAGGTCAATGATCTTTCATGCCTTGGACTGCCTGAGTCGGGAACCTTGGACATCAAGATTTGGGCCTTTCCCTTTCCCAACGGCCGTTTCGGCGAGGTCAATGCTCCTGTAGATCTTGGATGGGGCCAGCAAGACTACGCCGGGAATTCAGCTACGTTCCCAGTTTACCCTCAGGATGATGTGACCGCGTACGCGTTTGAGATCGGGGCAAAGTAAATAAATAGTCTACTAGAAGCAATTAGTCTAGCATTAAGAGCCAGAAATAGGACATACTTAGCCTTTGCCCGTGTTTTTCGACCTTTGGTTTTCTTACAGCCGTGAATTGAAAAATATTGTGTGCTATCAGAGTATAGAGCCTGTCGCAGGACCCCGCACTCGAGGGAGTTTCCATGTGTGAGGCACTATTTCCGATGGGATACTACTTCTCCTCTTGCCAAGCAAGGCGAATACTCCTGGTGGCGTGCTCCCGGGTTTATGCGGTGGAGGTGGGTTGGCGCTACGGACTTTGGCGTGGAGGAATGGGCTTGAAGAGTCCAGCATTGGGCCAACCGGTCTCATCTCAGGCGCGCGGCCTGGGCGCCTGGAACTTTTGTTATCAAATTTAATACAATTCAATACACTATCCGGCTTAGAATTGAGTCCTAGTGCTACTTGCGTGAGGTCTAATTCCCTTGCTTTCTATTTCGACTCTCGGGGACAAACTTGTGTAAAATCACAGAACCCAACCAAAGCACATACATACGCGTCGAGAACTTCTAAAGACGCCCAGCAATAATTTGAACATCACTATCTCAAGCCTTAGAATGCAGTCGCCGCGAACTATCCAGTGGCATACTGATGCCCTCGATATTAAATTTGTCGTCAACGAGGATGGGGTTATTTATTTGGCTAATGTGTTGCCAAAGGGGACAACATTTGCTGCTTCTGCTTCCGCTATCTACGAGTCATCATGGTTACCTTTGGTTAGTGTCAAAGTGGCTGGCGAAGGTCACAGCGAGAGGATCAAAACCGCCAAGGCTATGATTGGCAGTAGCCTTTCTTTCCGACTAAAATACGACAGTCATCGACGTTTCAGGGATGAGAAAACCGAGGTCTTTGAAGTTGATTGCAGCGACAAGGCTAGTCATATCCAGGTCACTACCCGACTCAAAGTATTTGGCAGCACTCCCGTCCTCAGATCCGAGATGTCAGTCACAAATGTGTCTGACAGCGCCGACGTTGTGCTGACGAGCATACCATCTCTCGTTATTGGAGGGATGACGACGGCATCTGCCAAATGGTTCAACGACTATACACTCATGTATGCAAACAACAGCTGGTTTCGAGAGGTTTCATGGCAGGAACACAGCCTTTCCGATCTCGGTGTTGACAATAACGGAATCTGCGAGCTCCCGGGTGGTGCTCCGGCCTCCCATTCAACTTTCGGCCTGGGTGCCCGTGGAACGTTCTCTACGGGCTCTTACTTGCCCTTGGGAGCCCTCCGGGATAAAGCAAACCAAGATACCTGGCTCTGGCAGGTAGAATCGAGCGGATCCTGGCGTTGGGAGATTGGGGACTACAAGGATAGCATCTATCTAGCCACCAGCGGCCCGAATGGAGTGCATCATGCTTGGAAGAAGCTGTTGCGCCCCGGCGAAACCTTTACCACGATACCAGCTGCATGCTGCCGCGTGCATGGCGACTTCGAGGCGGCCATGGCGGCCATGACGGACTATAGACGTCAGATCAGACGACCACACGAGGACATGGAACGAGTTCCTATCATCTTCAACGACTACATGAATTGTCTGATGGGTGATCCGAACGAGCTGAAGATAGAGGCTTTAATAGAACCGGTGGCGGAATTAGGTGCTGAGTATTTTGTCATCGACGCCGGCTGGTACGCCGACGATTCCGACTGGTGGGACGACGTTGGCCTTTGGAAACCTTCGCAAAAGCGTTTCCCGTCTGGCTTCAAGACGCTTCTGGACAAGATTAGGTCTCAGGGCATGGTTCCAGGACTGTGGCTGGAGCCTGAGGTCGTGGGAGTGCGAAGCGTGGTGGGCGATCGCCTACCAGAGGAGGCGTTTTTCCAGGAGGACGGACACAGAATTGTCGAAAAAGGCCGGTTTCAGCTTGACTACCGTCACCCTGAAGTTCGAAGATGGATGGATAAAGTCATAGAAAATCTGGTCGTCAACTTCGGGGCTGGATTCTTCAAATTTGACTATAATATTGAGGTGGTGCAAGGTACCGACGTGGATGGCCCTTCGTCTGCCTCGTCTGCCCTGCTGGAGCATCAACGCGCCTATCTCGACTGGGTGAGGTCTCTTCTCGATCGGTACCCCAGTTTGGTCATCGAGAGTTGCTCGAGCGGTGCGCAACGCCTTGATTACGCCATGTTAGCTGTGCATCCTCTTCAATCGACGAGCGACCAGCAAGATCCTGCTCTTTACGCCGCCATCGCAGCTGCAGCTCCGACCGCCGTCACCCCTGAGCAAAGCGCCACCTGGTCTTATCCGCAGGGTGACTGGAGTGATGAGATGAACGCATTGACCGTTGTTAATAGCTTGCTGGGACGGGTATACCTCAGCGGCCGTGTAGATACGATGAATTCGCAGCAATTGGCTTTGGTCAGAGAAGGGCTGGATGTCTACAAGGGAATCCGAGACGTCGTGAAGACTGCCCATGCCTTCTGGCCGCTCGGCCTACCCAAGTGGCACGACGACTGGGTGTCCCTGGGGCTGATATCCCGTGATGAGAGAAGCATTTATGTTGCTGTCTGGCGCAGGGCCGGCTCCACCAGTATGAATATTCCTATCCGGCTGGCAAGGGGCTGGCAACACAGCAATATGGGCTTCCTGTATCCAAAGCGGCTTGCCGCAGACGCTCATGCATCCTGGGACTCTGACCAGAGCGTGCTGCGTGTGGAGGTTCCCGAGGTTGTCTGCGCAAGACTATATGAGATACAGCACACGATGTAAGCTTCACCAAGATGAGCCATAACAATAGAACAGTTGAGGGAGCATAGAAGGCCATCTTATTGTACTCCCTATTTGGCTATGTACTCCGTTCGTACTCTATACAATTCGTTCTTCCCGTGTTTTCTCCAACTCACATGCGATAGCGTCGAGATAGGTCGCATAGCTCTCCGAGATGGTCCACACCGAGCTGTGCTCCAGCAGTACTCCAACAGCCTCGCGTAGGATTTGCAGGGGACCCTGCTTTGAGTATAGATCATCTACTCCCTCCATAGAGATCCGCATGTGGTCTCCTGAGCGAATAAAGTGTTGCACAAGCTCGTCGTCTACGGGCCGATCGATCTGTATTGTGCTCGGCATGCGTCGTGTCTGCTTGGGCGTGTCGTGGGTTGCTGGCAAGCCTGTCGCCTCTAAACTCTGACTGATATTCTCATCGTTCCCACTCGAGCTGTTCTTTGCTGGCTCGGAACCGCGCGCTGACACGAATGCCCAAAGGACGAGCGCGGCAAGGAAAACGGCAAAAGGCTCGACTAACGCATGGGAGGAGTATCGTCTAACGTGCCAGAACAAGGCGCCTGCATGTATCACAGCAAGTCGTGCCTTGTACCGATCCTGATTCACCCATGTAAGTATGGCCTGCCGCCACTTGGTATCCGGCCTATTAAGGCGGTATAGATGATGGGGAAGAAATTGACTGGAGCTCATATTGATGTTCTCGTGAGCGTATTCGAGCAGTTCCGCGACAGGCACAAGAATTACCAGACGGGACATGTGCAAATGTAGGAACACTGAATCCTCAAAGCCCCCCCGACGTACGGAAAGCCCTGCGGACTCGAAATGGAGGACATCTAGGCAATCACAGGTGTAATTGCGCCATTTAGCGTACTCTGGCACTGAGCCCAGATATCTATCCCGGGGTGGTAGTTGTGTGTGATGAGGGCTTTGGTAGTCAAGAGCCAGACGATCGCCCAGGAACTGGTCTGCGGCCCATCTGCGACACAAGAGGAAATGTATGATAATTGTCGTTCCAAATTCGGTTGCGCACTCTGGAGCGCAAAGATTGCGCCACAGTGATTCCGTAGCTTCCCTAATGCTTTGTCTCTTTGCCTCTTCCGCGAGAAATCTGTCTGCATGTACAGTGGCATCGTCTTCTAACCGGCCCCTCGCGATCTTGAGCCAGGCCTGGTAGGAGTCAGCCTCCCATAGGTCGTCCTTGCTGGGAGCACGAAGTTGTAAGTTCTTGAGAGGCATGTTCGGGGGGTGTTCGGTGGCAAACGCGAGGCAGCTGTCCATGATCTAAAGAAGCGTCAGTAACCCCAGGATATGGTCGCCAATGGCTATTTTGTGGCACACCTACCCAGATGAATAATCCAGTTCTTCTTCTCGTCTCGCGGAAGCGCCAGGCCAGCCAGACCTGTTCGACGGTTTGACCTTGCTGGTATGACCCGATTTCGTCGTCTTCGTCCAGCACTTGAAGCTGGAGGCACGAATTGCAAGCCAGAGACAACGCCACGTGGCCGCACTTTATATGGCTCGGCAGTTGGCTTTGGCACATACCAACAGCGGCGAGCATCCGGGCTTGGATGTAGGGAAGAGAATCCTGCACTCGTCCGAAATTGAGCTGTACCAATATATTGTTGTTAATTCCACGGAGCAATGAAGCCATATCGTCTAGAATGGAAACAAACCTCTATCAGAAGGAGCTCATGCAGGACACTGCATAATTCTTCGCCATACATGGTTAACTCGGAAACACCAAAGTAACGCGCTCCGATTGCCGCTGTTGCTATACAAAGACTCCAGCCCCAGACAGGTATGCAAAGAAGGGAGCGATCAAGAAACGGATATAGAGCATGGAAATTGTCAAAGTAAAGTTGGATGAGATGGGTGAAGGTATCTCTATCAAGCAAAACATCCGACCGTATGAGGAACGCGGCCGACAAAATCGGTCTGCCATCTCGTGGAAGTAGTTTCTGCTTTACCTCCCAAAAGATGGCTTCTGGAATCTGGAGAAGAGACTGTTTATGTTTCTTCTTGCCATGACGGACTTCTTTGATTAGCAACTCCTCCCAGGGGAGCCTAGACTGCCATCGGCTTTCTCCGGAATGACAAAGCCGAGAGCGAGCTATATGCCGCTGAAGATAGTGTCGGTCGGCCTGGCTTTCTCTGAAGCCAGCTCCCGCTGCGTACAGTCCGGGTTGTGGCAGGGAAGCTGGTGTATTCAGGCCAGAAACGGCCGCTGCTGGAGGTCTGTCGCGCATATATGTTATGAGAGCCGATACTTGATCATTCTGCCGAGCTGTGGAGTCCAGGCTCTGGGAGCAGATGGCCTCGGAGTCATCACCTTCATAGGGGGCCTGGGATGATTCAAAATCCAAGTAGCTAGGGTCCGTGCCGCTTGCCAATGCATAATCGAAAGGCAGCCAGTTAGTAGCCATGGGTGAATCGTCCAGCTGGCTGCCGAGAGCAGCTTGAGTCAGCGGCCCAGAGCTTGCGTCGGGTACTGGCGACACTGTGAATGTTGCGCCGGGGGGAGACGTGTCATCGGGAGTGCTGGAGATGGCAACCGATGTGAAGGGTGTTTGCCACTGCCGATGCTCTTGCTGCTCTGGTACTTCATTCTGGTCAACATGAGTAAATCCGTGGTCCCTCGCAGTAGCGTCGCTGTTCTGCTCTCCAATCACTGCGTCGTCCTCAGTATCGTAGCCTTCTGAATTCGAGTCCCTCGTGGTCGTCGTTGTTGTGGGCAGCTGATCGTCTGGATCTGTCCAAGCCTCATCTTCTGTTCTATAAGCGGTACTCCTCCGCTTACGATGCTGATACGAACACTCAAGGCTTCTGGCCGCGCAGTGACCGCAAGGAATTCCACCCGAGCACTTGATCTTAGACTTGGCACACATTGAGCAGGTCCGGCGAAGCTTGGTGGGATGGCGTGAGTTCCCTCTCCGACGGGCATGCAACTGTTCGTGGCGCTGCGCAGCATCTCTACATGTCGACGATCAGACGAATGAATTACGAACAGTGGCAGGGCGGCAGACTCACTTGCGTGCAAAGTGTTTGCCACAGAAGTCGCATTTCATTGGCTTTTCCTGACGGTGAGTCTGGCTGTGACGCTTGAGATGGTCCAGGCGCAGAAACTTCCTCGAGCAGAGGCTGCAGAAAAACGAGTCTGCCGGCGATGGCTCACTCCCATTTCCGCAACCAGCCATGCTTTGAACTTGACCAAGGGACCATTGGCAGCATCAAGTTCTCTGCACCCCGTTACTGGTTGTCTAGAGTCTCAATGTCCAATGCGTCATATGCCCATGGGGTGGACGCTCGCATAATCATGCCATTTCCAAGAGCCAGCCATGTATACCTCAGCAGAGAGTTCCCGATGTTTGCGGGGTTGAGGGATGTGGAGCGAGCTGAACCGGGCGGAGAAGAATTAGGTGATTGGAGCGCTTGTGAATTTGCTTCGGGTCTAGGCAATGTATGCAATTGTTCATTGGGTGGCTCAGCTTTCTCTCCCAGGAACCAGCTACTCGTGTCCCATGGTGGCGGCTCCAAGAGCCTTCGGATCTCGCTGGCATGAATCATTCCCCCGTGAATTTCTTGTCTCCACCCCCACACGATAATCCCTTCAAATCGGACAAGTCGGCCCCATGGGGCTCGCACTGCACTATTGACAGCCATCGAGCACTTGCATGGGGTTCGCCTGAGGATCAAAGAGACACTTCCAGGAGGAAATGAGTCTTATAAAGGTCGAACGCACATTTCTCTATCACCCAATGACTTGGGCATCAAACAGCCCAGTGTTTCTCCAACCTTGAGTCAACATCACATAGCCTTCCTACATTTATTCACGCACTTGATCGCTTTCGTCATGGAGGAGCCCAAGGACAACCGTCTTGTGCCAACTGAGAATGAGCTCAAAGATATCGACATCAATGATCCTCATGTACAGGAGCTCATTGTTCAGGCCCGGCAGTCAGCCGAGGCCGATGGCCGGCTTACGATCTGGCGAGCCCTGGTAAAGTACAAGAAGGCCGTCTTCTGGGCCATGTTCTTGTCCACGAGTCTGATCATGGAAGGCTATGATGTAGTCATTGTCCGTTCCCCCGATGCTCCGCTCATAAGCCACTCTTTATTGACAGACCAATAGATTACTTCCTTCTACGGCCAGACACAGTTCATCAACCGGTTCGGTGTTCTGGACCCGGTATCTGGTGTCAAGGCTATCACGCCCGAGTGGCAATCAGGCCTGACCAATTCGGCTCAGGTTGGTCAGATGCTGGGACTTATCATCAATGGTTACTCCCAAGACCGCTTTGGGTGCCGGCCCACATACATCTTCTTCCTTTGTTGGATGGGCGCCGTAATCTTTATTGTCTTCTTCGCCCCGTCTTTGTCTGTTTTGGCTTTTGGGGAGTTCATGTGTGGCATTTCCTGGGGCGTCTTCCAGGTATAGTTTGCATGTATACATGACGCACATTTTCTCTGCTAACTTGTGATCATCGTCCAGACTCTTTCGACTGCCTACGCCTCTGAAGTCGTCCCAACCATCCTCCGACCATACGTTACGGCGTATGTTTGCATGTGCTGGGGCGCTGGCATTCTCTTGTCTTCCGGGGTTGTACGCGCCGTCGTCGACCTCGAGGGCGATCTGGGCTGGCGACTGCCTTTTGCCCTTCAATGGGTCTGGCCGGTACCTCTCATGATAGGTGCCTATTTTGCTCCCGAGTCTCCTTGGAATGCCGTTCGTCGAAACAAGATGGACCTTGCGAGAAAGAGTCTGGACCGCCTTGCCGCTGACGACACTGACGGCAAAGCACGCGAAGTCGAGGCTACATTATCCTACATCCGATACACCACGGAGCTGGAAAAGGCAGAAACAGTCTCTGCTAGTTATCTCGACTGCTTCCGTGGCACCAATCTTCGTCGCACAGAGATTGTGAGTTTTGGCCGCCCACGTTCTATTGTGCTCACTAACTTAAAAGTTCAGAACTGTGTGGTTTGGGCGGCTCAGATTCTCTGCGGAAACGCCATTCTTGGTTATTCCGTCGTCTTCCTTCAGTCGGCAGGGTTCTCGGAAATCCAATCGTTCAATCTGAATATTTCGCTTTCCGCCTGCTACATCGTCGGTGGTGTCATATGCTGGCTTCTATTTCCCCATTTTGGCCGGGCCACAATTTACATGTCTGGCATGGCATTCATGTTTATCTGCTTGATGGTCATTGGCGGCCTTGGGTTTGTTCCGGGGCGCGGTGCGCAGCTGGCGATTGGGGTTCTCCTGGTAGTCTCGACCTTGTGCAACATGATCACAGTCGGACCTGGCTGCTACCCAATTGTTGCCGAAACGCCCTCTGGGCGACTCCGATATAAGACGATTGTCATTGGAAGATTCACGTACAATCTCACCGGTATTTTCAACAACTCAGTCACGCCCCGAATGATATCCTCATCCTGTACGCATCTCTTTACTCTTCCACATCCTTTTAGAGGCCAATTTAATCTGATGCTTTCTAGCATGGAACTGGGGCGCCAAAGCGGCGCTTTTCTACGCCGGCACTAATCTCTTGTGCAATATCTGGTGCTGGTTCCGACTTCCAGAGACCAAGGATCGCTCCTTTGGAGAGATTGATTTGCTGTTCGACAACCGTGTTCCAGCAAGGAAGTTTAAGCACACAAACGTCGACCGTAAGTCAAGTTTCAAAAGAGTATGAAAGGAGTTTACTAATCGCCGTAATAGAGTTCAACCAGAATAATAATACTTCTGAGAAGGCAGAGGAAGTCGGCCAGGTAACACATATATCTAAGATTTAATTAGTATAAGCTTAGCCTAGCTTAGCCCCCATCTAGCAGCTATGTAACTATAACCCATAGTAGTCGAATCTTCCAGATCCTTTCACTTCTTCGAAGCGCACATCCTAAGAATATCCATAACTTGAGCCATTTCGGTAATAGACACAGCATTTGTCCGTATCCAGATATCATCCAGGCTATTTCTTGCCAAGAGATCTAGTTTACTGTGGCCAACTCCCACATCATCAAGCGACTGCGGCATCTCCAAGGCCGCGACAACTAAATAAATCACATCTCCCAAATCAACTTTGCTGTTATCGAGTCCCCCTGCCCTGAGTAGCTCGTCGACTGCCTTCTGTTGAAGAAGCAGGTGCTTCACAAACTGCTGCCGCTCAACGTTGGCCTTGTGGGCCAGGTTGTACTTGCAAACAGCCGGGAGCAGAATGCAGCTGGTCTCTCCATGTCCCACGCCCAAAGGCCCAAGCTGGTGCCCGATGGCATGACTAGCGCCAAGAGGCACGCCTTGCGATACGGCACACATGGCCTCTACAACCCCATCGTGGCACAGTCTACGAGCATCCAGCGAGGCAGGATCGGACTTGCTCAGAAGAAGGCCGTTGATCAGCTTTGGCAGGCCCCGGGCAGCCCACTCATCGCCCTCTGTGTTGGACTGGAGCGAGCAAAGTGTCTCCACACAATGGTCGACAGCTCGGATGCCTGTGCTGAGCCACACCCATTGAGGTGTCGTGAGACACAGCTCTGGGTCTTGGATGACGAGCTCCGGATCAACACCCTCACATCGAAATGTTCGTTTGGCCTTGCTCACGGATTCTGTTCCCCCGGCAATCGCCTGGTACTCTCCTCCGGATAGCGAGGTGGGTATATGGAAGAGAGGAATGGATGGCTTCTGAATATGCTGCCGCCGGACTGGGTTGGATTCTTGAGTTCCCCAGAGCGTCCCGATGTCTTCCTCCGTGCTTGCCCCATTGGCCAGCGCCAGGCGCACAATCTTGGCTGCGTCAGTAAGGCTGCCGGCCCCGAGCGTCACGATGCAGTCGATGTTCTTGTCCTTGTATTCTTGGACTGTGTCTGCGACCTCGGCTATTGGGGTGTGTGGGCTGATACCGATTCGCACACCAGCGACTCGATCGCCGAGGGCTGAGCGTAGTCGTTCCAATGCGTCAGTATTGGTTGATAGTGACTTTGAACATATAATCAAGATATGGAGATGGTTTCGGCAGTGTTTTGCACATGCTTCGGGGAAGCGAAGGCCGTAGGAGACTTTGGGCGTGTTGCGATTAGCGAACGCCGGGTGGTAGACTTCGCTTCCGAAGGCAAAAGCCATGGCTGTTCTTTTTTGGTGACTGCAAACGGTACCCGTGATTGAATGCAAAGTTTAGAGGTGCAAACCGCAAGATGCAGTGTTGAAAATGTTCCTCGGAGATTTGCAAGGCGGAAGAGGGGGAAGAGTCCCCGCACTTGGGATCTTGTCGTTCTTGGCTAGGTCAATCATAAAGCGGTTATCTCAAAAGCATGTTCACAGCTACAGCCAATAATTGCCAAGTCTTGTTACTTTCGATATCCAATTTATGGGGGCCCTTATCTAGAATATCACATATGAACATACGGGATGCCATATGCATCCAAATTCAACAGGTTCATGTTCATGTACTGTGTGCATTTCCTCGATCAATTTAAAAGACTTATCCGGCCAGCCGCGAGATTTCCAAATACAGGGTTAAATCCATCATGCCCAATCTCTCGCAAGAGAGCCAAGTGACGATCTCTCCTCCTAGCCTTGAACTCCTGACGGTCAATAGCCTTGCTGAGCCCAATAGGCCCAAACGCCCAGTACTGCTCAGGACTCCAAGGGTCATCCCCGTTGATGAACTGAATCCATTTCTGCTGCATAGAATACGAAATATTCTGAGCCGCAGGGTCAAAAGATAAGTCGAAACCACCAAACAGGTACAGTAGATCAACACCGTGGTGCGCTCGGCTCGATGTCTGCCATGGATTTGGCTGGTCAACAAGGAATCGGAATACCGGCCGTTTGGCCCGCTGCCACTCTTCGACCATCGTTTCCACTGGCAGTGCAAATCTAGCATCGTTGAGAAAGTCCAATGCTCCAATTCGGTTCTGGGTTGGCCGGTCAGCCGTTATGCCGTAAAGATCTCGGAGCTGTTCTCTTTTGTCTCCAGCTAGTTCAAAGATAGACCAAATCGTGTCTGCGGGCAGTTCTTCGATCCCGTTTCGCCACAAATTCGACTATCAGAGTAGAAGTGCCACGTTAGTCTTACAGTCGGGCAGCTGTGCGATTCAAGCCTACCTCATATTCATTATCCCCGATCAGGAGTCGTTCTGCTGAACCGACGCTCTCCCCCCAGCCCTCAAGCTGGGTTTCTTGTTGAAGATAAAATGAAACCAAGTTACATTGTTTTAAAGCTTCAAGCAGCCGATCAACCGGTGCAGTGCGCAAGTTCCACCCTCCAAGATCTGACACTGTTTTCTCTAGTTTTTGAACCAGTGTGACAGCAGCTGACCGTGGTTGCGGTGGCGACAGATGGAGAGAACCTGATTGTAGAATATACTGACGAGCTGGAAGACCCATTGCCATGTGCGCATGGCAATACACCGCACCCGCACTCTCTCCAGCGACTGTTATGTTGGCCTACAAAATCAGATAAGACTCTTTAGCATAAAACCGCTGCTGAACATACAGGATCACCCCCGAAGCCGCCGATATGTGAGGCAATGTATTCAAAGGCCCTCTTTTGATCTCGCAGAGCTAAGTTCGGCTCGCTTTCGATATCGCCAAATGCAAATATATTCAGGCGGTAGTTGATTGTCACCACGACAATGGGTTTTTCGATAGAGATCGATTCTTCCACAAGCTTTGTAGGATCTGTCCTGCGATGTGAGAAAAACAGAGCCATTATCAATAACAGTCAGAAATAAATACCGCATAGTTTAGTTGAAGTAGTTCCGAACGAGACAGCTTGGGAGCCACCTAACTGGTGTAAGTTTCGATGATTGAGTTGGTCTACCTCTCGCTTCATTATTTCTCACCGTGTATCCACATCAACACTGGCAGAGGTCCTGGTGCTGTGACATCTGGGCTTGCGGGCAGCGTGATATCGAGATTCAGACAGGCGAATTCGTCTTCTCGCTGTTCAGGAATTTCAAGGCTAGGTGGGATACGCAACAGGTGCCTAAAATCAATGTAATTCTGTGGACAGCGCGGCCTATTAATGTAGATGTTAATAATCTCGTTTGAATGCAAGTATTTTTGATAGATCACACGGGATGGAGTCTCATACCCAAATGCGGTACAGTCAACATCTCCGGCAATCGGGGCTGGAGGCTCAGGACTAGAAAATCTCGCAGGGATTATCCCATACTGTAGGCCTCTGAATTGCCAGATTCTGCCAGACTCATGGCCATGAAGAGTGGCTTGCAATGTCTTGTGCTGCAAGATAGCGGGCATTGTGAACCTCTTAGTGTGAGGATCTCGTTGATGAGAGTGTAAGAGAGAAATAAGCTTTGGGATTGCTCTTGGGGAACCTTGAAGCTCTTAGGCTGGTTTATGCGTAAAGGCGAATGCTCAAAACCCCTCATTGATCATGCGCACGATGGATGCATCTCTTTCCTGGCCAATTCTTCCGGTTCCACACGACTAATGGCATCGGACCGCGCACTCATCCTCCGGATAAGGCCGGATAGCACACTCTTGCCACGGGAAGCATATTCATAACGCTTAATAATATTGCAACTTCAATGGCACAAGATGCCGAATAATATCATATCGAAATCGCAGATGAAGTTGCACTACTCAAATATTGCATGTCTCCTCGTCCTCCCGTGTAAGTCACTGGCGTCTTTCTCCCCACGACTTCTTTATTGTTTTACTCTACCCGGACCTACTTAAAGAACTTTACTATATACATATTTCTTGACGAAAAAACACTTTCTTAAATAGTTATTATTTGTCTCTTTTGCCGTAAATAAGGGTTATGCCAAGATCAGGTCACACTCATGACGTCGTCACACAGTTTTTTAAACACAATTTGTGGCACATACCCGAACCTTCAACACCATAAAAACTGAAATGATCACACACATAGCCTAGGTAGGCACAGGCATCAACATCTCAAAAACCTCCAACATTCTTAAATAGTTATTAATATAATTATTATTACTTTTATTAAAACCAATTCCTTCATACTTATATATCAATCATGTCTCATGTAGTGTTAAGATAATACTAGGGCTAAGGTAACTCTAGACCTAGCAGCGCAGAATTAAATATATAAAGATAATAAAAGTAAATCATGTTCAGTTTAGATATCGCCCCTCTGCTGGACTATGATGAGTGAATTGCAGTCGCAGTCAAGTTCTATCGTTCCACCGCGGGTTGCGCGGAGTACTTGTTACCAAATCACGGACCGCGGTATTGACCTATCACCTCATTCCAGAGACCCATGAACGAGCATCCTCAAGGTTCACCAGTAAACAATCAAGACAATGTGACGGAGTGTCACATTCCAAAGTACCTTATGTTCCACAATTCGCGGGGTCGTATTCAGCTCCATCCCCACGAGAATGAGTGCCAAGCTTCGGCAAACACGGAATGAGGTCATGTAGAGAGGGCCGGCAGAAAGGGCGGTATGTTGCCATTGGCTGGAGTCTACCCGTGAGGATCGTGATTGAGGCCAGAATACGAGGGCCCGGGACTCGTGATGAAGTCAGCGACTGCAAATCCTCTCGTATAGGGACAGAGAGGGTCCATTCAGCATGAATGTTTGACAAGCAGTTTTCTGTGTAATGAATAGGCGGTGGACTCAAAATATATAAAATCTACTACATCTTGCATGTTGTCATCTTCATTCGCAATTTAGTAGCATTCAAACGCAATCGGACGCAAATCTAGACTCCATAACTCTTTATTCTCAGCAACAGCCAATCGGTTCAAGATGAAGGTTTCCATTGTTGCATTCGCTGCCCTCTGTGGCCTCGCTTCCGCCCAAAACGCCGTCGTCATCAATAGCTGCTCCGAGAACGTCTATGTGCAGTCCTTTCCCTACGACGGAAGCGCAGCTGGTCCCCTTACCACTCTTGGACCTGGACAGACCTTCTCCGAGAACCTGAGGGCTTCCGGCTCGGTATGTGCAGATCCCGCCTCTACGCCGTATTTCCAATATGATGCTAACTAAAATCAAAGACTGTCAAGATTGCCAAGACCAAGACTCTCAACGGTCCCTTGTTCTTCGGCTACTCTCTAACCTCGAACCCCAACTATGCCTACTGTAAGTACCAAATAAAACCAAGCCGCGTTTCGGAGATTTCTGACAGCTTTTCCCTAGACGAATTCAGCACTGAATGGGGCAATCCATTCGCTGGTAACCACAACGTTCTGAGCCCAGGTGACGGTTGCGAGGTCTTCGACTGTGCGGCAAATGACGCCGGTTGCTACAGCACACCAGCCTTTAAGAAGGTCTACGGCTGCCCTCAACCCGTCACTTTGACTGCTCAGCTCTGTAAATAGTTTCAAGAGGGATTGATGGAAATGAAAAACGCATAACCAAATGCCTAGAATCACTAGTTATATAAACTCCTGTACGACCTCTTATTTTGTTGCATTCTTTCCAAAGTAAGAGCTCGCAGCCGGCTAGAGACTAGTTCCTCCATGGCGTGTTTAAAGGCCTACAAATAAGAAATGAGCTTGGCTGTGCTACTCGCGTTGCATAAGATGTACATGTAGAGTGATCAACTATTAGTGGCATTTCTAAATGTTGGATTCTGTGTAGCGTAGACTTAATTCAGTTCTATGCAAAACTGGTTGTAAAACGTTTACTTAAGGTCGCTGCCTATCGTCACGAATTTCTTAACCGTAAGCAGTCATTGGCCATAGAGGACGGACGTTCTGGGAATCAGATTTGAGTATGACATGATAATCAACTACATTTCGGTGAATCAACCGTGTTAAGTGATATATATCAGCTAAAGCTAGTTTGTTATAATGCAAGTTTTTGTTAATCTACATAGAGCCATGCTATAGCAGTAGTAAAAATTACGGAGAAGAAGAAGAAGAAGAAGAAAGAAGATAGCGCAGAGCTCTGCTCTGCTATCACACCAGCGTCCACACCGACTAGAATGTCACGCTCGTGTGCCAGGTCAAACTATCCCAAGAAATTCCCGAATCCACCAGATCGATCCTCAGCCAACGCATCATTTTAAACCTGTCGAGACCTGTGACGTCTAACGCGGAAGCTAGAGCATGCACCCAGAGAGTTGGATGGGGTAGCCGTGGGGATGGTTTGGACAGCCGTGCTGGAGGCGGAGGCGGCCTTGGTAGAAGTAGCTGCAGCGGAAGCGCTAGTCGAGAGGTTTGACTCGACACCACCAGAGACAGTCTCGACCTTATCACCGGAAGCTCCATCAGAGCTGCCACGAACGGTACCTCCAGGGATAACGTCGGGGCCAGGGATGGCGTTGTACGAGGTGGAGGACCCCCAGACACTGAAGTTGACCGCCGCGTCATCTGCGGTGTAGACGCCGGGGATCTTGACAGCTTGGCCTGGCATGCTGCTGGCACTGTTGCCGGTGACCTCGACCTGGGCACACGCGTAGAAGAACTCGGCCTCGCCTGCGTGAGCACCATGGAGACCGATGTGCTCGCCGCGGACGAGGTACTGGCCATTGGGGATCGTGGCAGGTACGGTGAAATAAACCTGGTCCTCGTCCCAGCTGCACCAGGCAGTAGAGCGGAGCGACTCGGCACTGCCAGCCGTGCAAATCAGAGCCTGGTGAACCTTGTACCAGTCACCGCTACCGTCAGCAGTGGTGGCATCGGCCACAGGGCTCATATAGACCTGAGCAGGGCCCGGGTGCTGCATGCCGGTGCCGCCATAGGCCTGCTTGAGGCCAATCTTATCGCCGGCCTTGACACTGTAGACCTTAGAGGCAGGGACGGCGCCCTTGTTGCAGGAGAAGTCGGCATCGAGGGGCGTGATGGAGCCTGTAGGAGGGTTCTTGAACTTGGTTGGCATGTAACTGTTCTGATGCTTTCGGATATAGGTGTTGGCAGAGCCTTGGAGGGCATCGTTGACGTTGAGCTAATCAAAGGTGTAATGAGCGCAAGCAGAGGAAACCAGTCCCAACGCGGGCAAGATGTACGAGGCCTTCATGATTGCAATAGTTGACTTTTTTTTTTTCGAAGCGAGTGGAATATCGGGAAACTGATCCGCAATAGAGTGTCTAGTAAATGGGTAGAGGCTAGCTCTAGAAAAACGAAGTAGAATGAGTCTTGTGATTGAAAGATTAGTTGTTAAACACGGAGGAATGGCATATTTTATAGAAGACTGGCCTCCCTCTTGGCGAACCTCGTATTGTATGGGGGAGCCTCGCAGTCAAGTGAGTTTCAGGCTTGCGGGGTATTGAGTATCAACCCAGCAAATTGAAACACTTCATTATCCTATTGCCATGCGTTCGGCACTTGTACCTCCGCGTATTACCCTTTTGAGCTGTAATCTGACGACCTCTCCCTCTGATCATCTCATGGATGATGAGAATCTAAGCGTGAAGATATGGTCTTGCACTACCCTCTCCAATGCGATTTAGGGCAACAAAACAATGTTTTACTAACTATTGTTTGCACCTAATTACCGTTACTTAGAGTCCATGAAGCGCTGTCACTCTCTATACACTTAGACTCACTCTACACCTAAATCTTTCCTATTAAACTTTGTCCTACGGAAATTTTTCCTATCTCTTAGCGAAGTAGGGGGTAAAGCTCCTCTGGTGCCCACCCTTGCTAGTGTCATCTTGAACAGAACAAGCTTAGAATTATAGCTTGCCGACCTTAGACAATCGTTCGTGGGTGTTCGGGGATATCCTAAACTTTGACAATAAACAATAAACGCAAGGGGCCCAAAGATTGCGTGGTTAATCTTACGCGGCTCGGAAAATTGATGAGTTGCATCATCACTTAACTCCACCGCCTAAAGGCACTCTCGCCGTGGGAGGTTTATTGTAATAATAAAGTCACTACACGAGCAGAAGAAATCTTGGTGGGTTGCTTAAATAGAAAGTCATTTGACGATGAGGGCGGTTGTAGCCCGAGGTTGTAAAGTTCGATGGCAGGAGGCATGGGAAAGATGAAACGGCGATTGCAGTAGAAATAAACAACCTTGGAATGGGAACCCTGAGGCGTGGATTGATAATCTCGCTCTATTCACACGAGGCTCGTTGTTCGCTTCTTCACCATTCGGTCATGCAATGGATCGTAAAGGTCATTTCGGGATGTGGGACTAGGTTAAACGAAGTACGAGGTCATGGGTCCCTGCCGGCTTGGTGGTGATCGATCAAGGTTAGTCCCTTGCGGTTGAATCTCTCTGGTGGCAACAGTCCAGTCATTCCAACTTATTGTTAAGACTGGCCTATATATAATAATAACTTACCTCTCACTATATTCTCTTTTAATATGTTTTCAAAGGTTAAGAAGTATAATTGCCAGAATGATGGTCTGGTACCCATTAATCACATATAAAATCGGTCGGGAGCAAGGGCTCTGCAATGGTAGGTAGCTGAAAGTGTGCCAGTTGATTCATTCTCATTTTGATTTCACTATGCCGTGAGCAGCTGCTCCATGAATCCACCATACCTCTGCTGAGGTTCACGCAGATGAATTTCAAGAATCCAGTGTCGCTTCTTCCCATCTTTGCCGGGTGTTGTCATGGACTTGTCGTTCCCCTTGCTGATATAGAGAGTCGTCTTGTCACGAGGGATTCGCTCGTGAGGGAACGACCCGACAATATGCCCAGCGAGGTGCGCGCCAAAGATCCACCCGTCCTTCTCAACAGCCTTGCATGCGATGTCGTACAGCTCCTCGCCCGTCATGTCCGGGTTCTTCTGGTACTCGGCCTTGACCGACTTCCAGAGGGGCTCCAGCGCGTCGCGCAGCTTGATCTTCTCCGGGTCGTTTCCGAGGACGTAGGTGCGCCCGAAGTCGGCCTCCCACTGCTCGAAGACGGGGCCCAGGTCGACCACCACGATGTCGTCCTCCTGGATGACTCGGTCGGGGGGTTTGTCGTTGAAGGGGCAGAGAGTGTTCGGGCCGCTCCGCACGACTCGCTTGTGCCAGTGCGTCTTGACGTCGTACAGCTCGACGCCGAGTTTGTGGATCGTGTCGCTGAGCTCCTTTTCGCCGACGCCGGGACGGACGAGGGGCTCGATCTTGTTGAACAGAGCGACCGCCTTCTGCTCAGCGTCCACCAAGGAAGCAGCACGCTCGGCCTCGGTCAGAGTCTCCGGTACAGCCATGTCTCTTGATGTGTATCTTTCTGTAGCGGCGGGGGCTTGTTTTGTTTGGGGGAGGGAGAGCTCAGGCCAGAGCAGCAGGCGTTGGGATATTTATTCTGGCGGGAAAGGCGTGGCTGACTTGACTCGGAGACTCGCAGGTGGTGTGCTTGGGCTTACAGGTTCCGACGATACGCGCTGGCTGCCTGATTAATCCGCCTACGCCGGTTCGCCAACAGCGCTGCAATGCCCCGCTTAGAGCTTCCGGTCGTCAATTCCCCGCACGAAGACGCCAAATCCTCCCCTCCCGAAAGATCGTAGGGTGCGATTGACAATCTGGGCAAAGTTACACGAGAAATGTCAGGTCGGCATGCCTCGGACGTGCTCCGCTGTCGGATCGCCAATCGAGTTGAAAATCTCCGAGATCCCGAGCTAGATAAGCACCAGGAGAACAATGTTACCGTACCTTCCCCTACCTGGTACCTAGATAGAGCTACGTATTATTTGTTACATTGTAGAAGGACTGCATTTTACTTGAACTGACTGTCATAACTGAAGATTAATTGCCCATTAACTAACCGACCCCGAACCATGGCAGTGGCCGTGAGAGACATCACCCGATCCAACCACGATTGTCTATAACTGAGCGCCGGGTTCTCACCCTCATTCCATAACCACGACATACTTTCCCGTATCGCCGTTCTTGAGAATGTTCTCATAAACCTTCCCAGCCTCAGATAAAGGCACGGCCTTCCAATTGCTCCGTCCCTGGAAGAACTCCGAGTCAAAAAACTGACGCATCCCATCCAATCTCTTCGCCATTTCCGGCGTTGTCGCGTTGAGTGAGTTGACTCCGTAGAGGCTGAGGTCCTTTCTGTAAAAGTAGCGGAGGTCGATGGTGATCTCGGTTGAGCCGGTTTTGGGGGCCGAGATGAAAACAAATCGGCCATCGAGGGCCAATTTCGCCAGAGCGCTGGTGACGAGAGCTGGTGACCCGACTGTGTCGATGATTACATCCACTCCCTTTCCGTTGGTCAGCTCATCCAGGACCTTGAGCTCGGGGTCAGTCGCAGTGTTGACATCAGTGTTGTTCTGGCGAGAAGCCTCCAGCACTCGGGCTCCCGTGCCCTTGGCCAGCTGCACGACCGCCGAGCCAACCGCACCCGACGATCCGATAACGAGGACCGTGTCGGTCTTCTTGATGCCCGCCTTCTCAATCTCGATGCTCGCCGTCGTGTAAGGGACGCCGACGGTTGCCGCCTGCACAAAGCTGAGATTCTTTGGCTTCTGCGCCAGGGCATCCTCGTGCACAAGGGTGTACTCGGCCTGGAAGCCATCGGTGGTGAAGGCGTGTGTGTTCCCGCTGGTTCCGAAGACTTCAAGTCCAACGAGCGCTGGGCTGCCCTCCACTACGACACCGGCCCAGTCACGCCCTGCGATTCTGGGGAACGTAGTGTAGGGAAATCCCCCGCGCGCGTTCATCTGGTCGCTAGGGTGGATTGCTGAAGCCAGGACTTTGACGATGACGTGGTTCGGGATGAGCTTTGGCTTGGGGACTGTTGCCAGGCTCACCGTTGGAGGCGTGTCGGGGGAGTCGCGCTCAAGCCTGATGGCTTTCATTGTGTCTTGATTTGAAGCCATATCGCACTGGAAGTTTTTGTAGCAGCTCAAGACCGTTGCGTGTACTAGGAAATCTGGGGGATCCGAGATGATATAGATCTGGGATTAGTGTGGAATTATATATGCTAGGGTAATCAATTGACAAGATTGATAATTGATTGATGATCACGGCGACTTGTACGCAGCACACCCTGACATGGCTTACAGTTTGCTCCAGCACCCCACCGAGAAGTAGATTGAATCTAAATTCGGCCAGTCGCATAATTCCGGCCTGACGCAATAAATCAGCCACAAAGTATGCGGTTGGCATTGCTAACTTGGAGCTTTAGTGCAAAAGACTTTCTGCCAGCGGGCTCGTGGAACGAGCCTGGACCAAGGATGAGTGGAACCACCACGGCTTGCACGGCAAGTTCTCGTGTCAGTCCAACGCAGCGAGACAATGCTCACGTTAGGTCTCAAAATGCAATTTTTTGGCCTCTCGCGAGCAAGACAGATTTTTGACTCGCGCGCTTAGAATATGTGCTCACTCGGGGAATCGGCCTGACACAAATCATGGCACTATGGCCGAGTGGTTTAAGGCGTGGCACTCAAGCAGTACTTGGTTACGCAAAGTAACTTTGCCATGGAGCAATCCTCTTGGGTTCGAATCCCAATGGTGTCAAATCTGAATCAAACTTTTTGCACGTCAACACAGCCTACACAACTTATTTAATTTCGCACTGCGAACAAGGTGCCCTACCAACAAACCAATTCACATCGGCAGTCTTTTGGTGGTGCCGATTCTAATCCCCGATGACCCAAGGCTTAGTTTATCCAGCCTGCGCGATATGCCTACAGGGAGCGAAATACACAAACGCACTTTGGCTAGATACTACCCAGAGCATCTCTGAATGATGCGTTGTTGTATCGCCCGTGGGATCTAACACTGTACACCACCGCCGCCCTTCAGCATAACAGACCAATAACCAAGCAACCACATAAGCCTGGTACCTCTTTAGGATGGGTCAGCAAGATAAGAAACAGCATTCAGGATATTTCCGTAGATAACTAATGTTCCGGCCGATATTTCATTCCGAAGGCTGGACACCGATTGCACCGGGGCAGACATTGATACGGGGTGGTAGTTAGACCGAAGCCCTAATACTTGTCGGGCCCGCAGCAGCAGCATCGAGCTGCTAATGAGGCGAGTCGGGATTAGACTCCATTGCCGCCGATTTCCTGCCGACGTCTTGAAGATAACCTGCACCAACCGAATTTGAATTGCCCCGATCCAGCCAACCGCCCCCTATCGCCCATGTTTCAACATCATGGTATACTACTTTAATAATAGTCCGTTAATTGATTGAAGTTCCGAGTATAAAGTGACACCATGCCCGTAGTTCTAACAGTCTCTCAAACACGTCAATCCTTGAGCATGGCGGACGCTTCCGAAAACCCTGGCGTCAAGCCTCTCTCCTTCATGGAGAAACTTTCGCCTATTGTCTCAACCTATCAGCCACAAACCAGCGCCTCCAAAAGAATTTCCAATGCTGATCCATCGCTCGTCATCATTGCCTCATGGACCGATGCGCAGGACGTGCACATCGCCAAGTACATTGCTAAATACCAACAATACTACCCTACAGCACCAATTCTCCTGATTCAAAGCACATCAAAGCTCTTCCTGAACCCGTCTACGATTGGACCTGCGGTGCGACCTGCTGTTAGTGTTATCCGTGCTGTCGTTAGCCCCCAATCACCTTCTGAATCCTCAGCCCAAATTCTGCTGCATATCTTCTCCAATGGCGGTTCGTCAAGCATGGCGGAGCTATACAAGGAGTACGCTGCAACAGCAACAGCAGGGGAGACTACACAGATGCCTCTACATATCACGATCTTTGACTCCTCGCCATCTATCTATCGCATAGAACGAGCAATGGCGTTTCTGAGTGTCGGCCTGTCCCCTATACAAAGAATCGTTGCGGCCCCATTCTTCTATTTATTGGCGTCGGCATACGCAGCCCTAATTTTCCTGGGCGTGTGGGAGGACATGCAAGTAGTTTGGGGCGATCGCCACAATGACCCCGATACCGTGTTGGAGACACGCAGAACCTATATTTATAGTGATACCGACAAGCTCGTTGGCGCCATTGACGTTGAGGCACATGCAGGGAGGGCAGAGAAGGCCGGATTCACGGTCAGGAGAGAGCGATTCCGAGGTTCGGAACACGTATCGCATGCCAGGAAGGATGAGACAAGATACTGGGACATCGTCAGAGGGACATGGGATGAAAAATACTCTGGAAAATAGTATTTTAGATACACAAGATGACGAGTAATCAACTGTTCAAGACTTGAAGGCAGTCTCAAGTTGATGTCAATGTTTGGACCTCGGAACGACCAGCAATTTCTCCGGGCGGTTTGTTTATCCGACCTGGCGGAATTTACAGGGTTAGTCATCCCAGTCAGAGTAAATTACCCTCCGACTTTATGCAGAGGCAAAACCCGCCGGAGGACCAGATGCAGCTTGTTGCATGGGCGGAAACCCTCCGATGACTGGGCCGTGTAGGTCCAAGTCAAGGGACGACATCCATTCTGCCAGTATTTGCTTTCTGGAAATGCACCGAAACTGAGTTTCGTTTTCCTGAAAACCACCTACGGTGCCTCGTGTCAAATTGGGTAGCTCTGCCGCCATGCAACCTTCGCTGCCACACCCGACTCAGGTGCGGTCTGCGTGTGAGCGGTGCCGTAAACAAAAGCTCCGATGCACGCGGCCGGCAGCCCTGTCTGCCAAATGCACCCGGTGCCAGAACCTGGGGCTGGACTGCCAGCTCGGTCCCCAGCGCAAGGTCGGACGCCCGTCGAAGAGGGACTCGGCAGGGAAGACCAAATCGATCATTGACGAGGCCGAAAAAGGTTCGCCCGGCTTGCAGCACAATGTGGCCACTCCGCCGTCGCCCAGCGTGGCCATCGACCCCCAGATCCTCGACCAGCAAGCCAACCAGACCGCTCCTACCCCCATTGATATGGAGTCGATGGACTGGATGCTTCCCGAGGTGTCGGACTTCCTTCTCGAGTCCGTTGAAGAAGTTGTAGTCCCTTCGCTGTCGCCGGGCGAGGCTGCCTCCATCTTCCAACCTCAGACAGCAGGCGCTCCGCCCATGGACATACAGACAGCCGTCATTCATCTCACCAAAAAGGACCACTTCGCCTCTCTCTCCAGGATCAACATGGAGCTCCACGGGCTGTGGGAGACTATGAGAACCCAGCCTGCTAGCGGCACGCTCGAGGGCTTTCTCTGCGACTGCAACTTGGTCGAGGGCAACGCCCTGAAACCTTACCAATCGCTCATGAAAGTTCTGCAGGATTATCTTGTCACAATAAAAGCCCTCCATAAGATATTGGGAACGAAGCAGGACTTCGTGAAGCCGAGGCCGCCTGTGTGGATGCCCCGGGCATGCCTCATTTTATCCTCTCATAATCCAATGGGCGAAGCCTCCCCCTCATGCAGCTCGAGCAGCTCAACCGGCGATAGCAGTACTTCCGGTAGCCCGCAGCAGACCCAAAGATTCCCCGAAGCCGATCGAGTGATTCTCGACTCCCCAACGGCGTTGTTGCTCATCTCTTGCTTCTCTCAGATTGTTCAGCACCTCGAGATTTTTTACTCCATATCGCAGTCTCGTCTCCTCGACCCTACAGCGCCTCTCGTCCCTCCTGCCGATAACGCCAGTTTCGCTGGAGTCCCCATTGTTGAATTTCTCCCGCAAGGTGCGCTCTTCTCGGAGGTGCTTCGCAACAACCTGGCCCAAATCATCCTCATCCTGGGGTTGCCCACCGAACCCTGGTGGTCTGGAAAGACCGTGTGGACAGGGCTCTTGTCAGAGCAAAGGTTTCGCGATCTGCTGAACCATGAGCTGGGATCGGTCGAGAACGGGTGGACAACGAGGCCGTCGTCCGTCATCATGGTGATGGACAAGACCAAGAAGCTCCTCACCGATGCAATGATGTCTGGATGCATGGACGTCTAAGTAAATTTTCTGCGCTGACTCGAGCTTCAATCTTTGTCCACTGTGTCGGGCACACGTAGAGTAACCGCCGCTGTCATCGGATCGTTCGATAGCCGGTTGCATCGCTTGAGTGCTTGTCTAAGCCTCGATCGACTTGCGCTATGATGAGACAAGGCGGTCTCAAGGACCAGGATTTACCAAAGAATGAGGATTCAGCTGTCATGAGACAGAACATTCTAGGGACATTCGTACCACCGAAAGGCCACCGGCTAGAGCTACACTGGCAGCAACGTATGAAGATTGTGCATAGAGACAAACGTCCCACACAAGAGCCAGGAATCTCCACGACGGTGCCTGGTTCTCCTCTCTGTTGGTAGTCTTATCCAAGAGATGCCATGGCCGCACCTCGACTGCGAGAAAGTCATTCTCTATGAACTCTGTGAATGGTGCAATGCCCTTTTGAGCCCCCTCCAGCGCCTTCCACTCGACAAAAGAAGCAGATCGAACACCACAACTGTTACGTGCAAAACAAGGGTTTGGCAACACCGTAAAGGTCGCGCATTTGAGCATACTCATCGTGGACGTTCCGTCTCAGGGTTCCTTCCCCATCCCCCTCTCACCTCTCCTTCCCACTCTGGCATACGAGCCATCATCAGACAGCTTCCATCTAGTCCCAGGCGCCGGAGTTGTTGTCGGCAGGAGCCTACAATTATCCCTGATACATCAGCTAGAGAGATAAATCTAACCCCAATTCTAACATTGGGTTGTTGCCAGCTGGCATTCTTTGGCTAATATCTTATGGACATTGAGGTAGCAGTGAAATTACTCTGGGTGCTCTACGGGTTGGGGTTGCTTCACACTCAGGGTGGCCATTTGATGGCGCCTTGGCCCCAAGGCAGACAGAATGAGAAAGTCACGACGTGTGTAACTGTATTAACTTAGACATAATTCCCGCATGGAATCTGAAAATTTTCACCTAGATACTTCTACCCAAACAGGGCACTGGTGATCACCAAGCTCCACTTGCTTTGATTGTTTAATGACGGAAAGAAGAATTCGCAACATGTCTCGCAGATTGCTGTCTAAGCTCAGTGGATGCTTCGCTGGCTCATCGCATCTGTTTACATGCTGGTAATCAGACTGAAATGTCTTTGATGACCTAGGAATCTTGTGCGCATCGATGCCAAGCTGGACTACCGTAAGCTTTGTCAGAGGCTGCCATGAATATCCAAAACGAAAGGCATATTCTAATAACCGGCGTCGTGGCATTGCCGGATTAATCGTCCCCATTTTGATGAATGATCCAACCGTCGGTGGTAAAAAGCTGGCTGGAGATATGAGGTATGGGGGCACTGTTTTCAATCGCGTCAGTGAAAGCCTGCCCATTATGTGTTTCAGGGAACATAAGCCACGTTTCGGTATTGACTGTTGAAGACGGATGGCAGTTTCTTGGTTGCACAGGTTGAACAATGGCCTCATGTCCAGGCTCTCCGTGCGGCATCATCCGGGCATCTGGTGGAGGCATTCTTTGCTCAATGCCAACACGCAGTGGGGAGATACCGTGGGCCGAGCCTGGCGAATTATCAGTATGGCTATCAAAGGTCGCATCTTCGATCTGTTCAGATGTGCCAGGTTGAGACTTGGATTCATCGAACAAGGGCTCGGCAGAGTGGCTGAAACCATCGGATGATGGTGTACCGCCTTGACCGCCAGCTATTTTCTTGCCATGGCTCATGTCCGTATCTGCCTCTGTCGAGGTGGTCTGCGGAGTGGAAGAGGCGCTGCTGCTCTTCTCTCCTTCCGGGTGGTTGGGGCTTGGGATTTGTTCAGGAACAGGTTTCATTTGGCCCTCGTGGTGCGAAAAAAGCTCTGCAAAGGATGTATCAGCAATATTCAGTTAACCGCCGACGAAATGTATCAGCCTGGAGCAAACCTACCATGACTAAACGGTGTATGATTCGCTTTTTGATAGTGCTTGGCATACAAGGCGGCAGGTCTTGTAAGGCCTGAAGTTATCTTGGCCAAGTCGAATGGGTGGAGGTCGTGGGCGTACGCCCAGCCAACATGTCCGTCTTCTACTTTTGGGTTGTCAAAGTAGAATAGCGGAAACTGCCGAAAGCCCACGTTTGTACCGCCGTCCTCGTAGCCCTCGGCCCAAGTGAAATGACGCGCCCTTTTGTTGACTCGGTAGCACCTGGGCACGCTTGAGAGCAGCCCCGAGTCCCACATGCTGCCTGGGATGGAGGCTCTGGCCATGAAGTCCCCGAGAGGGAGAGCAACGGCGCCATACAGTTTACCATCCGACCACCCAGCTAGGTACATCTCTCCGACAGAAGGGTCCGTGATCAACTGCCGTTCTGTGAACGATCTAGGAGATACGCTGATCTTCACTACCTTTCTTCTCTTGTTCTTGTGTCGTGCTCGTGCCGTGGACGGTTCGGAGGCTCGGTCTTGCATCACTTTGCGGACATGGGTATTGTTCGTGTCGGCCAGGTCTCGTGTGCAATTGCGAACGAGCACTCCAAACGTCTCGATCGCCGATTCCAGGTCGTCGATCCTCAATTCTGGATGGTGCTCCATGTGGAATGACCCAGGTCTCTCGGACAGCCCGTGCCAGTCGCATTGCTCACAGCGCAGAATCCACCAGCGACCACTGATCATTGGCGTAGCTTTTAGGGAGTGCTCGTAGTCGAGAATAAAGTGCGTTGTCGCGGATGTGCCGCCTCGATACACGTCTTTAAAGTCGATGGTGTTCACTGTTCGTGGCGACTCAGGTTCGTTGAGTTCGACGACTGAAGCTCGTTTTTTGGTGACTTCTTGGATTGTGGCAGGTTGGATGGGAGTAGTACATCGCGAACTAGATGAATTCGACTGCTCATATTCATTCTCCGCCGGCGATGGCGATGCTGGCACCTGGTCCTCTTCAGCTGGAGCCGATGCAGGGGCTGGTTCTTCGGAGCAGGGACGAGAGATAGACTGGAGTAGGTAGCGGTAGAAGTCGATCGTCCGTTGGTAACGCTCGATAGATTTCCCAATGACAGTGTTCAGGTACTCTGCATCCTTTGTCTGTAGATCAGCCAGTTTCTTCTGTACGTCCAAGCCCATCAGCCTTCCTTCAAAGGAGGGGGCATCTTTCGGGGAAACCATGGCGCTGTAGTATACTGGTTCGTTGTCAGTTTCGGCATGCTGAACGGCGGGGCTGGGCACTGCTTGCTCTTGTCCTTGTACGTCAGCGACGGAGACTTGTCACTCAGAATGACGGCAACTTGGTCAATGGTGATGATGGCCTCCCGCACCAGGCAGCCCTGGACGAAGTCGATCGCCGAAAAGTAGCTGTGCGCCATGATGGGCGTAGATGGGAAACGAGATCAAACCGAGGCGATGTTTCTCGACACAAGTGGATGAATGCGGAAAGTTTGGCCGCTTGCTGGCGATGAATATCGGGTTCGAGAGGGAAACTCAGGGAAATTGGCCGCGAGGAAATTTTGGGAGCGTACAAACCCCTCACAAGTATGTAAAACAGTGGCTTGCAGCTCTCCAATAGGGAGCTTGCATTAATAATTCGTGCAACATGGCACTGCTTCCAGCTCGGACAGGAATTTCAACCAAATGGTGGTCAAAGCGAAGCAGTAACGTGGCGGAGAGGGCAACATCATCTGCACATTCGGTAAACAATGCACGAGGACAACTGTGAAATGGCTAGTAATGCAGCGTGATTCACTTCGTATATTCTCCTTCCGGTGTCCTGCGTCGGCCGTGGCGGAATTGACTGGTCTCAGTGCTGCAGTCGGATGCAGCCTCATTGTTGTCCCAGCCATCAGCTTGCATTTCCCAGCCACCCCCTCCTCGAATGCTACATCGGTGAGTTGTATGATCACGCTGGCCTACCCCGCTGTAAGTAAGACCTTGGAAAAAGCAAGACCCAATTCCACCGCTCTCAACGGGGCATTCCGAGTAGAGTTGCCTGGGCCACCTCTCTCTCCGATTTATGGCTGCTCGTTGTCCTGACACTCGGCCCCGAGTTTTCCCACTTACTCAAAATACTGTCAGTCAAAATGAGGTGGCCTAAGCTGCAAATGAGGGGCTATCCGCTGGAGGAGCTACTCTGTGTATGTGTCGACTATTGATGCACGCATGTAGCAGATACTGCCAGATTTTCAACGCTGCGTAATCTTGGAAGCCTGCATGCACAACAAAGTCAGAATTCTGGAGCTGCATCGCTATTATTTCCCCTTTTGGATTGAGTTCGTACTCGTCTGTGGGTATTTCCTCTCGCCTTTATCTTCGCTACATATGACACATTGGAACAACTGAACATATGAGCATTTAGCTTGTCGCGTTCTGCGATTTTTGAGTGTAAAACGGTGACCGATGCATTATTGGATCTGAAATATTCTGAATTAGTGTGGGTTTATTCCATCATCTACACATGATAAAGCCTAGGAAAAATCGTCTGCTCTGGATGTTAATACTCATCTATAATGATGTGGGTGATTGAATGCTACCGATATCTTTAACACGAGGTCTGAGATGTATTGCCGCTTAAATGTCGAAGGTTCAATCAATTGTTCCATAGATTCTGAACACATTTGGAACCAGTTTTATGTCAGGCTTACCGAACGAAAATCCAGCATTGCTGAGGTATATAGAAGGCCTCCTAGAACTCATATTGTAAGTAGCATTCCGAGTCTTTATTGCATATTGGATTTTACTATTATCCTTTGCTTATTATACGAGTCTAATTAGTTTTTGGATCTATTGAAGACGTATGCTTCCCAAACTAAATGGAACAAAGGAAAGAAGCCTTCCCTGATTATTGGTATATATAGCAAAGCTTGTCCCCACGGGTATCCATGACCTCTTGAATCTTGACAAAGCTGTTCCCAGGGACCAAGCCATGGAATTCCATCTTGTATTGCAAGGTAACATTCTTGTAGGGGCGGTTGGCGCCGAAAAAGTCGCAAGGGTAAGCGAAGCCGGTGTCAGGACCTCCGATATCCTTCTTTCAGCAGCTCCAGGCTACTGAAGGTCAGCCATATGAGAGCCATGCAATTACTATTGAAAGTGCGGGCGCCCACCTTTTCTCTGCCATTTGCCCCAGATTCTATCCATGTTGGCATGGTGCATGAAGAAAAGGGGGTCTCCGGGGCTCGAGTAGATATCCGAAATCTGAGAGGAGGTAATGTCAGAAAGGAAATCTCTTGCCAGCCCAGTGCTGAGATATACCGACATCTCCGAGCTCAGCTCCAATGCCCACATGACCTCCTCCGTGATAAGTCAGGCCCTCGATGTCAATGGCGCCCTGGACTCGACGGTCAAACTCGAAAAACTTGGAAGCTTCCATCGTACGGTCTACAGCCGCTTGATTCAATTTGTCGATGCAAAGCTGGGGAGCAAAGTCTCGCTTCAAACAGGCAGGAGTGTACTCGGTACTGCTCCCATGCATGCTAACAATGTGACTCTTGAATGGCCCATCCTGGACACAGCCTAAGATAATATGTTAGTGAATCATACAATATTACCATGCCAAAAGATGGAAGAAGACCTCCACCAGTCCTCCCAGGAACGCGAAGCCGGACATTGACACTGGATGAGTCAACAAAGGGGCCGTTGCCTTGTATCGAAGTTAGTCTTCGTATTTTATCACTTGATCCGTATGTTAATTACCTCCAAAGCCGGTGGTTGGGTCAAAGATCGGAGACGCTAGGAAGGTTTCGACGGAGGCAGTGTCCTGAGACCAATCTGACGCGGTTAGCAGCCGTCTTGTCATGCTGTGGCTCATAACCAATCCTTACCCCAGTACCTATACATTGTGTTAGAATAAAAAAACCTTGGTTCAGAACCGGGATGAAAAGACTTACGGCTGTGCACCATTATAACCACACAGCTCTCTCAAGTCTGATTCATATTGGGCTACAAACATGCGGTGCCATCTGCTTCACAGTTAATCAAGAACACCCCTTACTAGAAACGAATAGCTGAAGACCCACGGCTGAAAATGGCCCTATTAACCGTTAGTGATTGGGCTGTGTGGCAGACCCTTTAGGCGTTCCATAGGTACTCACAACAAAATGGATATAGTCAGTCTGAGTGATGTGCTCGGCCTGGAAGTCGTCAAAACGCGAGCGAGACCCGGAATAGCGGCTCTGCAGTTGGGCTGGCTTCGTCTTCAAGCACTGGACAGCTGAAATGTAGGACCGCTTTTCCTGGTTGTTCAGAGTTCGCCTGTATTTGAATTAGACATGAACGGCCATCGATCTACCTCTGTTCATCTGGACGTACCATTCCTTGCGCACCAGGGGCTCCTTGCAGTTGCTAGCGTTGACTAGGCCAATCGAAGCCAGACCCAATAATGAGACAGAACAGAGGAAACGCATGTTTAGGCACAATATAAGCTATAGATGGTGCAAAGAATACTGTTGTCAGAAGGAAGGAAAGGACAAGTGATCGGCAGCTGAGGACATGCGAGAAAACTTGGCGTTCATATATGGCGCCTTGACCTGGTCAACCGCGTCGAAATTTTCGTTGACTGAAGTGTCCAATTCCTAGGTGCATTATTCATGCAAGACCTAGATCACCAACCTGCTGGACTAAGTTTCACGTCTCGCCTACTAATGGCTTATTGGCCTGGGTACAGCCAGCCCGATAAACAGGCTCAACACAAGGGTCTTCCCTAGCGTGCCTCCCTTCCGATTCCATGGTTTGCCCTGTCGATGTTAGGACTAAATATGTCCTACTGCCCAGTGAAAGCTGGACTGAAGCTATGATTGGATGGCATTTGGGCCAACTTGCAGAAGTGAGAAAGCACTATGCCGGTAAGGGAGTGTGAAATCTAGGGGTCTTAGGGCGAGATTGCCAAACGTGATAACGGAAGACGGAAAAGAAAAATTGTCTCGTCGACTATCGCCCCGTCCGGGCTAACGTCGTTACATGCAGATCTGGGGGGAGGACTCGGGGATGCATAAATCGACCTGGCTCACTGTCCCATGTAGGTTCGAGGGATATTAGGTTAAGAATACCAAGTGGTTCTTTCATTACTTCAGCATTCAAACATCCGAATTTAGCTGTGATCCAAGCTTACAAGGAAGCTCAGCATAGAATTTGAAGCTGGGTAGGCTTTTATCACCAACATGAATCTATGACCTGTCTCGGTTCCTGGCAAGTAATTAGTAACTCTGCGTTTTTCCTACACCCTCCCGTGTATTTCTAATTGTACTTAGTCCCAATCCCCCATCGCTTCTTGACTAACCAGATTTGAAGTTTAGATTCAGGGAGACACCCTTCAGCCGTCCCTTGCCGTCTTGAAGGACTCCACCTGATCGGATTAGTCGCCTCTAGTACGAAAATCACACAGATCCCTTTGCTACTACAGGCTGGAAAGGCCTCCAGGAAAACATCAAACCAAGACACAATTCCCTGGTTCCTGGCGGCGACATACCGCTTAGCCTTATCTAACCCTCTGAGTGTACGAGCAACGTAGCTGGCGCGCTCGCCGAAATGTCCTTAGCCATTCCTGCCTTGCCATGATTCATCCGTTGGTAATCACACCCGGCGGGATATTGTGGAATGCAAATGGGCTATTTGGGAAATGGTGCTCCCGGCTACTGTTAGCTGAACCTTGAAAAAAATCTTGCCGAGGCGCTACAAAAAGTGTCTTCTTCTTGTTTGCGTCACTTAGGTGTTTGTGCTTCACCCATTCTCCAGATCGTCAAGAGCCCAGTATGGAGGAGTGGCAGCTTCCACCCGACTCTCAAGGCCATATGCTCTATAGAGTAAATGTGGCCTTGATTGTCATTTCCACAGTAATATTGATGTCTCGGCTTAGCATCAGAGCGTTTATGCTACGGGCCATGGGAATTGATGATTTGATTGCGACCATCGGTTATGTGAGTTGGCACCGCCAAGTCAATCCGAGTCTGGCGGTTCGTTAATGATTGTTCAAGGGCCTGCTCGTTGCTCTCTCGTGTATGGAAATTCGTGGTATGCGACATTCTAGCCTGTCTACGTGCAAATACAGTATCACTTCAGTGACTGATCCACCTCTTCGTCTTCAGCCATCAGCTTTGGATCAGGAACCCACATGGACCAAGTCCCTCCACAGAGGATCCCATTGTTCTTCGCAGTACGATTGCCGACCGCCCTCTTGCTTGATCCATGATATCGCTAACGATGTCCGAACCAAGACTCTTCCAACCTTGCAACTTATTTTCTTCTTGGCGATTGGGACAGTGAGACTATCAATTTTATCCTTCTATCCACGTTTGAATAGCGACAGTGAGTCCCGAAGACCACAAGCTCTCGGGAGATAATATATCGGGCTAAAGTTGGAGTACAGAGATCTTTATCCGCTGTATCTGGGGAGTGGCGTTTGTGACCGTTGCTATCACTCTCACCGCCTTCTTTTTCATCCTCACCGAATGCAAGCCCATTCCGTACGTATACTTACCCCTAAATATCCCTTCATAGATGCAACAGTGTTAATGCAGTTCCTGAAATAGAGATCTATGGGACATCACTGCGCCGAACCGACAATGTCTCGATAAGTTGAAAGAAGCACCGATGATGTGGACACATAGTGCAGTCGGTATTGTCATTGACCTGTTTCTGGTCGGCCTCCCAATTTCAGTCATTTACGCGAAGATGAAGTTCTCTATGAAGATGGTTCAGGTGATACTAATCTTCTGTATCGGAATCTTTGCCATCATTACCGGAATTGTACGACTGGGTATAATTGTTAGCACTGATTTTACAACGGATACGTATGGGTGGATGTTTTCTTTTCTGCTAGATCAAGGCTGACTTCATCGTTGTAGAACGTTCAAAATGGCCGCAGTTGCGCCTTGGACCGATTTTGAGGGCCATGTTGGCCTTTGGATCGCTTGTTTCCCAGCTCTGCAACCCTTTATACGCCTCATTACATACAAGCTTGGACTGCGCAGCAGAGACAGGAAAAGAACGGGACCTACTTGCCAAAAGAAGGGAGCACTGAGCGGTACTCAAACTGGTGGCCAGTGGGCGACGAGTCGCGCCAGTCATGCTCAAGATTATCTTTCCTTCAATCACGACCACGATGGCATCAATAGCACCCGCAATATCACTCAGATAACCTCTAAAACGGGTTCTCATGACGATGGTATCGAACTGAACCCAATTTTACAGACTAATGCTATCAAAAAGGAGACCGAAGTCTCCGTATCAGTACCCGAGGTACCAAAAATTCAGAAAAGTCAAAGGGGCCACAGCGCACCCAACAACTGGGATACTGTATAGAACTCCTGTCCAAATTTACACTGGCGTGGGAATACTGTAATAATAGACCTACTTCCAAATATCCATAGACATAATTGGCAGTCCTTATGCAAGCTATGAAAGACTGGACATAGCGAGTGGGCATTTTTAATTACAAGTTCAAGAACCAACCATGACATGTTCTCTTGCTACAATAGAACCTACTCAGAAATTTGCCAATTACTGATCAAACAACCTTCTGTGAGCTCCTAGATTGCATTCCTCGCATGATGTGAAAATAAGGTGTACGAAAAATGCAATCGAGACTGTGAATATTGATTTTTTTTACTAGCAGTTTCCGGCCGCATTTCGATGCTGTCTTTCTCTGAGCAACTTCGGAATCTAGTATCAGAATGCGAAAATGCTACCACCACATAGTTGCATAGTGAGGTAGGTCTGAAGAATACAATGTACGGATCACGGCAACTGTGGATCGTTCTCCGTGGCCGTTTGTTCTACTTTTGCAATCGACATCCTCTATAGTCGATTTCTAGGGGGGGAAACATGTATCGCTGTGTTGCAAAACCCGGATGGCATTGAAACGGTCCCGAAAAACGTGTACGGGTAGACTATTTGCCAAAATACTACTAGATGTTAGCCGAGAAGACTTGCCAAATGAGAATAGAATCTATGGATCGACTAACTCCACGAGGAATTGGCTCATGACGAGGACCAGGGGAGTCCGATTCCAGAACGCGACCCCTGGCTTCACGCCACTAGTGCATGTTAATCTTTGAAAACTTTTACAGGTGTCAGCTGATTGTGTCATCTTATCAGTCCCTTGAGGTTATCGGTAGGTGTTGTTGTTCAATGGACCTGTCAATTTCGTCCACCTACGAGACATTTTATCTTGGTTGCCAAGATATGGATTTCCGGGACTTACTGTCGGCCCAGTGCTCACCAACTAAGAATGTGAAATAGGCCAGACGAATGACTGGAAATTATACATCTAAATCCAAATCTGATGGAGTTGGATTATGGAACATCCAAGTCCAATGCCTATCTAGTGATCCGGTCAGACCTCAGTATTCCAACACCTATCTGCTTATATGTTCCTCCGAGCCAGAAAGTCCTAATTACCAGGTTAGATAGACTTGGGAACTACCCAGGGAAGGGGAAACAACTTCCGATTTGGTCATAGTAAGAAATGTAACTAACAGATCAGAAATGTGACTGCCATATGCCGATAAACTCTAGAAACACAATTGCCATGAAAGGTTTACGGCTTATGATACAGAAGAGAGTTCGAGTACAAGTTAAAAACAGCAATGAAAGATGCCAGCCCCGACATCTCAACACAATGAATAAGCGGCTTATTATATCTGTACAACTTAGTTAGGAAAGGCGCGTCGGAATTGACAGTCGGAATGCGGAAAGGCTCCAGAGATATAAGCAGTAGGATGAGGGGGCGGGTGGGGAAGCAGGTGGTGTTTTTGCGCTCAATTGAACAAGATCCATGGGCCAGGTCTATTGCTATCCTTACACCGCTATATATGAACGTCTGACACAAGGGCAACCCTGATGATTGCAAGTGTCCAAGTAATACTTGAGTGGCTCTAAATATCTGTAACTACTGGAACCTTGTGATATCCAACTTTCGCCAGTATTTTCGTGGCACTACAGTTTCTACCTTTGTCAAGACTGCCCAAGGGTACGATTAATTAGAAGTCATGAATTCTCAGGAATTTAGTGAGGCGGCGAAAGCTGCCATTGACGACAGTAAGCTGAGAGCAAGACAGCACTCTGAATCGGAAGCATTGATACTAACATTCATTTTAGTCACCAAATACTATGACAATGTCGGCTCCCAAAAGGTTCTCTCTACCGTGACGCCGGGCTATCTCCGTCCTCTCCTCCCAGCCTCGGCGCCAGCAAAGGGAGAATCCTGGGAGGCAATTCATGCCGATATCGAGTCCAAAATACTGCCCGGAATTACACACTGGGCCAGCCCAAAATTCATGGCCTTCTTCCCATGCTCAAGCAGCTTTCCCGCTGCTCTGGGTGAAATGTACTCCAACACCTTCAGCGGAGCGCATTTCAACTGGATCTGCAGTCCCGCCGTGACGGAACTTGAGACCATTGTCATGGACTGGCTTGCTCAGGCTTTTGGTCTGCCCGAGTGCTATCTTAGCGGGGGTAGCACTCATGGGGGCGGGGTAATCCATGGCAGCGCGAGTGAGGCTATTCTCACCGTCATGTGTGCCGCGCGAGACAAGTATCTTGCTGCAGTCACCAAAGATCTGCCTGACGGAGAGGAAAAGGAGGAGACGCTTTGGACATATCGCAGTAAACTGGTTGCTCTGGGAAGCGCCGGCTCTCACTCGAGCACCAAAAAAGCCGCCCAGGTTCTTGGCGTTCGGTTTGCTGCTATTCCCGTCACCGAGGAGGAAGGCTTCTCCTTGACTGGAGCGGCGGTGTCGAAAACTGTGGCGGATTTGAGGTCCCGCGGTCTTCACCCGTTTTACCTAACTGCCACCATGGGAACTACAGACGTCTGCGCCGTTGATGATTTCGCGGGTATTGCGGAAGCTTTGGCCCCTACAGCCGATACTAGCCAGGATATTTGGGTTCACGTCGACGCTGCCTACGCAGGCTCGGCTCTGTTGCTTAAGGAAAACCAGACCTTGACACCTCCAATGGCTCATTTCCATTCCTTCAACTTCAACCCGCATAAGTGGCTGCTTACTACGTTTGATTGCTCCGCGGTTTGGGTTCGTCGAAGAGCTTGGTTGATCCAGGCAATGAGCATCAAGCCTCCCTATCTGAGAAACCAATTCAGTGACAACGAGCTGGTGACGGATTATCGTGACTGGCAAATCCCTCTGGGTCGCCGTTTCCGCTCTCTCAAGTTGTGGTTTGTTCTGCGCAGTTATGGAATCGAGGGTCTGCAGAACCACATCCGGAACGGGATCGCCCTTGGTGAAAGTCTCCAGGCTAAGATTGAGAGCCGGCCCGATCTATTCACAGTATTCACACCCGCACGTTTCGGGCTCGTTACCCTGCGCGTTAAAGGGGCCGATGAAGATGATATAAATGCACGCACTGAGGCACTGTATGAATCAGTAAACGGCACGGGCGAGTTCTACTTGACAAGTACTGTTGTGAATGGCAAATTTGCTATTCGCGTGTGTACTGGTGTTGAGCGAGTGAGAGAAGAGCACGTGCAGCAACTCTTTGATGAGTTCGTTGCAAGGACTAAAATTAACGTGAACGGCAAACAGTGATGATATTAGCTCAGAGAGTAGATAGACAAGGGTTTTGGATGATGTCGATGACAAACCATTGACCAATCGTCGAGCTGAAAGTACCCGCAAGACTTAGAGTTGAGTGCCAAATAGAATATAAGAAAGTTTGATTATGTTTCGGGATCTTGACCTCCCTTGATATTGATGTCACAGATGCCCATTGAATCAAGCCTAGACCCATTCCTACAACAGAAGGCCGGCCAATTGGCTCTACTTCAATCGGCATTCGAAGAGGCCCTCGCCCATTTTCGTTGGTCTCATTTGGGTAGTATCCCCATTCTCTGATATTTGAGCAGAGGCACCGGTCGTAGTACTTGTGTTTGATTTCTTCTCCTTAGGCTTATGGCTGGTAGTGGACTGAAAGTAGTGCTGCAAGAGGCGATAATACATTGGCAGGCATTTGAAAATGAATTGATGGCCCGCTACCTTTTCTTCCTAACAAAAAAGAGAGAGTTTTTCCCAAACTGAATTTATCATGTTACAATTGAGGCTTTTCTTTTCTCTAAAGCCGATGAAGTCTAGCTTAGATTATCTCAACAACCAAAACCTTGATTCGCAAGCAAGCATGAAACCCGATAACCTATTTCTCTCACTCTAATTCCTTGCCACGTCTTTTGATGAATATTCTCAAACAAGATTTGCAACCCTTCCCGAGCACTACTCTCTCAATCCCCTTAAGCTGAAGGAGTCCCGGAGGGTGGGAGGGAGGTGCCGGAGGGAGGAGTTCCAGATGGACCACCTGGGCCACCAGGACCGCCGCCACCGCTGTCACCGTTGGAAACACCACCGCCCTCGAAATAGGTAGCAGCCGCGGTCACAGTCCTGACATAGGTGGAGTTGATACCGAAGCTGATCCAAGCGAGGACACCTTCCGAGACGTCCTCGCCGAGCAAGACATAGTTGAGGAATGGGTCGCTGGTCTCAAGCCCCGAGGCAAGGAGGAAGTCATCAGCGTTCAGGGTGAGTGACTGGGTGTTGGTGTTGTAGGGAGCAAGATCCTCAACAGCATTGCTAAGTTCTTGGTCAAAATAGACCTGGCCGACGTGGCTAGAGATGGTATCGACGATCGTGCCATTGGATCTAGCAGTGGCGTTGGGGTGGACCATGACATGAATGTGATGAGTGCGTCCTGAGTAGTGCCCAGGGTAGATGCTGTCGAACTGAACAGCACCAATGTCATCAGTCTTTTGGAAGCCACGGAGGAAAGTTGTGTTGAGATTTTCAGGGGCTTCGGTGTAGTCCCCGCCGCTGGGGACACCGGAGTATACTCCGGTAGAGTTGCAGCCTATGGGAAGTTGTAAGTATATGTTTTGTTGAAGAATGAAATACCGGCAGTGTGGACTTACTCCAAATCTCGACATAGAGATCGGGGATAGGTTCACAAGTCTCTACATCAAAGACATCAAGGTCGACGATGAGGGGCACGCCGGCCTCCTTGTCAGTAATGTCCTGTCGAATGTATTCGCCAGAAACATCTACGTGGAATGATTAAGTCAGTGAACTACTGAGTATGATACCGCTCTCCTCCGTTCAGACTTACAGTAAGGGCCCTCAGTCACCTCAGGGCTAAGAACACATGAGGTGTTGCTACCAAAGATAACATCAAGAGGCGTGTTGGCGGTATAGTCTGCAGAAGAGTGGTGAGACTTGTTGATATCCTCAGGAGCACGCTCAACAAGGCCGCGCTTAGACTTGAGGGCTCTGGTTTGCTTGCGGCGTGCGATGGCTCGCTTCTCA